GTCAGTTTGTCTTAAATAAGCAGGGTGAAATAATCTTTAAGCTATTACACATTCCCCCCTTAATTTTTTGCTCAAGAAACACTGTTGTCTGCAAATAACTCTCAGGCTCATGATTATTCTGTATTAAATTTGTGACCCCAGTCATCTGATCTCAGTATTTCCACCTAGCTGGACACTGAAGAAATTTATTGAACATTCTTCATTTGTGTATGCTGCCCTGTTTATTCATAAATTGTCATGATCTGTTTTTCAATGATTAATTTAATGCTGCTTTTCAATTGGAATTTTATTCAAACCTTATAATGGTTATTTCATCTTATGCAACTTTCAAATATTGTCATACATGGTGTAGTTTATCATTTTCTCATAAGGCATAACCTTAAATTAAGTATCTAATTGATTGGTGAATCTCTGTGAGTGGTTTGGTTCAGCTTAACAAAGTGGCTACCTACAAATCTTTATGCAACAAACCTGATGAAAAAACAGGTCTCAAGGATTTTAAAAAAAGATTGTCTTCATTCTGCCACTCACTATTTAGTGCTTTTTAACTGTGGCTAGATCAATAATGCTGCATGACAGTACTGTCTTCAGCAGATATTCTAATATTTCTGTTTCATCTGTTTCATTTGTCATCTAATTCTTGATACATGCCTTGCACTTCACAGTCAAGTTTGCCTTTAAAGCCAAACTTTTGCCTCTTTTTTGAATGAAATTCTAAATTTTATGTGTGCAAAACAAATAGTGCTTGCAATTATTATACATTTGAAATCTGAGTCCACAAGTGTATATTTTGGTCCCATTGTTGCAATAATTTGATAAAATTTTAGAAAAAGTTTGTTGTTCAAGCTTTGTTATCCTGTGAACTGATATTTGGGTAAATAATACCAAAAATAAAAAAAAGTTGCCAGGAACCTCTATCACACTTTGGGAAGAAAATGAATTTTGAGTATCAGCCAGAGGCAGGGGAGACACAAAAGCAGCTTTTATACTTTTAAACTTAGTTTGTTTCGGTCGTGTCAGAAAAGTAATGCAGTGCCATGCAATTGCTATATGAGCTCCTTAGATCACTAAAATATTTTTTTGGATTTTATTGCGGAGGCGCATTTCTGTTGCGCAGTGGCCAATGGGCACGACCATCCATGGGAGTCCAGCTTCGCCACTGTGCTTAGCACTCTCTGGTCGAGCACTTGGACTTATTTTAGTCGATATACCTTTTTATTCTTCCTCCCCAAGGTTTTCCTCCTATTCTGTTAATATTCAGAATTTCAAAAATTCAATTAGAAAGAATCTAGTGAAATACTTAGTAGAGCTGCTACAGAATTCTAGCGAAATGTTACAACTGTTAAATAGAAATTATAATTATACTACACAGTGAGAAAAAGATCATGTGCCGACGAACAAAGCACTCTCCTTTGGTGATGCCCCCGGTGGGCAATGCCGATATAAAGCTTGATTAATTAGACGAACTGTCTCGGGACACCGCTTTATGGGTGTCACGATAAGATTCCAAAAAAATTTCCTTTCTGCTCTTTTTCAGATGCACTAGTTTCTTTTTATTTAAAAGGAGACCGCTTTCAGAAAGATGTAGTGGTATTTTTCAGAGTAGAAACATTTTATGGAATAGTAAACCTTTTTCAAATCCAGATCAGGATATTTGACACAATGGTTCAATCTGAAATGATAAACATACTGGCACCGCGGAAGGGGGCTGTTCTTAAAACCATACAAAATCTCCTTGTTCTTGATTATGAGCATGCTTAGCGCCCCACCCAAAAAAACGTTTTAGCCCCCTCACTCTTTAATATGCTCCGCGGTTCTTGAAAAACATACCAAAGGGAGTGCAGCCATTCCTACTTCTAGAGCATAGAAACGTTCAAATGTCTTGCTATTTAAACATATTAAGACTACTTTTGCTTTGACGGCTTGTTAATGATGTGGGCTTACTAAAGATAAAAGGTTTGCAGTGTGCATCAAATATAACCCGATCCTACTAAAGAATGGTAATTGCTGTGCTAGCCATCTATGTTAAAACAACCACGTCAGGTTTGCATGGCCAATAAGAGTATTTCACATTTCAAGGCGTTGCTTTCGTTTAATCGTACATTTGCATATACCCGAGCTACCCGGGTTTTCGTTTTGCACACAAGGTCAGAAATAAAATCAGATTCATTCCCCCTTACCATGATGTGCAATCTTTTGTTCGATGTGTAAAACTTTTGGATTTTATGGACAATTTTTCATGGTATGCAATGTTATAACTTGGTATTCTCATAAAGGAAACAGCGAGTGCATCGTCGAAAACATATACGGTCCTGGGTCCTGGGTCCTGGGTCCTGGTTCCTGGGTCCTGGGTCGTGGGTCGTGTGTCCTGGGTCCTGGGTCCTGGGTCCTGGGTCCTGGGTCCTGGGTCCTGGGTCCTGGATCCTGTGTCCTGGGTCCTGGGTCCTGGGACCTGGATCCTGGATCTTGGTCCTCGGTCCTGGTCCTCGGTCCTGGTCCTCGGTCCTGGTCCTCGGTCCTGGTCCTCGGTCCTGGTCCCTGGTCCCTGGTCCTTGGTCCTGGTCCTTGGTCCTGGTCCTGGTCCTGGTCCTGGGTCCTGGTCCTGGTCCTGGTCCTCGGTCCTGGGTCCTGGTCCTGGGTCCTGGTCCTTGGTCCTGGGTCTTGCCTTAAGGTCCTGGGTCCTTGTTTTCCGGTATGCCTTCAAAATGATAGAAGTTTGAGACTCGTTTCGCAGCTTGGCGTCTTTGTTTGAGGCATCTACAAATAATAAGAAACTCTACAGACAACAATTTAATGTAGCAAATATGAAACACCGCAATACGCTGAGAATTAACAACAATAAATACACGTAAATCAGTAAAGGCTTTATGCTTCGCATATCAATGAATATTAGTGCAAAAAAGCAACTATACATAAAGCCACTTTTAGATGTGATGACGCAAAAAGATAAGTGAGAACAAATCAGAACTTTAAGCTTTTCCTTCGAGATACGTTAACCCTCAAAAAATGTTGGACCGTTTAATTTCGTACGTTTAATTTTTGGAAAGAATATTTCGCACCAAAATATCTTGATTTCGGTCTAAAGTTTTGGACAAAATGTAAAAGACGCCAAGAAATTTCGGATAATATCTTCAAGTTTCATAAAGCAACACAATAACGTGTTCTCGAACAAAACACAAGTGATTAAGTTTCTGAATGCAGAAATTTGTATCAAGATCGAGAAACGGGTACTCTGGTTCAATTGTTGCATAATATTCTCATTAATTCCAGATACATTGAAACTTCTTTTGATCATACAAACCAGTCAACCATCTTGCATCTTCAATACTGAAGCCAAAACCATTTTGTTCGTATCCAAAAAGGCCACGCAATACAGGCGCGGATCTAGCCAAAATTTTGACCGGTTTTGGAGTGCTTTACCCCATTACAGCCCTGTGTGTTATTGGTCCATAAATATTTCGACAAGTTGCTAATGAGGTTAGCAATTTTTAAAAGTGATCAATTTGCCCACACTTTATCTCAAACGTCACAATGTTACTTCGTTCAGCGTGGCCTTTGATCCTCTTCTTGCAACTTCAGTTCTAATTTTCATGAATTTTTCAGAGAAAGAAAGTCTAGTCCCTCAATACAAAACCTCAGATTCTTATTTTCATCCGTATTTCATTTTGTATCAATTTTGTATCATTTTGTATCACTTTCGATCTATGGATATCGATATCGAATATGCTTTTTAGCAACCGGTTTTCAGAAAACATAGTCACCGGTTTCAATATTGGCGCATAAATAGCATACTCCAGACTGTCACTTCGAGTGGCGACATTTTTATCAACATAAAATTGATTAATTATAATATACTGGTTAACATACTTATACTAAATATACAATATCCAAGTTAATTTGGCTAAATAATAGTGAATAATCAACCGCAATATTTTATAGAACAGCAATGAAAATTAAACAATTTTAGGCTGATGGACACATGGAAAGAACTTTGGGCAAGCTATCGAGCCATGTATCCAAATTGACATGTTTTATAATGACAATTTTAAGTTTGAATAATAACAGTAAGATATAATAAGAATAAAGTAAAGTAGAACGAAATAAAAAAAGACTATATGTAGTTTAATAATAACAACTAAGTGCAATTATAAAGTAGCCATAAAGTAATCAAGCCTACAGATTTCAAATTTTGCTCATAAGGAAATATTTCATCTGCTTCACAAAGTGGTGTTTATTATCCATCTTTTTTAACTCTATAGGTAGGGAGTTCCAAAATTTAATACCATCGAGAGTGAAATATTTTTTTTTTAAAGTTTGTAGAAATGGATGGAAGAGAAAAACCTTCAGGAGAAAATTGCCTTGTATTATATTTGTGTGCATTTTTTGTTTTTACGAACTCGCTTTCAAGAGAAGTTTTGTCAGAGTTAATTTGATACATCATTTTTGCTGTCTCAAGCAGGTAAAGTTTATCAAAGTTAAATATTTTCAGGCATTTAAAAAAGGTTCACTATGTGCAGTGTAGTTTGCAAAGTCGATTACTCTAACTGCTTTTCGTAAATTATGTTTTAAAGGTTCCAGGGTAGTTTTATTAGCACAACCCCAATTTAATGTACCATATAGTACATGTGATTGAATGAATGAGGAGTATAAAGTCTTAATTGATTGTTTTGGTACCAGATGTCTTAATTTATATAGCACTCCAATTCCTTTTGATAATTTTTAATTCATTAACTTTATATGCAATTTCCAGTTAAGTTTGTTATCAATTATTACTCCAAGATATTTTGTGAAATTTTCTTGTTTGAGATCTCTTGTTTGATGAACTAGGAAGCTGGGAATTCTGACTGAATCTTGTGGGGGTTCAATTCAGTATGTAAACAGGAGAACTGTAGCCAGTCAGGGAGAAATTAAGCAATTATTGCAATTGAAGTTTTCGATTAAAAATTAAAGATTCACAAAGAAACATAGCTCTTGAAATTTGACCGGTGTTTTTAAACATGTGCAACAGGTCTAGATACCGGAAGATTTTCAAATGGTACAAAACGGTGCTTTGCTTCCGTTTTGCCACTTCGATTTCAGAATGGAAGGCCCTCTATGTTTAGTTTGGTTGATATCCACAATTTTGCTTGGCAGTTATGCTCTTCAAGGTAAGACGGAGGAAAATAATTCTTGGCTTGAAACTTTTAAGTGCAAAAATCGCTTAATTTTCTTTTTATCGTCTTTTTCTTAGAACAAAGCAGAAATATGAAAGTAAACGGAGGCGGTCTGTAACGTTTGCCTTCCGCATTTTAATTAACAGATAAAACAAGTAGAAAAGTTTTTCAAAAGTATTTTGGGAGTATGTTTTACCACATCAAATAGTTATATTTTGACCTTTTTCTGGTTATTTGTTACTGTATAACACCTAATATCAGTAGCATGGTTTCCCTGTTTCTAACATCAATGTTATGTGAACTGGAAATAGAGTTCTAAGGTGATGACGACACAAAAATCTTTTTTTGGAATTTTTAAATTTGGATCCCATAACCTGAAAAAGCATCATGAAATACCTCGAAATTTGCAAAATCAGGCAAGTGTATTACGAAATGGCAGAGATGGCCACATGTTTATTGGTTCTCTCTCCATCAAACCTCTGTATTTTGGTCTCTGTTCATAACTTTATGAATAGAGCCAAAAAAACAGTGATTCGTTAGCAAACTTCAAATCTTTCATTAGCCATATCTCAACCGATTTTAGACATATTTGGCCAATTTTGCGTATTTGAAAGTATTTCATGGTGATCTTTTACGCTATGTGGTTAAAATTCAAAAATTCTCAAAATAGGTTTTTGATGACGTCATACTTTAGAACTCTATAGGTGCCTTTATTTTTATTGCCAAAGACGGTTACTAGCGACAAAGACTTGGTGATGATAGCTAATGGTTAGAATATGTTCCCACTAGGGGCGGACCCAGAGCAAATTTGAAGGAGGGGCAGTTGGTAGTGGGGGCGCTGAAATCTTTTTTCAAAAATTGGTGAAAAGAGTACGCTGTATACAACAATTTCAGATCCATTTTCTGAATAATAACAAAACTTTGAGGTAATCCTTGAGGCAAATTAACCTATCGGTCTCAAAACTTTTGACTTGCCTGGAAAATGATGGGAACGTCAAAAACCTTAATAAAGCTGGTCTGGGCAAGCAAATCATAGAGACTTAGATCTAAGCCATCATCAATACTCTTAGGCAATCAAGCATACAGTTGAATCGTGCAGTCGTCTTACACCGGGTAACTTGGGCTTTTATAAATTACAGTTGAGCTCCTTTAATTTTGAAATTCCATTACCTAAAAATTATGTAACTTTCTAGTTTGTCTTGGTAACAGCTATTGTTAACTGCTTTGGAAATGCTTTGTTCTCTTGTAAAGTGTTTGTTGGGTAGTTGGCTGAGCATTCTTCTAAGGATACACGGAAGGTCCTGCGTCCTTAGTTTCCAACATTTACGACAATTGTAAATATTAAGTCCAGCTATAATGACTAAAAGATTGCCAGAAGATGATGATAATAAAACAAACAGTTACATTTTAGACTGTGATGATTTGTGAATGAAATAAATGAAATACAGCGTTTGGTTGTGATAATGCGTTCGTTCGTGATGAGTTCAGGGGAAAATAAGAAGACCCTTACGTAGGCGCTTGTACATAGGTACCCTGGGTACCAGACTCACTATATATTTTATTCATTTTTGGCTCACTTTTCTCAATGCATCTGAGAGAGACAAACATACCATTAGAAATATACGACGTTACCCCCTGACTAACTGCAACTTTAAACGCCTATAGCTTTGGAACCGTACGTTGTAGGGCTATGGCTCTTTATAGAGCCGGAATAACTTTGAAAGAGCAATCCAAAAATGTATTTAGATTTAAAATTCGAACCGTCACTGTCACGTGACAAGAACCAATTTTCCAAAATGTCCCAACTCGGAATCTTGATCCCTTACATATATAATTTCATTCTAAGCATTAAAATTTTTGTTTACTCAGGTCCTCAGATTGTGGTGGAAAATTCCCTGCCTATAGGGTCATATCACTTCAAGGGAAGAAATTTGCGCAGGAAGAAAGCTTCTCAAATTGGGAAGTTTTTGGAATCAACTTTGCGAAAGAAGCGAAATAGGAGCTTTGCAAAAACAAACTTTCGCGTTTTGGCGAAAATCATGGACTTTCCGTGAAAAACATTTCTATTCAATTGAGGTTTCCTTCTATTTTTTTCCACATGATAGCAGCAAAACAACGAAGAAGATGTAAAATTTGTCCAACAGAATAATTCTTCGTCAAAGTTTTCAAGAGGTCAACAGCAAAATTTTCTGGATATTTCCCAAAAATAAATTTTCGCAAATCTAGCATTTCAGGATGTTTTGTGTATCAATCATCCGCAGTTTTAGGCCATAAACGCTAAAAATCAAATGTCGGGACTATATCACAGACGGTACTATAACATTTTTCTAACATTGACAAAAACTACAACATAAAACAGCGACTGGACTGCAACTCCACCAACATCATATACGCATTACAATGCAAACGATGTCTACATAACGGAAACAAAAACTGCCAATACATCGGACAAACTAGCAGACGACTTAAAGACAGATTTAACGAACACCGACGAGACATTATCAACAAAAAAGAAGACAAGTCTGGAGTTGCAGAACATTTCTGCAGCCCAGCACACACCATCAACAACCTTGCCATCACACCACTACTTAGACTTGATGAAAAACGAGAGATTGTTCGTCGAGCTAAGGAGCAATACCTCATTGGCCTGGCGAACACCCTCACCCCAGTTTCAAATGTAAGCCAGTTTCATGGCTTAATTTCAAATGGAGGACAGGCCTAACTACAATTTGCCAGAAGGTATCCGATTTTAACGTCCCCAGTTTAAGATTGGAGGGCCTTAAATGTTTTGAAAAAGTATGGCATTGATGTATTTGCCTGCTTATACGATTAGATGAGTCTTTAGAACAGTCGATATCCTTTTGTATGTTTTTGTTGCAGAGATACAAATAGATGAGAAGATTGAGATGCGTTATGTTGGGTGTTTCAGAGATCTATCATCACGTGCATTACCTGCAAGAATTATTATGAACGTTGGTTCGTTAAATTTGGGCGAGACGGTCATCTCGAAGTGCATTGAAAGCTGTAAAAGAAGAAACTACCCGTATGCCGGTCTTCAGTTTAAAATTGAGTGTTATTGCGGCCACATTTACGCCCGGTACGGTCAGGCTCCTGAATCTGACTGCAACGAGCCTTGCTTAGATGGAAGCGGGAAATGTGGAGGCATGTGGAAATTCTGTCTACAAAACTGGTAACTATGCCCTTACACTTTTTTTTAATAATTGCCATTTGTGAAAAACTGGTGGTTATCTTTTGTGCGTTTGAATTGAACTTTACATCAATAGAACTAAATTACACTTATTTACATACAAAAACTGTCTTTTTGCAATTTAATACTCTGGCAGGTGAAACAAGTCTCGTCCTGTTGTTGTAATCTGAATTTCGTAAAATAATTTGAAATGAGAAACAACGCATAAAATACACAACACAAGTTAGAACAACAGAAGGACGTTTAACACCATTTTCTAACGATACAGCCTACATGTAAACACGTAAGTTTAATCTACTATCATATTTGTAGCCAGTCCTTTCCCAACAGATAAATAATCACACAGAATTAAAGTTATCGAACAGCAGAGCAAATTGTCAAAAAATTTTACATTTCTTGATTTGCTATCCGCACATTTTTTTACTTATCAAATAGATCTTAGTGTTTCCCAAAAATTGGAGATATTCACTTTTTCATCTACTAAACCAAGATTTTCTTTTTAAAAATCTGTTGTTACCAAGAAAGCAAAAAGCAAGATTCTATAACAATTCCATGTTTCTGCTAGACGACTTTCCTTTACAGACGGCTCTGGCATCCACTGAGCCAGCCGGAAGTTAAACTCTAAACTTTACATCATATGTACATGCGCAGTTAAAGTCAGTAACGCATTTTCACACTGCTTAAAATATTCTGTAGTAGGAGCATTCGTGGCACTTATGGGAATTAGCCTAAAACTAATGAAAACCAAACTCTGTTTAATTTATGCAACCATGATAAATAATAGTTTTGATTGAATGATATGATGCGCCATTAGATGGAAATTTACCTTCGCTCTAATGCGCATGCCCAAATGATGCACTTTCTCATTGGCTCAAAAAATAAAGAATAATGGCCATAAGCAATAGGAATTTAGACTCATCTCCCCATCAAAAACTGCAACGTCGTGGTAGATCACATTTTAAACGCCCAAGGCGTTAACTGAATCATTGTTTTCCAAAGAAAGGACATTAAATAATGGGCTCGTTAAATAAAAGTTATGGTAACAAAGCCATTCATTTTTGGTTATCATAAGAAAAGTGTGTTGGAATCCTTCTATGTTTCGTGAAAAAAAGAAAAAATATGAAAAGAGTTTTCGTATCTTATCCGCTTGTTTTGCCCAACCCTCTAACAAAGTCATGAATCAAATTTGTGCTAATTATAGTCCCCTTGAATCAGGGCATTTTTTAAGGATTTTTCAGTAGAGGGGCACTTCTCAAAAGGGGCCACGGGCTAACGAAAAGAAATGCTTCTTCAAATTGTAATATGCTTCCGTTTTCTCTAAAAAGATCCAGGTGTCTTTGCGACAGTTAAATGGGAAGTTTCACACATATTTCTTGAAGACATCTATTTTGTTAAGATTTGCTCTTACCAAGGATATTAGGGTTGTAGCTGAAGGAAGTTAACAATTTAGCTTTATATGAGGAATTGAAATCTTGATGTCTGCATTTTATCACATTTAGGGAAATGTTCATGATTTAAGGATCACGATGTTTCGATTCCGAGTTATTTTAGGATTAAGTCTTAGACGTCTATTAGAAGGTTTTCAGTGAAGAATCTTCATGTCTATGAGAAATTTCTAACAAAGTTTCCAGAAAGATTAAAATCGGCTGTTTCTGGAAACCTGGCAGCAATGATATCATTCTTTGTTTAATTGAGAACAGTGTCGCCGAGAGGCTTTGTGGCTAAATGGACAGATGCAGATCTTTGCGAGTGAGGCAAGCAGACAAATTTTTGGCAAAAAAGCGCTTTGGATTAGCTAAAAATGCATTTCAGAATATTTTTGGAGACATTTTCTTGCAACTGTTTAAAAAGTTGTACAAATTCGAGGCATAATTTTGCTATCTCTTTCTAATTGCCTTCTTAAACTGGTAACCTTTAGGGGTCTCCTAATCACCAGGGCCCTACAATCCCGAAGCAAAATAGTTGGGACTTTTCAAAAAACTTTATGTTTTCTCTTTACTTTGAAAAATAGCTTCCCACCTCCCCCAATTCAATGTTGAATGTATGATTTTGAAGCAAAAATGATAGAACTATAAATCGAACATTGATTTTTGTGGAAAGGGGGACTCCAGTCTATAGGGGGCAACATAAAGTAGAGAATTGCAGAAATTGCATTTTGTCTTAACAATTTTGTCTAGGATTGTGCCACCGCCCCCACCTTTCTGTGGTCCTAGTTATGAGTTTGTAGTTTTGGTGTTTCTGAAAGCAGATGGCATAGAAACACTTTAGATCATGGTCCCAAAAGGTCACTCTCATTCTCTTTGCTCATTTCGTATAACACCTAAGTATTTAATGGACAATTTTTGTTTATGCAGTTGGCAAAAAAGGGCAACTTGATAAGCTGCAAAGGGCCATTTTACCTAAAGTTTTAAGAAGTTGGAGGGCATGTGCCCCCTGTGCCCCTGTGTCCCTGTGCCCCTGTGCCTCTGTGCCTCTGTGCCCCTGTGCCCCTGTACCCCTGTACCTCTGTACCCCCGCACCTATGTCTATGAAGAAGGACAACGGACCCTTTCAGGAATTGGACAACACCACATTGATATATTTACCAACACATTTGCATTATGTTCGTTCTTTTGAAAAGGCCTGACAATGGCCTAGGCATTTGGGGTAAAAGGAGCATTTTGGTCGTCAGTGGTGGGGGAAGTCAGGAGGTCTGGTGGGGCAATCCCCCCACCACTAAGTATGTTAAGAAATGCCCTGCCTTGAATTATAACGGAGACGAAAGTCCGCTACTTTAAAGTAACTCGCGAAATGCAGACAACGACTCGAGATATAAGTAGTAATCGATTAAATAGGAGGTTAATGGTTACAGTTTATTATGGAAATGTGATCGAGACTATTATTTTAACTAATCACGCTCGGTTAGGCCGTCACTCCTTCGAAAACAGGTACTTACGCGAGATGTCTAGCGTTATTAAAGTCGCTGTTTGCTCGTTAAAGTTCCCTTCAATTCAACGACTTTCTTTCACTTAGATGAGCTAAATGAGGCGTTAAAGTGAGGCTTTTATGCTAGAAAGCATTCGTCGTTAGATCGCTCCTTTTTCCTTGCATTTTTGTGTGACTGTAGGAAATAAGAAAGTTTATGTTGAAATAGCTAAACATACTCCTCAGGTGATGTTGTTTTTTTTCTCTAAAGTTACTTTTGAGGCTGTAGCTACAGGAGTGTTGGTGTGGGCCCCTAGATGAATAGTTTCTCTGGATTATGTTTTTGGAAAAGTCTGGGCAGTTAGAAAAAAAAACCAAAAAGACTGCTTCTCTTAATGTAAAAAGACTTTGTCGATCACTTTAAATGTTTACAAAATTAGAATATTGTTAGCTGCAGCAGATACATTTATAAGAGACTTCCTACTACGGTATTCTACAACATGTTAAAACCCTTTTGCTGACAAAATGTAAACATCATCATACTAAACCAGATATAATAATGTGTCCTGAATTGAAGAAACGATGGGGTAAAAGAAATTTGAAAAATTGAACCCAAAATGATAACGTGCGACATGACTACAAGGAAAATACTATATTGATTACATGCATAATCGCTATTGCACCCACACAATCTGAGCGCAAGGCTGTAAGGAATTGCGCTTGATTTTCCTTTTCTCCGTTAAATGTTGAAAAAAGAAATTAAAGAAAGTTTGCAAGAAAAAAAGTAATGATCGTGAAAAATATATGCAAAGAAATGCGAAAAAGAGAAGCGAGAAAGAGTAGAGGAAAGGGAATTTAATTGTTTAGGGAAGATTTTTTCCTTCAAAGGTTTAGCCTTGGTAGATTTGTGGAACGCTAGAGTTTGGCTGGACCTGAAATAACCAAATTATCTAAGAATGAAGGCAATAAACGATTTATGCAGTAATGAGCTTAGAAACAAAGATTTTGATTGGATCTTGAGAATCTAGTCACAGTTGAATTCGATTCAACTTCAAAAACCAATCCACCAATCGCAAATGCTAAAAGATTCTTATTACCATTATTATTCTTGGCAAATGAAAAATAATTATAATCATAATTTAAGGCTAATTTTTTAGAAAATAAGATACAATTTAATTTTAGAAAAACACAATTGGAAGAAAAAAGTTTTCGATAAAAAGATTAAATTTGGATGAATTATCTTACATAATCTTGAATTGCTGCCACTATACTCAATTTTCAGTCCAACAGATTTTCCAAAGTTCAAAACCACTTTTAGTTTTCATATAGTTTCTGTATTCATGCTCATGAACCTTGTGTAATCAAAACTGTCTGCCAAAATTAGCTCGTTGACTTAGTTTGTATACAAGCCTTTATATTTCTGTCTACAAGCCAGGGTTTTCCCCAGCATGATCTTCTTTCTTGCCGGCTTCTTGTTCTTCTTTAAAAGTGAACCATAAAATAATAACGTCTGCAGCCTTTTCTCTTCATCGTCACTCGAAAAATTTTCCATTTTGGCGTCAAAACTCTCCTCAACAATAATGGCCTAGTTATCGTGTGTTGTTTTTGCAAGCTGAAAAGGATGCCACTGTCGACCCTTTCGAAAAACTTGAAGGAGGAGCTGAGCAATTTGATCAGTGATTAAATTGAAATCCCGCAAGAAGGATTAAGAAAGGTCTCCAACGAACAGCTGTGAGCAACTACAAGAAAATTTGAAAGTACTTTTCATTATCACATTCTCTCGTTTAGGGTGATAGTGTATTGCGGCCTTTATCTGAAAATCCGTAGCAATGTTTTTGCTTTGGTAGAAATCTCGCACGGTTTTTGCAAAAATGAATTCCGCCTTTAAAACAAAACACAACATATCCTTATATTAGCAGGAATTGCAGGTTAATGCAAAGCCAACGCTCTATTATCATCATGTCTTTGTTACCTTAGGTTGCGTCCAGCCAGATCATCCAAAAAATGGTAAGGGTGTACGTCGATTGAATTACAAACATGGCGATGATGCTGATTATTTATGCAATGATAACTTCAAATTGAAAGGAAAAAGACAAGTTTGCTCTGGATTAAATTGGTCCGGTAAAGTCCCAAAGTGCGAAGGTCAGACAAGTTTGAAACTTAAGCATTCTGTCTACTTTTGTAATATTATAATGTCAGGGTTAGAATAACTCCCAGGGGCTGAAGACTGCAGAATCTTTGCGTTCCGTAAATGTACCCAAAAGCCTTCTTCTTCACGACCAACGAGCCCTATCTATATGTGTTGCAGAATGTATCTCTTTTCTATTGAAGGACTTAATTTTCGCGAAGAAAACGTCAGATTGTCCACTGTGAAACAAATGGAGTTGTCTAATGACTTTTGCCTAAATTCTCCAAGATATATGTTGAATTGTATTGGACTTGATAAAGGTATAAGATGCTTCAGATTGTTTGCTGTGAAACAAATGAAGCTAGTTGTCTACTGACGTGTGCCTAAGCTCTTCTTCAAACTTACTAAATTTGTCGAATAATGTCTCTCTCTCTTTTCTTTTGATGGATTTGATTTCCATGTATGGTGCTTAATATTATTCGCTGTAAAACTAATCTTCTGCTGATTTGTGCAGAAGCTCTTCAAACGTTTACGGCAAAAGACCCCTCACGTAATTTGTTGAAAATTAGAATCATTCCCTCGTGCATAAATCTTTATTTTCGATCTGCATCCGGATGCGAATGATTAAGTTTGTTGCAATGTTTCACCAAAAACTAGTTGGTATGCAACACTGGTTCGTTAATAAGATCAATGCAAGAATTTTTAAAAATTGATATTTTGATTCACATTAAAATTTGTTCGTGTTTATTTAGCGCTTCGCCTTAATTTTTTGCTCTACAATTTGTTTGCATTCTCAGAAATTCGAACTTGTCCGAAGAAATTTACCGATCCCAAGTTGTACATAACGGCCGAGAAATATACACCCGGATCTTTTGGTATCTTTCGATGCAAAGATGGATTTGAATTAGAAGGTGACAGTCAGGCAAGTTGCCACCGGAACCTAACGTGGAGTGGGAGAAGAACATGCCGAGGTAAATTCTTGGGACGTTGAGGGGTTTGCGTTGAAAATCAAGAGAGAAATGTTAACTGTGTTTTAGACCACTTTCAACGAGACCATCTCAGGTTTTCCCTATCTCATCAAAAGTTCGATTCTCATGAGCTAAGTGTTACATTTCATTGCAAGCGTTGTCTTTCCAAAAATTGATCCTTTCTATTTAGCTTGCAAGATACTCGCTTTTGTCGTATGAAGCCTATAACTGTATCATGAAGCCTATGACTGAATCTAGTTTTACCAGGAAAATTATCATAATTTTGCACAAAGAGTAATCGACTTTGCCCCTTTTTTCCCGAATTTTCCCAAATGTGCCACTTTGTGGCCGTGCCAGGAAGGCTTATTTTCTAGAAGGAACGCATTAAAATTGCAGCAGAAAAAGATTGGTATCATTCCCTCGTGCATAAGAAGCAAATGATGTTAGGTTTATGAAGTTATTGCTTTTCAAATGCTGCCCATGTTCTTTGTAGAATATTGTCTGATATCTTTGGTTGGTGACAATTTTCTTCCACATGGTGGCTTAGTAGAGTTGAAATGCCCTGGAACTGAGACTGTAAAAAAACGATATCGTTGCAACAATGGCAAATGGCAACTTATAAAGGATTTCGGATGCCAGCCAGGTATATATTTATGAACTTAAGCATTTTTCTTTGTGTGATATGCTTAGAACATATAAGAAACTCTTAGTTCAATATCCCAAGGAACCATTCTTCTGGACGTTAGATAAAAGGTTACTAACACAGGGACTCTAAACTGGGAGATTTTTAGACTTTTTAACAAAGAATACTTAATTCCAATTTGGTGCAAAGTGTTTTGGTACAAATGAAATTGATTTTGATAATTGGTACGATAACCGTTATTTTTAGGCTGCGTTAAACCATCGTCATTTTTTGCAAATGGCAAAATAACAATTAAAGGGAGCGTTGCAGAAATTCGATGTAAGCGCCGATTCAAGATTTATGGAAAAAGCAAATTGACCTGCCAGAATGGAAAATGGAGCGATGAATGGCCTAATTGCATAAGTAAATGTGTAATGATTACATTTTTTGTAAATCTTTATATTTATCGCACAATATTGTATCATTTCTATTTAGCTAAATGGTCTTTTACTGGATCGGAAAAATACCAGGTTTATGTATTAGAACTGTCAATGTGAATTTCAAGCAAGGAGCGTAATGCTAGAGGTTTTGTTAATGCGGTAAGTAGCTGAGCGTTTTTTGTTGACAATTGACTGTTTTTATACCAAACTATTAGTGCCAAACTTGTCTTTGAAGTGTCTTTATAAGTCATTGGAAATGTAAGAGACAGCACAACAACTGAATAGAAATAAAAAATGGTGTGTCATAGGGAAAGTATTTATCTATCTATCAAAGTTACAACACCATTAGGACCCACAGACCATCACCAAACACGAAGTAATACCATCACCAAACGCAAAGTAGACACATAGTTCATTTTTCAATGAAGACAAGAGAATTCTCCAATGATAACTTGAGTTACTTTAATGCACTTTTTCTAACGTATAACACAAGAATAAACCTAAAAAATGAAAGAGAAGTCAGAATAGCTTGCTGAAAATACTTTGCCACATGTCGACTGCCTTCTGCAGTTATATAGAATTGTCACAGTACATCACACATTCGACAATTTGAATTTGAGATGTATCTTTCTTTTCTTCATGTTCACGTATTCTGGAAATTGATTCATTTCCCAAAAAAAGCTAAAAATTTTGTTTATGCAAACAAACAAAATATTCAAGAAACATAGGAGCCATAGGTCTTATGTTTATAATCATAATGTACATTCTTCTGTCTTAGGCAACAGAACGTGCATTTCGAAATTCTCCAAGCCGCTTTCTACGGTGACGAAGCTTACCCGCCATCTGAACCCTCAGACATTTATGTGTGCCAGTGGCTACGAAATAAAAGGGTCAGCAGTTCTACTCTGCTACCATGGTAGTTTCCCAGCTACATTGCCAATATGTGGTGAGTCTTGTTAATGCTAAGTAGAGAACGTTTCATGCTTTATTACAGGGGCACCGAGAAAGTGGGGGTAGCTAGGGTCTGTGAGAACTTAGTAAATACATAGTATTGAAGGAGTCGAGTGCCCAAATAAAAATGTGAAGTACTCGAAGACGTCATTCAGCCACCAATTTGAATTGAAGTGAACTAGCTTTGCCAATCTCTTAGTCCCAACGTATAAAATGAACATAAGGATTTTCATTTTCGATGACTGACTATTATAAATAATTGAATTCAACTTGGTTTCTTGGAGTAAAATGTGCACAGAAGTCGCAGATAGCCTAAACAAGCCCACCAAAGGAATCTTTAGGCGTGTACTACGAAAAGACCGTAAGAATGTTTTCTCCCGGTTTAACGAACTCCCGATATAACGAACTATTTTCTGATTCCCTTCAGAGTCCATTATATCGGGATTCCACTGTATTTTGTACCCCGGAAATATCTGAAACAAGATCATTTTTCCAGGACTATATTTTGCGTTTCTTGCTTATAATGTTTATATGAAGAGAAAAACATTAGGAAATCTAAACAATCTATGATTGAAAGAAGCTTATATCCGTGTAACGTTATTCACGCTTTAATTTTTTAGAGCCATCATCTTGCAAAAGTTCTTCGACAGCAATATCGTTTCAAGTTTTATGCAAATCAAATGAAAATGGTTAGTAAAAGAATAAAAATATAAATATTTCAAATTCACATTTTGACTGTTGCACAAGAAGAATTTTTTGTGGCTTGCACGAAATTTTGATTTCTAATTTCTTCAGCTAAAGGAAAGACAATAATTTCTCGGTGTCCTGTGGTTTAATGCTGGATTTTTTCTGCGAAATTACAGAAGGAAACAAAGAAGCGGAAATATAACGCATCCTAAGCTCAATTCACACTAGATGCGTTTTTTTTGCCGCTGCCCAAATAAGGTTCGCGTTTTTTGACGAATTGCGTGCGCATCGCGTTTTTTGGGCAATGCGTCACGATGCGGCAAAGTTGGATTTATCCAATTTTTCCGCAATATGCCGCATCAGAACAATAGAAGAGTTTTGTAAGCAAGCTATTCTTCTTTCTTTGTAAACAATAGCGGGACAAAAGGCATGACCGGGCTTTTGAAAACACTGAAATGGCGTTCTATTAAATTGGTGCCTGAGCCAATATCGCTAAAGAAACACTATTTCGTACAAATATTCTCGAACTGCAGAGAATGGGCACACAGAATGCTTCCCTCAATGCCTTTTGCAATGACTATTTCAAACAGATTTTCGCTGACCCGATAAAGATAGAACGTAGAACGAGCCAGGGCAGTGTTAAATGAAATAAATGTACAGAGAGCTAATCCAAGTTTCATCTTAAAGGAGCTGCTTTAGCTTGAATTTTCAAATTCTTGAGACATAAACTGAAATTAAGTCCAATATCACCGCCATTGTACTTTTTAAAAGGAAACGCAAAGTGCCGCACTAGACATGAACGCTTGAATTCCATTCTTGAAAAACGCTGTTTGACGCGCCGCTTCTAGTGTGAAAACTGCCCTGATCGTTTTGCTCTAACAGGTAATCATTTTGCTCTAAGTAAAACTAGGCCCTGATCTTTGCACAGCTAAAATTTCAGCCAGTTTATGGATAAGAATGCTTATTTCTCAACGTGCGGTTATAACAGAGCCCCTTTTGGATTTGAAGATTGCCTTGCTAGCTGCTTTATGGTAGAGCTGATGAAATAGCACGAATCTAGGTTTATATATATATGACATCATTTGTCAATCTATTTATACAGACTGCATTCTATAGATTAAACAAAAGACTGTCTATTGCTACAAGAAACATGTTTCTTATAGCTTGGTCTAAACAAAGACCAGCGAATTTCATATTCGCATTTCGCCAGCAACTTTGAGGAAATTCACAATTCTTATGGAAATCGTGTAACTGCTGTTCAGATATACTGCTATTAGAGAAAAGATGTAGACAGTTCCACGCACGTAATACTTTCATAATTCAGGAAACCCATTCAAGATGTGATTCGGTCGTAGGTCTACTTCAGGATTCAGAGCAAAGGCATGCAGAAGCGAAAATTTCAAGTTCAATTAGTAAAGAAGGTCATTTTTCGTGTAGGCATTATGAAATCGGTCTACCTGAGGAAACCCGCTAATAAAAACAAAATGCAATGATGTGTAAAGAAAAAATACAGTAAATTTTCTTTTGGACATACGGGCTTGGAGAATACTTAAAAATTAACAAATTTATTACAGATTTACTTGATTATGTTTGTTTAAAGGTATTTGTTGGTGTTTCTCAAATTATGTGACAAAAATGATAAAGTTTGAAAAATCTCTATGATGATATCACTTTCCAGGTAATTTCATACATTTCGTGCGCTTTTTATAGTCAGAAGAAAATTATACTTCATTGTGTTGTGAAGTTTAAGTTTAGGTATCATCCCTCGCTTACAATTAAAAGAATTGTGGCACGTGATAAGTGCAAACGTCACAGGTCAGCCACGTATAGGGAACAATGCGTACATGTGGTGGGTCATTGGCCAAGGTCATTATGCCATATAAGATAATAAAGGAAACACACATATGGGCGTAGTAGATACGATAGCAAGAACTGTAGTTAGTTTGAGAAGGAGCTCCAAGAGAAAGGTCATGATATAAAGACAGCAACTCCCTGGCGTAGGCCAGTGGAGTGGTAAGATGTAACTCAAACAATTATGTCAAACATATGTCAAACAATAATCAACCGGTTAGCCGATATACGACTCTATGCAAATAGTGCATATAAATATATAAACGTCATCAAGGTATCTTTATCGTCTCTACCCTGAGAATCCAGAAAGAGTGATAAAACTTAACAGCACCTTTAAAACACATTGCTATGTGTTATGATAATGCTTGTTCGGTCATTTTGACATTCTACAGATATATCAGAGTTCAATCTTTCTTGTCCTATCTTTAAGCTAAGTTTTCAATTTGCCTGACAGAAACAGTGAATCTTTTGATTGTTATGGACAGCATTAATTCATCTTTTATAATTTTTTCTTACTCCACTTTCTTTACAGTTTACATTGCTAAAGTAACAAATATTGATGTCGCCGAAGCAAAACTGCTAATTATTGTCAGTTTGAAAGGGAGTCGGATAGGTGATACAAATGTGAAAATTCTTAACCTTGTTGAGCCGGAAAAATTTGGATGTCCAACAATGAAGAGAGGAAATCACTACATTTTCTTTACAAGAAGTACTTTGAATGATGTCACCCGTGTTTTGCCAATCGATGAGGATGGTATGCAGACAAAGCAACTATCCTTTCTCAAATACTTTTGTGGATATTAATCATTCTTGATAGAATTACTATTTTAGATTAATTCTAAAGGTTAAAATTAAGATATACTTAGAAGGATAAACTATGTACTGTAATGTTTTATCACTTATCAGGAGTTATAACTAAATTAGCTCTTTGCTCTGTTTTTCACAAAAATGATTTTATCATTATCAAATTGTCTTTATCTAAGACAATGGTTTTTTTGTGCGTGCAACTTTCATATTTCGTGTTATTTGTGGACGTGAAAAATCTTCTTTCATTGCACACGAACAAATCCTTAACGGATTATATCTTGTTGAAATATTCCCCAGTAAAGTTACCACGCTCTATTGCCAAAATTCTGTGCTATAAAATTGAGTAGGAATAAATTATGTATTTATTTACTTCTATCCTCTACTTATGCATTATGTGCTTTGCTTTGAGTGAATTTGTAAAAACCGATCACGATGGAAATAAAGTCGACAATTCTCAAGGTTTTTTTTCACAAATACAGAAATGACAATTCGATCAAAAATCAACTTTTATCAAAGACCTGGTAGGAAAGTGCAGCAGTGGTCGTTTACAGACGCTTTTAGCACAGTGACATACAGCAGAAACCCGCATAAAACCTAGGTTTTTTCTGGCAGCCTGAATAGGTTCTTAATTAACAGGCTGCTATTCTAAATTCCAGTCTAAAAGGTTCTTTATAAGGTTCTTGTATATGACAGGCCTTGCACACATTAACAATGTTTTCCATCGCAAGAATTCTAACGGACACGCTTAAACCAGCTTTGTTTTTCATGTTAAATTTCAACCAATCAGCCTTGTTGTTAGATTAATCCAATTAAAGATGTACGTTGCGTGTGGTACTTCATCCAGAATAACGAATACAGTTAGCAAATAAATTTAGTACCAGAATGAAAATATAATAGTTTGGTTGTTAAAAACACGACGTTTCGAGGATTACTCGTTATCAAGTGGCTAGAAAAAAAACGAGCCGAGCAAAGAGAAGGCGATATTAGATATATAGAGAAAAAGAATGCGAGATGCAACGCAACCGAAAAAACTGAATAAGGAAATGGGAGAAAAGTAAAAATAGAGAAGGAAATAGATATAAAAAGAAATTATCGAAGAAAATTAAAATGTTTATTAAAACCATTAGGATAAAGATTTTTTAGGCCAAAAATTAAATGTTTCTCCAAAGTCTCTCGTTTGGTGGCATCTTGCGATGCATGCAATAAGCCAAGGATGGACATGTCGGCAGTAGAATGATTGGAGGAGTAAAAAAGTTTAGATATGTTGCTGCATGTGACAGACACCCTATACATCTCAGAACTAACTATAGGTTTTGAAACTAGTATCGACGGTTATCTAGGCACTTTTCGCAATTCCTGCAACTCGTTCACCAAAATGTGATTCTCTCTGCATCGACCAACAATGCAAAGGATATCTTATCTCAAAACTTTCCAACATAGGTATTCGTACTACTTACTATATTTACTGTTGTATAAACAAAACATAGACAAAGCCAGACTTTCTACCATTTAGATATATTTATATTTATTTTAGTTTTAATTGAACTGAAATGAAAATTTTTCATTTTGTAGCGGAATTTTAAAATCATAAACTGAACTGAATCTACAAAATTACCTGTCTATATTGTCTTATCGTGGTGAAACCCTTCTGGTGTTAAGGGTCCTTTTTAATGTTAGTGCTTAAGGATCCTTGGTCTTAGGGTCTGCTTTTCACGGTATGTCCGTTTTATTTGCTGAAAATAAAACTGCAGATACAAGTGCAACATCCCAGACAGAGGCTTCAGTTACTTTTTCCATAGTCTATGCTTTATCGAGCACTACTGTGCACAGGAAATTTGATTACAAAAATAAGAAAAAAGTTTAGAAACACGTGAGCCTGAAATTAGGCAAAAATATAGGAAACGCCAGGATGAAACTGGAGCAAAGTGTCCTCTTAGAAATAGTGTAAACATGTCTCTATTAGCATGTTATGCTTTTGCTTTTCAAAACTATCTTTAAATTTTGTGGTATCAAATTCAGTGAAATGATTAGTGGAATGTTCAGTCGTTTCGCTTGGACTTTGAATTAAGCTAAAAACCTAATGGCTTTCTTATGCGAAAGAGAGACAAGTAACCGAATGCCAGCTAATAAGTCGACCTTTCATTTTTTAGACATTGTTCAAAATTACAGAAAATGAACATTTTTGTACGAGTTTCTGTAGATCTGGTAAGCTTTGCGGTTTCAGTTGCATAGTTGGTTTCTACAACGGCAATAAAGAATTCAATTGCTTATTCATGTGGTGTTCATTGGTGTTGCAATCAGAATGCTTTCGGCATTTCTACGTATTTTGTTGCAATGAAACTACAACAAGCTTTGCCAAAATTAAAAAACTCATAATCTACTATCATTACATTAGGTTTTGGTATTTTAAATCCATAAAATGCTTTCCAGAAGAAGTAGCAATTCTTTCTTAGAAAATAGTATAGCGTATGTTTTTTAAACGCTAGATATTCACAACTAAAATTTATTAAACCTACCATTCCAGCAGTGGCGGAAATTCAGGCCTTCATTGGGGGGGGGGGGGTAGTGGCAGGCCTACGATTTTCCGAAAAGATAACATCTTGGGCCATGTCTTATTTTAAGGAAACTGCACAGTTTGATGAAAGGTGAATTTTGGGCGAGACCCTTTAAAAATCTTTGCTGACCACGCCATAATTAAGTAGCAAGAAGAACAATCCATTTATGATTTTTTATATCAAGATCGACATCTCATCAAGCAATTGATAGTAGAAGAGGTCGACGATTACATTTTTGACAAGTCGTTCATAATAACAACATTATTGTAATTGTAACGTCCATTTTCTGCATGTTATCTTGTTTTCTTCAGTGGGGATAAAACAACTTTTGTTTGGAAGAATCCGATGGAAAGTTCGGCTAAATTTTACGGAATTGAAATTAAAGGTGAATTGACACGCAAAACTGTTTTTTGATATAATGCATAAAATGATGCAAGGAATCTTAATTTCAAGTTTAATTATTATTGTCCGTTTTGACGCAATTCAGATTTAAATGTCCTGAAATTATCGTCGAGTGCTCGACCCTTGTCGGCATTTCATGTGACGAGTTGCGCGTGACGTCACAAACACCATGTTTTATTCCTTGAATGCAAATCACGCACGAAAGTTCATCTTGTTCAGTTACTATTCGATGAGTTTTATGTAGCCTTTCAGGGGCGGATCTAGAAATTATTCTGACTGTCGCCCACAAGGGTGTGGTCGGAAATATCATTCTTGACCACACCCATAGTTTTTAAGGATATTCGCCCCCTTCTCATTTGAGCAATCGACACGCATATTAAATTGGCTTTATTTAGAACGTTGTCAAACTGTTGTTTATTCCTTATTTGAGTTTTCAATTGATACTACAGAATCATTTGTGTTGTTTCTTAGCCAAGCGTAAAGCAAGAAACAACTTGAAATTCTTAAACGTATTGACACGGTTTTCTTTTTATAATCAGGCAAACATTCGAGTCGTCTTTCTCGATTTGTTTATGGTATACGATGACAAACCAGGCCACGCAAAAAATGAAAAATATCATTACAATGAATTTTCATAACTAACAAAATAGAACAAATGTACACAAATATTCACAAAAACCTGCATTTTTTAATAACTAATATTGTTTAATAGCTAAACCAAATCAGCGTGTAAATATGTATTTTACTCCGAAGAAACCCCTTCGAATTCAGGGGAATACCCAAGCAAGTAAACTTTACCCGGAAATATCTGAAAGCTGATAAGGAACTGAGAATCCACATTGAAAAGATTCACTTTGAAAGTTTTGTCCAAATAAAAATTTTTCACTCTGCCAACGTCCTGAATATTATTTATTCGCCAGAGCCAAATCGCAGGTATCACCCCAGTCCAAGGCATTTATTGAAATTTGTAGGCCCTTGATTCATGGAGGAGGTAATGAATGTGGAAACTTGAAAACATCCCGTGTCGAATGTTACTCTGAAAATCTAGCGACCTTTGTCTTCCAAATTACCAGGTTTAACGTACTCGTTATACATGTAGCCAGTCGACTCCATAACACAAAATTCCTATTCCCCAGTGAAGAAATTCCCATGCCAGGCATAAATAAGCTCAAAACTGTACAAACACGCAATGAGGACGGATTAATCTTTGCCCAGTGGTGCGACCTTACTAAAAAAACATACTGTGCACCGAAGTTCGCACTATCTAGCAATTTGATTGGTTAAATATTTTAAAACAAAAGCTGTGCGAATCGGTGCGAACGTGCTACTAATCATACTGTGCACCGAAATACCCTAATCTAACTACATTGGTACCTTGTTGTTTTTTAGTCAGGATGCTTTGAGATTTGAATCAGATTGAATCAAGATCGAGATTGAATTAGAGATGGTGTTTAAGATTTTGCTTGTGTTTATGGCCAGGTTTGAATCATGCATGATTCAGACCTTGGATCTTCCTGCTCCTGCACGGTGTTCAGTTGTCAAATATAACTGAAGCATAATTCCCAAGCAAATACACTTAAAACACAAATGGGAAATTTGCCAATAAGCAAGAATGTTGTTGTTAAGGAAAAACCTCTTTCGAGACGGATTCTTAGCATAATTTTAAAAGTTTGACTGTCGCATGTGCGAACGGTGCAAACGTCTAGATCCGCCCCTGTAGCCTTTGATTCAAGATATATGAAAATTCAAGGCCAATGAAATGTACGAAGGATATGTGCTGGCTGGTACTGCGTTATGAAAGGAGGGAATTCAAGTTTGGACGGAATAGGCACTGTTAGCTGCTCGAAGAAATTCTCAATTTTGAAGTCAATCATGCGGACAAATGTTACGATTGCAAACTAATCGGCTCACCCGAGTTACAGGAGTGCAGCGGCCTGGGAGTTGAAAATTTTACTAAGTTGTTTTCCTGCAAATAACGACTCGACCGTACCAGGTTCTTAACCCCTAAAAATCTTTCATATAAAATCATATTAAAATCTTTCAAAAACCCCTAAAAATGAATAATATGCCGAAAAAGAGGGACTTAAATTCGAAGTCTTTACTGTGTAAATTGAAGTTAATCAGGATGAAAGACCGATATTAACTTTCTTTTTGGGGGGGAGGGCACCACATACTGGGTCCTGCGAGACAGAGGAAGGATCTCTAACGCGTTGAATAATACGATATTCTTGCAAATCTTATTATCAAAGGTTTGCAAAGGAGTTATAATAATCTATTTTTCAAGCAGGTTCTAGAAATGGAGCCAAATCCTACTGAATTAATGTATCGATGCTCTTCCGCAAAATCATAAAATTGCGGCCTTCTAGACTGTCGTGTTGCTCAAGTGATTTGAACATGGTGTCACGTCATGGAATTTGAACACGTCACGATTTTGCGGAAGGCTCGGGCAAACTCGTACCTGCTCGAAAAATTGTTCGGTGGCTAACTTTGACGCTCAATAACTCGAAAACTGTGTTGAATATTAAAAACTGATAATGTCTCAGCTATTTACGCTCGACATGCTTTCATTTGAGGTCAAGTTAATTTTGCATGCCCAAGTCCCCCCCCCCCCATACCCCCATAATTTCCGCCACTGTCCAGAATCCAGAAATCCTGGTGCTACAAAGATGACAGTGAGTCGTGCTCATGGCCGTGCATGATTTTCAGATTTATTCTGGCTACAGGGCCTCCGACGAAGGGGGGCCGGAGCGCCCATCCTCTCAAATTTTTGCAAAACAAAAGAGCTTTTTTCAAAATCTTTTGTTAAGATTGTTAAATTTCCCATTGCCCCCCCCCCCCCACTTTCCAACCTCACCTGGGCAAATCACTCCAAGAAAATCTCGTACACCTTTTGTGAAGATCTTATTGTTTTATCTGAAAATCCCAAGAAATCCTTTTGTTCTAGGCAAAATCTCGTACGCTATTTGCAAGCGCCCCTCGGAAAAAGCCTTGTTTCTAAATGCTATTCTGATAAAATAGGTTAACATAGCCCTACACTGACAATCTACCGTTTCTCCTATGCTTATAGTGGGAGGCCGGAGCACATTTTGGGATGGGGGCTTTAGAATAATTGCCAAACTTGTATGACAAATTCCTCCATTATATTTGATACTGAACACGACATCCCTCGCATCATTGCATGTTTGGTGTTTATAACCTGCGCAGGAGCTGCAATCATGGATACGTCCAAACAACAAGCAACAAGACAATGTGTTCGTGAAAGATTTCAAAACAAGACGACCTGTTGATTAACGCAGTAATCACTCTTTTTATTAATGCAGCTGAAGGTTGCCAACTGACAAGAGAATTGTTACTGCCTTCAGAAATGGCTGGACTCGATGATGCGAGGGCCTACATGGCCAAAAGGGAAATACCACAGTTGTTCGAGGTTTGCGAGGGCTTTCTTCTTCCTTCACAGTAGAGATTACGAATTTAACTATTCCCTTCAAATTTCATTGCATTTTGAGATAATTAATTTACTTTTAACGTAAACTGGCTTATTAAGAGCCACAGGTTGTTAGTACACCAGATGTAAATCACAGCATTTTTTATTTGGCTCAGGTAGCCTCTTGATATCCCTATGTTTTCCAACGCCTACCACTCAGTTCTAATTAGTTCCCACATCAGAACATTATAATTTTCAATTATTTGTAGGTGCTGCTTTTCACACTATAAATTGAAAAAATATATCTCATGACCAGCAAACTTAGGTGATATGTGAAAATTCTTTCAATTTAATAAAGCAGGGGAAACGCAGCGACGTTTTGAAATTTAAACATAAACATTTTGTATGCTTCTACTGTTTAAACATAAACATAGTGGTAGAGGTTTTCATATTTCTTATCAAAGATTAAGTTCCTAGCACAAGAATGACTGTGTACGACACCCTTGTTGAAATTCGTTATATCTCTATCAAAAGGAACATTATCTTGCAAAATTTCGATATAAATTATTCAGAAAGAGGGTGCTTTGAGAAAATAAGCATCAGAGAACAAAGAGGATCATTCCAAACCAGATTTTAATTTTACCTAAAGGTTTTTGTTAAGTAATTCCTTTTTGTTTCTGTCTTGATGACAAACAAAATTACAGCTTCTCGTTGATCAGTGGCATCTTCTAACATTTTTTATCCATTAACCTGTTATTTCTTGCACTCTGAGCATTATACAAATACTCAGTCCTGCTCATTATCAATGTAGAAGTAGAATGAAAAATTCAGAGTGGGGGAGGGGGGTCATTTTAACATCAATGCTACAAGTAATGGTCATGGTTGGGGCTCATTGCCCCCAGGCTACATTGGAGATCTTATCTTGCCCCAAATCTGCCAAGAGCATGGTCCCCACAGGCCTTTATACCAGCTCCTTTATAACAGCACATTGTTATTTGGTGGGTTTTAGTGAAAATATGTGCCAAGCAAAATTTTGAGAATGCATAATGGATTGCCCCTTGCTGAAGGCAACAAAGTTGCATTGGAAATCAACAGGGCTGTGAATGACTTGTTTCAGTTTGTGAAGTTCACTATAGCTTGTATATGGCCAATTTCTTGAGCATGTTGCTTGGATGCAAGGTTATGAAAAAACTTGCTCACAGACAGTGGCATAATCAGGGTGCTAGGATCCAGCATGGGGTCAATGTCTTTTAGAGAGCTGGACAACCCTCTTATTTCAAAAAGCTTTGTGATCATTTAGGGGGATGATTCTCCCTCCTTTCCCCTTGCTATGCTTTCCAGCCCAATCCATTATCCGTTAATTACCAAAACTTTCCCTCTTATTCTGCAACTTATGCCTTTATAAAACTGGTTTCACGGTCAAAACTTCTAACAATGTTTTTGTTTGGTTTTTTAAACAGAGTTTAATGACAGCTTTGATGTACAAAAAGCCGGATGACCATATAAAATTCCTTGAAGAATGCTTATCAAAAGCTGAAAAAGAGAAAAAAATTCAGTGGCACACATTTATTGAGCCTTTGCCCCCTATACCAAAGGATACTGGAAAAATTCAGTCAGAGCAAGCAATGCCGCAAGAAGAGAGACCTGAGATGCAGGAAGAAAAGCCCCAAGCCAGTCCTGTTCTAGAAACACCACAACCCCTGCCACCAATTGCAAAGAAAGAGGATGGTGCAGAAGTAGACCAAGGGCTAAACAATAATGTTAACATTACATCAGAACAATCTTCAGAGGAGCCTTTACTTGAAGTAAAATCTTCTGAAAATGATCATGATTCTGCTTCTAATATGAAATTGGAGAAATCTATTTCTATTGAAGATGATAAAGGGCTTGAAGAAAAAGGACTTGAAGTAGAAGAAGTCAAGGGGCAAACATTAAATGAAGTTGAAAATGTTTTGCAAAATGATGATGCTGAAAAGCATGCAAGTGTCAAAATAAGTGTTCCCATTTTGTTTGTTCTTGGTGAGTTGTTTTGGAAGTAAATGTTTAATCAAGTTTTATGTTTTTAACTTTATCAATCATTGGCCCATTTATGTGGTAAATGTTGTATGTATTCAGTTTTATGGGCAAGCAGTGATATGAAAATTCAAAAATGGAAGTGAAATGACCAAGATCTGATTTTAGGTTAAATGATGTTGGCAGGCATGGATGTCCATTCTCTATAAAATGGCTTCTCCCAAAAAAACAAGTGACCACAGAAATGAGGGTAAGAGGGGGCTTAGCCCCCCCCCAATCTCAGATATGTGCATAAATGCACACAAAAGTTGCCTTGCTTTAAGCTATTAGCATATCCAGCCCCCAACGTTTTAGCCCCCTCAATGTATCTTATGCTCTGCCATCCTTGAAAAGAAAAAGGCTCTTCAAAAATATAAAAAAGGGGTTTTCATAAAAAACCATTTTAAGCAAGAACTTTGAATATAACCGTTTGAGGTAAAAGAATTTTGCTTTTGAATATACAATTTAAACCTCCATCAATAACTCTCAAGGGAAAGAGCTTTCTTGTGATAATTAACCTTATTTCACCTGTTTACTTTCGTATTCAAAATTGGTCTTGAAAAATTTTTCAAGATACACATGAATTTTCTAAAATGATTTGCAGAATATGCTGTAAGAAAATGAGGTCACAGATTCGAGCCATACCCTCGTCCTTTCATTTTCTCACATTTTCTCTCAGAATAATTGTTTGCGCACTTTTACCTTTCCAATTCTTCCATGCCCTCTAACAGATGTTGGTATCTCTTGCATTTTGCTTTATCTAATAATTTTGCGTTAAAGGTGGCCCTGGATGCGGCAAGGGTACACAATGCTCAAAGGTCTCTCAGGACTATGGATTTACGCATTTGTCGGCAGGGGATTTGCTTCGAAAGGAAATAGAACGAGGCACAGAGAGGGGAAGTATGATTGCAGAAATCATAAAGGAAGGACAGCTTGTGCCTCAGGTTAGCCATGAATTGAGATTAACACGATACATCATTATAAGCACTTCCGAATATGTTTTTCATCATTATACAGCTCACCATATTTTAGCAAAATTTAATTTGTTTACCCTGTTCTGTAACACTGAATTGTTTGTTGAACCTTATCAAAATTCTGCGTGGTTTGGTTTCGATGCCTTGGTATCGATGTCTCATTGCTGGCTAAATTTCTATGAATTTCTTCAAAAATTTCACGATCAAATGATGTAACGCAAAAAATGGCAAATTACTTATTTTTCATTATAACTAACGAGCTCCATGCACTATAATATAAGATGTCAAGTTATAGGAATAACACAAGATCTTGCGGTGATTTATTTGAACCATTTCTAACTAACAGGAATGTAAACTTTTAGGTACATTTTGGTGTCACTTGAACCTCAAACGGAGTTGATATTTCGGTGTTATAATTTTTTTCTATGATAACTAGGAAATAACTATCGAGCTCCTTGAGAATGCAATGATGGAGGAACAAGATGCAAAAGGCTTTCTGATTGACGGGTTTCCGAGAGAAATAAGCCAAGGAAAGCAGTTTGAGGAACAGGTCAGTACTCTAATCCTTTGCTTGGTTTAACAAAAAAAGGAACCCATAGCAAGTTTCATTTCCAGCATTCTTCTGTGTAGCCTTTTTTTATAGAAAAAAGCAATATGCATGAACCTACTTGTGAAGAGGGCCTGTTAACGGGATGAAGGAGATCACGTCTCTAAATCTCCGATATTTTGCAGGTCATTACTGAATTTTTGTTCATTTGGCAGCATTAAAGAAACTTGTTGAACAAATATTATGGGTATCAGCGATTGCTTCTCCTTATAATGGCATTTTTCAATTATTTTTTTGTGACAATCATTGTTTATTCTTTACTGATAAGTGATGACACTTTCTAGTATCATCATTGCTGCTTGTAACCTTTTAATGTACTGTACTCTTAAACTAAAAATGCTCCAGAACGCAAACTATCTTGAATTTTGCGTCTGCTCCGAGGTTTCTACCTGAATACACTTTTTTGTATAAGAACCAGTATATTTAAGTTCAGGCTGATTGTTCTTAATTATTCTCAAATCTGGATCGTTCTTAATTTATTCTTTAATTAAGAGTGAGATTGCCAGCTTTTTCAGGCCTCATTTGCCGACAAAGTGAGTGAGACAACCTCAATTTGCCGTCATGTTTGAATATTCAGCGAAAAAGCGCCCAAACATGACTAAAAATCCTCGTTTATGAGATAAAACGTTGTTCAAAATTGCATTTTACAGTAGCTCAGCCTCACCTTTTCCTAATTTGTTCTTTTTTGAGGCTCATGCTCTTATAAAAAAGTATACCGTTTGATTTTCACAAGGTCAAGGACTGCACCGGACTGCTTATGTTCGATTGTGATGATTCAGTGCTTGTTGAACGCCTGTTGAAACGTGCTGAAACCAGTGGACGGACTGACGACAATGAAGAAACTATTAAGAAGCGTCTGGCCTTGTTCCATGAAAAGACAATGCCAATGATTGATTATTATGAAGACAAGGTCAAACGAGTAAGTAGGGTGAATCAAATATTATCGGATAAGATTTTTACAGGGGACACAGAAGCTTGGTTGAAGAAGCTTTGTAATAGCCGAAGTGAATGCAACAGTTTTCGCATTGCCCTAGCTTGGTCTGTTGAATTTTCTTAAGGGTGTAGTTAGTTTCCCCACTGATGACAGAGGCAGAGTTTGAAATAATAATGTAATTTTACCGTTGTCTTACCATGTTTTGCTTATCTATTGCTATTATAAGAAGCTGTTTATTTGAAGCCTATTGATACAGAAACCCTAAAGGCAGCGTTTCCATGGAAGTTGGCATTTTTGGGGATGTTGCTCGTCGAAACGAGCAACGCACAAGTACCTTGGTGGAAGCAAATAAAGTCCCAGAACAACTAAATTCATTTAGCATTTCATCGGGAATTTTAACAATCGTGCGTGCAAGCATCTGCATTCTATAAAAACTCACTGCCTTTAACGTTGCCCCTAACTGGTTGAGTCTTTCAGAATTAAGGTTTTCATTAACGCATTTTGTTATCAAATTCTTTTGATACTATTGCCGTGCTACCTGTTTTAGTATTGATGTATAATTTATAAACAATTTTTTTCAAGTTTGATGCAAGTGGAACCATAGATGAAGTGTATGATCAAGTCAAGTCATACATAGATCAGTTATCAAGTAAGTAAAATTCTCATGAAAGAGTCTATTACGTCATTTAAAATGCACAGTCTCTGGAAAAGCCTATTATGCCGTTTATAAACATGATCCTTAAGAGCAGGACATGTGATTTGTGATCTCAGTAGAATCACAGGCGTCATTTTTCAGGTGTCCTATGGGTGAAATTCAGGGGTCTTATGCTGTAGCTTATGCCTTTCTCAATCGAATTAAAAAAGACCATTTGAGCTCAAAAATATTCTATTGTAATTGCACCTCAACATCTCTTGCTACAATGCCTGCCAAAAGTCTTGGAACACTGACATCAATTTCCAAGGTCAAAACCAATCATCCCCCTCTCCCCCACGGAACAATGTTGGTTTATTATCAAACGGGTTAGGATTTTAGGAAGCACTTTCTTTTGCGCTTCTTTTATGATATTTCTCTAAATCATCAACATTGTTTGAGGGGGAAGGGGGCGGAAGTAGCAATTTTGTTTCATGAAAGGAATGAAAGATATCAAATGCAGCGTAAATTGGTGGGTGTTCCAAGTACTTTTGGCAGGCATTGTAGCCCGCCACTATACAAGCTAGTTTCTTTGCCTCAGTCACCAATAAAATGCTTTACAATCTAATCATTCTTTTGCAACTGAATAGTCTTAAAGTTCTGGGATATAAGATTTACTGTGTCATATTTAAAACAACCTGGGTTTGAAACAGTCCAACATACAGCATCAGTTGCTTGTAACATACAATATGCATATCATAGAAGAAAATTACCGAAGCTTGCTTGCTTCGGAAAAAGTAAAATGAAAACCTTAGAATTACAGACGCAAGGTGGTCGACTGTGCCCTTACGTTCATGTTAACAATGAAACAATGCTAACAATGACCTATTTAACATATTTCACCATATTTACCATATTTCATCAATCAATGCACTATTCTTAGTTGCTAAAATCCATTACGAAGCAGAGACTCCATTTGAATTGACAAAATTGTTTCTTTCACTGCGTTGAAAGAAGAGCCCATTGCAAACCAGCATTTGCTGAAGGGCTACCCTTTTTAAACTATTTAAAAATAAAAATGAAAAATTGAAAATATATTCGTAGGAACAAAAATTGTTATGTTGAGGGGACTGTAGTGATGTAACAAAACAAAACTCCTGTCTCTAACAACGAAATTCCTAATTTTGCATCCAGATCGGTTTAAGTGGCACAGTTGTGGTGCCGTAACTTTTATAGATTTTGGGTTGGTCAAAGTGATTAAGAGATTTAGTCAACAGATAAATCATTCACTGCAAGTTCGATAAATAGAAATCAAATGACTATCATATTTCAGCTAGCTCATCTTGAAAGTTTCTGACTTTTGCATTGTATCAAAATTTCTTGAAAATGTTTTGTAAAGACGCATGCTTTTGATGAGTAGGCTAGATTTTAGAAGCATACCACCAATGTATGTTTTGTAAACAAGCTTAAATTTATCATTTTTCAATACATTTTTAGTTACTGACAAAGAACTGAGCGAGATGATTGATGATATAGCAAATATAGAAATTGAAAGCAAAGATGAAGTTTCGCAGGAAAAGGATGCAGAACGTGAAAATATAGCTGACATTGTGGAAGAGGACACCATAGCACCTCAGGAAGAAGTTGTGATTGGTAACAGAGGTTTCACCACAGATTTCGCAAAGCAGGTTCTTCAAGGAAAGGAGGTCATATTTGTCATAGGTAAAAATATTTTTGGAGTACCTACTGAGAACAGAATTATATTTGTATTAGACCGGACCAGAAATATATCTTGGAAATTCGTCGTACAAGGCGAATTATTTCAACCAAAATCAAAGATATGTGAATGATACTGCTTGGTTATAAATTTTTGCAGTGTATCAAAACATGTCCAGCAAATTGTGGAAGGAAATGTGTTTTTCGCTGATCAAAGTAACAGAGGCTCAGGATATGCTATATGGTTTTGCCCGTTGTAGTCGCGCTGGATTTTCCCTGAAACTTACTTATATCTAGACTTACGGAATTACGAGCAGCGTTTTAATGGATTCATGATTAGCAATTTCAAACTTAGGTAGTTTGTAAGTTTATATGCAAGATTCAATGATAAAAAAAGAAATGAATCGGATTCTCAAGAAGATGTGAAATTTAAGCAGATAAGAACGCTGTGAACAAGCAAAGCTTTCTCTATTCTAAACTTTTTCAAATTTGACAAATGGATTTCATTTGTGATTGCAAAAACTCAAGGGTATTGGTATTGCTGATCATGGATTTCCGAAATTTATTTGATGCTGCATTTTTAAGAATATTTTGCCAAAATGTTCTTGCTACGTCCTTCTGCTGCAGACTTTGCTTAAACTACACTAATTTTTTATAAGAAACTGGCTATAAAAAACGAGTACTGGACAGTCAGAAAAAATTAAAAAGCTTCAGCACTCGAAGCAAAAAAATTACGAAACAAATCGTGATAAAACTGAGAACAAAGGAAATTTTGTAAAATTCAAGAACATTATTGCTCTGATGGCTGGAGTACTCAACGGCCTTTGTTTCTTATAAAAAATTGAGTATATTGATAAACCTTACTCTTTCTAAACGCCCTCACTTCTCCTCTCCCTGAGTTTAATTTTAAGAAGAGACAATTCAAATTGCATGATAGGTGGTCCTGGTTGTGGAAAGGGAACACAAAGCAAACTTATAGTTGACAAGTTTGGCCATAAGCATTTGTCGCTGGGAGATCTCCTGCGAGGCCAAGTTGCTTCCGGTTCAGAACTGGGCAATATGTTACAGGAGTTCATGAAGAAAGGAGAGCTTGTTCCCAATGTAAGTTTCTCCAAAAATTTTCTTATTTAATCTTATAGAAAAACTATCTTTATTGTGCACAAATTCATGGTAACAACGTATTATCTAAAAAAAATTTTTTAAACAGAATGAACTTCTGTGAGTTCAAATTGATGTCGGTTGTCCTGCAAATTATAATTGAGATACTACTAAGCTATTTTGAAGAACGTGTATCGAATGCTAGTTATCTAATTATGCTGAGAAATATCATATAACTTAAGAAATTTAAAACAGCAGAGCCACATAACAAAATATATCCATTTAATACCGTGTCATACAGATGTAGCCAAATATTGAACTTAGTTCCAAACGAAATAAAGTACTCTCAACTTACAAATGCTCAAGAAAAAATCTCAGAATTTTTATCGTTCAATTGTACTTGTGACCTTTGCAAGGAATGTACATGTTTGACCTTTGCAAGGAATGTACTTGTGACCTTGTGATCAATTGTACATGTGTAAGATCGATTATATTTGACTTGCATTATATTTAGCGTTGGTAATTTAGATTAGTTGGTTTTAATCAGTCTGAGTATAAGCTAAAGATTGTATCAACTTTAAATAAAGAGAGAGAAAAAAATCGTATGCTTGTCAGTGTACGGGGACTGTCGTGATGAAGGAGTCGTCGTTGGGGGCTTGGAGACTTAGAAAATCCAATATGACTTGAATTTTTCACAATAATCTGCTTAAGACTTTTAAAATATAAGGGGTGTTCTAATAAACTGCTTTACCCTGTTTGTGGTATGTTCTCGATAGCATCAAACATAGGGTTTTAATGTGGGGCATCTGTCTGGGTTAATTGCTATTCCTATTTTAAAATTTTGCCTTTTTATTTAAATCTTTATAAAATTTCTATGCGTCAGGTGTTTGTGTTCATTTTTAATTTCTGGGCATGGTAAACCCTTCAGCTTAGAAATATAACTGCCTTACAAAATATATAAATGCTTTCAAACGTTGTTATTATCAGATTTTCCACTGTTTTTTTTTATATTTTTTGAATTGGCCAAAGCTAGGGAGCTCCCTAGCTTTAGAAAAAACTTAAAAAGCATTGCGATCACAAGTTTTTTTAGTATTCTGAACTATAACAGGTAATTGGGTACTGCATCCTGTTAAATAATTTTCAGCTGTAATGAGGTACAGATATTTTTTCCAACATGCTTGTATCATTTTGCAGAATCTCATAATGCGGAGCTTGGTCGATGCCCTAATTGCAGACGAAAACGCCACCAAATTTTTAATTGATGGTTTTCCAAGATCACTAGCCCAGGCAGAAGAGTTCGAAAAAGAGGTGAGGTATTTCTTTATTTTTTGCTAAAATCTTTTCTAAAACCATGGGTATTCTAATGACTAAGGATTCAAATCTGAAGTTAAAACGCCGCTTCAAAGATGCATGACTAAGGTAGCATAAATTTCGTGATACCGTCAAAAGGTCCATGAAAAATTTTTAGCTTAAAATATTTGAAGTTTTTTTGTCTTTGTAAATGAAGAGAGAAGGATCACCAATATCATAAGATCGAATGGCAGCCAGTGGATCAGGTATGCATAGGATCAGTGAATTCTATACATCGGATTTTCTCGCTAGATGGAATAATCCTTTTGTTTACAATTCTCCAGTTTTTTAGGTTTGCCTTTGCTGAGTCTATAATTTGCATTTTTTATAGACAACTATGTTCACGCCAAGAATACGTTATGAAAATATCAGGTTCTTTTTAGCTTTGTTTGCCTGTATCTGTTATGCTAATATGCCTGGTCTGGGTCATATGAGCAAAACACCTGATCTCGGTCATACAGGCAATGTGCAAAGATGGTTTCAGTCTTAGGCCCTTTTCATATACTGCTTAGACAACAAAGGAGTTTCGTGGAATTAAATGGTCTATCATATATAATTTTTATATATAACCTAGTGCTCTAAGTGAATTTTTTCAAAACACCCTGTAAGTTGCTCGAGAATTCATTTGAAATCTGCTCGTTGATGCATTAATTGTAAAGTGACTGCATTGCAGTTATGTTGAAGTTAAGGTAGCAATGGGTGTGCCATGGCTAAAATCCTGTAACCTAAACGATAAATTATTGGCGAATAGTGGTTGGCTATCTGGCCAAGTACATTTTGAACTAATCTTTAGGTATAAATGATAACAGTTAACTTCCCACTATAACTCGAGTGTTTCGTGTTTTGTGGATGGTTAGACAACAAATTGTCAGAAAAGATAACACTTTTTGTCCAACCCTGTAATTTTGATTCTTTTGTGACTAAATTAAAGATTAATCATATGTAACAATGTATTTATTAATTCAAAAGGCCCGTCAGTTCTTTGGAGCTATTGTCTGATGTGGAATGATTTTTTGTTGAAAAAAGAATTTTCTTCAATGATGTTAATGATTTCTTCGTTCGATATTTCTTTGATCACGGGCTTTTGGTTAAGTGCAAAGAATTCAAATAGAAAAAACTGATAAGAAGTAAAATATACTGTAACGCGAATAGTATTAAATGCGCCTGTAGTTAAGCCCTGGCCTTGCTTTTTTCAGTAATGATTTTATCTCACGAAGATGCTCCTTGGATCTTAAATATTAATCAAGTCTAAATCTTCACTTCGTTGCAGATAGCAGAATGTCACCGTGTTTTGTACTTCAGCTGCCCGAACGATGTGATGGTTGAAAGGCTTTTGAAAAGGGCAGAAATGAGCGGGCGTGTCGATGACAACGAAGAAACGATAAAGAACAGATTAGAAGTGTTTCAGAATGAGATATGTCCGATTATCGAGTATTTCACGGCAAGAAACAAATTGTCAGAGGTTTGTTTTCAAGTTTTTTTCATCATGAATTTTGTGTTTCATACATTAAACATAAAAACCATCAGTTGTCTAATGACCTTGCTTTCCGAATGACGCACTAGATAGCGATTAGTCGACAGAACATAACAATATGTTAACGTTCATTAGACAACTGATGGTTCCAAAAAAGAGAGCATCCACGGTGCTTTTGTAAAAGTCAAAATTTCTAAATGAGAGTTGATTTGGCCATAAGTCGATCTTTACTTGGAAACCCAGAGAACGGCAAAACATAGAGTGACATTAATTTGGGCAAGCAAGGACGTTTTTCATATATGTGTTTTCGAATCTGTCTTCATTTAAACAGATGATTTAGGCCCCGTTTACACGAGAGAAGAAGGAACGGATCCAAAAGATCCGGACCTTCTAGGTTCTGCAGACAGGAAAAGTACGTTTTCTCGAGCTCTTCGTACCCCCTCCCCTCGTTTGATGGTCTTTCAACACGCCACTAATAGATGTAGGTCATTGTGCCTCTGAACTTTTGTACTTTGCTGAGAATTTCCGAAACTTTGTAACATAATTTGAAGATAACTAAACAAAGGACGCCATTTCGACCCTAGCCACTCCTCTACAATCTCGCCCTCCTTTACAATCTCCACCCCGGGATTTAAAAGTGGAGAGGCTGAAATGGGTGTATCCGAAGATTTTTTGAGGCTACGCCCCCTAGAACACCGGAAAACGCCCCTTTTATAAAATATTTGCTTATTTCTACTCAATTTGTATAAACAGTCTAGTTCAGAGAAGATAACAGTAACGATAAGAGAAGATAAAATTAGCTTGAGGGTAACAAAACACCAAGCTAATAAAGTTAAGAAATACATCATATCATTAAACAAGATAAAACACCTAGAAAATGAACAAAGAAGGTTTCAAGAAGAACTGGTACAGTGGCGTGACGCAAGGTATGCACCTTTTAGCACAAAACTAAGGGCTCCCAAGATGTTTCTCGAAAAAACGGGATTAGGATGAAATCATTTGTTGCGTAACAGCATTCACAGTACCATTGAAATGAGCGTAAATGATTTGTGAGCAAGCACATGAAGATGTAAGATTTGCCATGTTTCTTCTAATGCACACCTATATCGTTATAAAATTTTGCATTTAATCAATGAGGATATCACAGATATCTAGAATCTAATTTTGCCGAAAACAAAGAAAAATTCCCTGAAAAAACAAAGACCAAGATCTACCAAGCTCAAGTCTCCCTCTGCAGAGAGAAAAGGCCGAAGACAAGGTCACGAGCCCTGTCTTTGATGAATCTTCTGTAGCTCCGGAAAAGAACAACAGAGGTGCGAGTCAGACTAAAACGCAAGTCAAATCATGTCAGCTTGATCTTTTAAAGTCTTATCCAACTGATCGTGGTCATTTTTGTGAAGATGATTTTGATGCCGATCTTAAGAATTTGATTTTACAGCATTCGAGGACATAAACAAAGATGGATCTGTGTCTGCAAATTTTACTGCTAGTTGTTATAATAAACACTTCAGGAAAACCCCAAAGAGTGAGGCTTTAAAAGTTGACTCAAATTTAGCTAAGTATAGGGGACCCAAAACACTGCAGTAAGGGCCCCACATTGCTCTGTTACGCAACTGAACTGCTACTACCCAAAGTTTCGTTAGCGTAAACCTTCCAAAAAATGTTCTAGCCTATTATTGGAAAAAAGTGGGGGGCTATAGCCCCTGCTAGCCCAGTGGCTGCGCGGTGCCTGGCATGCTTTTTCCTCTCATTCTAATTTCGACCTGCATTCTAATATTGATTTTCTGCGTACATTTGTCATTATCCGACGTTTTTCGGAGCATTGCCAGACAAAAGTTACTTTAGCATTCTCTGTTTCCGCTTTTAGTACTATCTTTAAGTTAGGGGATGGTATTAGCTTAAGAATGTAACCAGGATAGGGTAAAAACGGGATTTACGAGCCTTAAAAGAGGCAGAGGAGCGTAGCAACGTGGCACATAAAAAGTAAAGATAAATTTGCTAGAAGGAAGTTTTAAGAAACATCTCTTATCGCAATTCACAGCTGTTCAATTAAAAAAAGATTTCAATCGGCCAATCAGAAAAACGCTAGCACATGACCGGCATGGTTGTCCAATCAGTGCTGCGTGCAGCTGGGTATATATTTTCCAAAGACTTTGATCTAAGTAAATGCCCAAGTAATTTATTCAGTTAATGCCTTCCAGTTAATGCATCTTTTCTTTTTGGTGCTCCATTGAATTAACGTCCCCTTTTTAATGTTAAATTCCAAAAAAACCCTATTTTTAAACATCCTTATGTTAGAAAATATAGGGAAGTTAGAGAACATACGAGAGTCACTCCAAAATTATTGAGATATTCAAAAACCGCAAGAGGCATCGTGTTCAAATTTTCACAGTTTCTCAAAATACTCTCCACTGGCTTCCACACAAAGTCTTATACGATAAAACCACATATCAAAACAATGGGCCCATTTTTCCGCAGCCAAGTCAGAAACAGCCTCGTTGAAGGCACTAACTGCATCATCAGCGCTATCAAACTTGGTTCCGCGAATTTTTTCTTTCACCGCTGGAAAGAGGAAGAAGTCACAAGGTGCCAAATCAGGTGAATAAGGCGGGTGGGTCATCAACTGAACTGAATTTTTGGACAGAAAGTCGATGGTCAAAGCAGCTGTGTGAGCGGAAGCGTTGTCATGGTGCCAAAGTAGACCTCTTAAGCCGGTCCTTGGACGTTTATTTCGTCAAATTTCTAGAACCTGTGGTATGCAGTGGTTACCATACCAATCCGCGTTCACTGTACGACGGTCTTCAACTTGAATGGTTGCGACATGACCCGTCTTTGAGAAAAATGACGCAACCATCCTTTTCCCGAAGCTTGCGGCGGGTTTTCACCTGGAAAGATCCAAATTGAGGATTGGCGCTTTGTCTCCGGGTCAAATTGGTAAACCCAACTTTCATCGCCTGTCACAATGTCATAAACCCGTTTCGACTTCCCTTCATTAAATTTTTGCAGCATAAACTGGCACCAATTGACGCGCTGCTCTTTTTGCTCATCTGACAAGCAATGTGGCACCCAGCGGGCAGCCACTTTCCAAACTTGCATGTTTTCATGCAAAATTGTGTGCAATGCTGCTGATCCAATCTTTACGCTATCCTGCATCATAGAATAAGTCATCCGACCATCTTGCCTTAGCATCTTCTCCACAGCGGCAACTGTTTCTGGCACAACAGCAGTTGGGGGCCTCCCTGGGTGGGTCTCATCTTTAAGGCTCTCCCTCCCTCTCTTAAATTCGGCAAACCAACGAAAAACTGTTGCCCTTGAAGGTGCATTATCTCCAAATGTCTGCAGAAGTTGAGCTAGGCACTTTTCTTGTTTCAGCCCCCTTTTAAAATCATAATAAATCATTGCGCGAAAATCACATCCTTCAAGCTCCATTTTTAACAAATAAGAACATCTAAGGTGCTGAAATTCAAAACCCTTCTTTATTTTTTTTCCGCGCTTGAAATTAACAAAAATTACAAAACATGGGTGAAATAGATGGTACAAGCCACCAAAAAAAATTCAAACTGATATCTCAAGCGGTTACTGAATATCTCAATAATTTTGGAGTGACCCTCGTATAAATCCTTTTCTCATTTTTTTGTCTGCTGGAAATTGAAATATTTTCCGTTAAGGTCTATATAAAAATGCTCCACTTTCAAATCACCAAAGCATAAAAATTTGAAGGACATCACAATGGGACATCACGGTCGTTAACAACCTCACTCCCATATCTCGACCTTGTTGCTATGCAACTCTCTGATGCAGTCTCGGTCTGGTCCTGAATAAAAACACTGATGGGGCGGGAGCGGCTAGATGAAACTCAACTCAAATAAACTCAAAGAGCTTTAAAATTTTTAAACTTGATCCAGCAGCAGAAGATATCTGAAGTGAGTTGCAGTGGTCATTCATGTACATTAATATAACGATGTTATAAATTTTGAAATGTTTTTTTGTTGGTTTGTAACCCAGGTGCGAATGGGCGTAGCTCTGCCGCCCAGCTCAATTTGACAAATTTGCTTGCCGATATAGAAAATATTATCTAAGATATAGAAAAAGTTATACCGTATCTTATTTTTTTAAATATATCAAATGCATGTTTTATTTCTTTTTATTGCATTTGAAGCTTAATTTTCTAGTTTTTCCATGTTTTCAGCAGGCAGCTGTTGCCCGTCTTCGTTGACTCATTGTTTGGACGACTTTTGTTGAATTGAAGACCTTTCAAAACAATGCGATTACTCAAATAAGCTTATAAAATGCTGCTTTAATTTTTTTAAAGATTTGAATCCTTCAAATAATAACAAGGATTGTTTTGACGGTTAACAACACAAAGCATAATTCAGCACTGTGTTATTCCATGACCTTTTATGGAGTGGGCGAATTCCAGAGAATTTATTTTATGTGCTCTATGTCCTGCTATCTTCTTGTAGATTTCAGCTGTTGGGACACCAGAAGAGATTTTTGAGACGGTTTGTAAAGAGTTAGAGCTCTACAACTTAAAAATGGATGCTAAAGAGCAACTTAAGGATACAAATATAGTTTTTGTTCTGGGTAAGTATATTTTCAGCATGCTATCATTTCTTATAAAATCAGGTAGTAACCTTTAAGGCTCAACATGAGCTGCAGGGACAGATTTAAGAGGCAAAGATTGGGGGGGGGGTATGTGTTAGATAGCAATTAGATTTTGGCGCCACACTCTTCAGATGAGTGAAAATTGATGGGAAAGTCCAGCCCAAAGTAGAAATTCTGAATTTAGCTTTGAGGTAAAAAAGATAAGAAGATAAATAAAGTAAATTTTTGCATTTTTTTCTTACCTTTGATTATCAGAAATGAATTTTACTGAATCAAAACAACATTTACTGAAGGACACAAAAATATGGGGGGGGGTGTCATACCCACTACATTCCCTTCCCCTAGTGAATCCATCTCTGATGGACTGACAAAGATTTACAAGGGTTTCTTTTAGAAACATTTAGTTATCCAAATGGTAGTTAATTTTTCTCAGCACAAGGTCATTACTTTTACATTTTGAGGTTTATGTCAGTGATTGGAATTTCATGTTAAGGCTCACTAAGGGATACGGCACATTAAAATTTAACAACAAGACAAATTACAAGTAATTGGGATGGAGATTCTGCCTATTAGCTGCCTTTGTTAAGGCAAAGTTACTCTAATTGATATCAATGTTTTAAGTACACAATGTAGTAAGGTTTCATTTTGTGTAAAGCTTTGTAGCTAACAAAGGAAAGCTCATGGTTTATAATCATTTCAAGATGTTTCATTGTCACAGACTTATTTTCATGAGCAGTTTTTAGCATTTTTAAAGACTAATTGCAGGAAACAAAAATAGGCTGTCATTGTGTGGTTTTACTATGAATTAAATAATGTCTTGCCCTGCAACGCTATAATTTGAGGGTCAAATGAGATAATCCCTCTGTAGTGCCTGTCTTTAGGACAATTTCCGGATTTGCAAACAATCTTTTGGTTGTACAAAAGGTAAAAATGCCTTTGGAAAAAGCAAAAATTTTAGGAACAAAGTCTATTACAGATTTACAAAGGGTCCTAAGAAGTTTTCGTTATGATAAAAATAAATGCAAAGTGATTCAGTTAAATTTTGTGAAGTATGGGGCTAAAAAACTTGAACTGGTTTAAAAAGATTGGTTATCAATTTTTTCTGGCTTTATAATTTTTGTTAATCTATTGGTCACTATTCAAAATAAATTTTCACCTTTTTGTGTCTTTGTGAAATCTGGTAATTTGAAAGCTCATATAATATCTATCTATAAGGATTTTTAAACAGGCCTGACCAGTAGAAATGATGTGTCAAAAGGAACACCATACTCAATGAAAATTTTCTATCAGTACAGAGGCTCCACTTATAGTGGCACTGCTTGAGCTAAACTGCTTGCTAACTTCACATAGAATTTAGACCCAAATATATAAAGCAGTTCAATTTAGCTCTGTTTACAGCCTACTCTGATTACCTGCCCACCTTATCAAGCAACATTTGGTGTGATTGTAACAAGAGTCTACTGTAATAGTTAATTTTGTTTATTTATAACATTTAAGCCTAGCAAATTCCTCAAATGCCTGCTATTGCCAGGACTCTTGCAATAAATGCCCCTTTTAGAAGCAATCCAGGTATTTGTTGAAAAAACAATCAAATCATCTCTTTTTCCTTTGAGTACACATGAGGTATTGCTAAACCACTTTGAAATAGTTTGCTTAAGAGTGTTATGATAAATTAAACAATGTTTCTTATATCAATGTTTTCAAGGCAGTTCTTCTACCGGCCTAGACATGCCAAATCAATATATGCAAGTTAGGTTGATTCACTAGTTCTTATTTTTTGACACGTTACTTGTACAACATTTATGCTAATAAACTGTATTTTGATTTATAGGTGGACCTGGTTCCGGGAAAGGTACTCAGTGTGAGAGAATTGTTGCTAAATATGGTTTTTGTCATTTGTCTACTGGGGATTTGTTAAGAGAAGAAGTCCAATCTGGCTCCAAAAGAGCTGAAGCATTGAAGGCAATAATGGAAAAAGGAGAGCTTGTTTCTCAGGTAAAACAAGCAAAGAAGCATATTTGAATTCTAACAAAAAAATATTGGAAGAATTTTTAAGACTCAAGCAAGCAGTGCCTCAAAAATTATAAATTAACATTAACTATTTACCTTTGAATTTAACTCAGGTCAAATGAAGGACCTTGTCCGTTTTACAACATTACCAATTCAATTTTTAGCATATGACGTCATTGATTAATTAACAATGATTGTATCTTTGATGTTTTGCAGGATACCATATTGGAACTCCTGAGTGAGGCTATGATAAAGAATAAAGACGCAAAAGGATTTCTTGTTGATGGTTTTCCAAGAGATGTCCCACAAGGACAAAAATTTGAAAATGAGGTTTGTTAAATGCTTCTAAACAAAGGTATCATGTTGTTATTTGTAACAGGAGTCTTCGACTACTGCCCTGACCTTTTCTCAAGAACTATTGAGATGGAAATATAAGATTAGCTTGAAAACATAAAGGGCTTTGCTTTCTTAGTAATAATTTGCATCATGTAATAATATGTCAATCAGATCCCAGACTGATTCGTCACTTTCAGTATAGACAGTGTTAAAACAGCTGAAATTAAAGTTTTTATTTACTCTAGCCAAACAGAAATAGTTTGTCTTTTCACCTATATAATTATATGCTACCAAAAGCAGATCACACTCCCCGAAAGACAGTACTAAGAATTTTAACATAGAAAACACCAAGTTTTCATCATAATTTATTCACGGTAGACCATGCAGTTACAATGGCTGATTTTTAGGGGGCCGTGCAAATATTTTACAGAATGAAAATCTACTCAAACTAATAGTAAGGATTGGAAACAGATTACAATCGTAAAAAACTTGTACGTTGTTTGCTTAATTTTTTACAACCCTTTAAAAAAAGGTAAAGAGCTCGCCTTCTTGGTGTCATGGCTAAGTTGATTCCAAATTTTCGCTCTATGAAATGCGAGCGCCTTCTGCCCATAACAAGTTCTCATTAATGTATAGATCATTTTTATTCTATAGTGTTTAATTTCCTAGTTCCACAGATATATTTAAAATAATTTTGCTGCCACGAAATTCAGGGATGTACAAAGAATACACCATTTTACTGAGAGTCATTCTTATGTCACGGTGACTACTACAGAATAGCCACTGGCTAAAGTGAACTGTACTGGGGCACTCCAAAAACAATCTTTTCTGTAAAACAGGCTTATAGGTTGAGCAGCTATTAGCACATAGATTAAGTAAAATGTAAAATATTTTAAATCAACCGAATCGTGTTTTGGAGAAAACTGATTAACTGCTAATTTAAAAACTAGTCGGGTTTAATTTTTTTCAATTATGAATAACTGTTTTTATTCAAAATAAAAATAAACAAGCTTTATTTTACACCCTCTCTTCTAACTTTCGAGTCCCTCCTCTCTCCTTGTTAGGGCTTAGCTGTAAGTGTCTGAGCCTTTCCGTAACATCACCAACTAAAACACCAACTAAAATAAGGGACGAAGTTAGATTAAGACGGGCCCGTTGTAGTCAGATTTTACAAGGTCGCAGAAGAAATGACCTATAATCATAAGAGTATTGGTCAGCGATGGGAGAATAACGTTCTGTTTGAATTCTTTGGTAGGTTGGAACATGCAACTTCATACTGTACTTTGACTGTTCAAATGAATGCATGACAGAGCGACTTTTGGGAAGAGCTAAAACGAGTGGACGGGTAGATGATAACGAGGAAACAATCAAAAAGAGGTTGAAAACTTTTGAGGAACAGACGCTACCTGTGCTCGACGTATATGGAGGACAAAACAAAGTTCAACGGGTAAGATTGTTTGCTATGACCAGAGATACTAAGACATAATTACTTATTACAAATCAAATGACTCAAATATTGGCTAATGGTCGCGCTGAAAGTTGAGAAAATCAAATGGAGACTTATACCGAATAAAAAGAGGACTGATGATGGTCTTTTTTATCTATTAGGTTTTTGGCTTACTCCCTCCCCGACTGTGGTAACAGCCCCCTCCCTTCTCCATGGTAACTGCAAATGTTTACTGTCAGGGGACCAATAATTCCTTGAAAAAGGGTCTTGATCTGTTGAAAGCTTATTCCAAACCTTGAAACATAGAATTTGCCTTTTAATACCTTGAAAAACATGGCAATTTCCATACAGCTTCATCATAACAACTATGGCTGAATTTGGCCAAGCGTATTTGTATGAATGCGATCATTATACACAAGAAATTCCATGAGACAATTTGTATGGAATCTTCTAGAGTTTCTGTCTTTGTATGGAATCGTCTAGAGAACTTTGTTTTATCCTTATGTTTCGCGCGTCGACTTGAAGCCAGCCTATTCGTAGGTCACATGATCAAAACAAATGCACAAACCAATTTTGATATGGCGTTTGCTGATGTTTAAGAGCGCAGACAAGCCTTAAACTCAAACTCAAAGCTCAAAATCTCTTTCACAACATCAGCAGGTTAATCGCATGATACTGAAATATAAAAAGGAAAAATATTGGGTATTAATACAATAATAAGAAACCTTTAAAGACGATATATCGTAAACTTGTTGGCTGAAGGATACATGGAAAAAACTAAAAAAGAACTATCGAGTCAATCAAGACTTTATCTTGAGGCCATGTATCCTATTGGAAGGGTCTAGATTTAGAAGCTACTAAGATTTTGATTGAATCGTTAACAGAAAGTTATGAGTAAAATTTTAAGTGGAAAATCAGAACAAAATCAATAACAAGATGAAATAATACTAATAGAGAAGTAGCGAAGTAAAGTGATAAAGTTATACCGGGTGGTCGCAAATCTACTGCTTTTGGAGCCACAACAGGCTCTAGCTTTTTACACGCAATCAGCATTCACAGCATCAGCTGGCAGTGTACCCAGCGAATAGTTTTGATTTGATATTTTTTGTCGAAAAAAACTAGACGAACTGTTAAACGACGAGATTTTTCCTGACGTGGATGGCTTAGCATCTGAGAACTCAGTTGTGCAATTTGCAAAAAGCACTACAACAAGAAAAGTGGCTGTTTCTTCAAGAAAAGCGAAGAAGAAGCAAGACATCGGTGTTGCCAGTGCAGCTGGCCTATTCGCCAATTGGATATGTCAGATATTATGAATTTGTAAAATTTTCCCAAACTGAATTTGCAAAAAAATGGCTGCTAATGTCACACAGGCTACGGCTTACCTGAAGCCCTACCAAAAGCGATTTTTCATCACCAATTTCATTTTAACGGACTCTTTAAAACAATAATTAATGGCATGCATGCAGTCTTATCGGGCGGTAGCGATGGCGAACAGTTTTTTTCTACTTTTTTACGGTACGGTTGTGCAGTTTGCAAATATTCTTATTCAAAATTGTGCAGCTAGCTCTTTTAACTTCTTTTTGTTGAAAAATTTGGGAGACAAATTGTACAGCTTCTTCAGGAGACCACAGTAAGTGGCCTTAGAAAAGCCATTGCCAATGAGCGATAAAGATTTCGATTGCCTATAATACTTATCCGGCTAGATTGAACACAAATTTTTGAAAAAGCAAGAAACAGCCCAAAATATGAATATAACGTTAACCAAACCTTAATTAGGTTGCTGGAGAGCTTCATTAAAGAACGGCCTGTGTCCCAAGGACTGATAAAACCAAGAGGAGGTTTGATAAGGGCTAAAAATGAAATTGAGAAATCTTTACTCAAGCAGAGACAGAATGTCTTTCGCAGATACACACTTTGCCATTCTTCAAACGTTCTCTGAAATTAGCATCAATTTCACGATATTTTAATCCAAGATATTCCTTCGCCGTTTCGAATAAAAACGTTTCTCTTCCTTCAATTCACATTTATCATACGCACAGTTAGCTCCAGGCATGTTAATAATATAGCATACTTGATAACCTGATGGTAAGTTGACAATATAATGTTAAAACGACACGCAAATTAGAAATTTGAACTCTACCGAGCGAAAGTTGTGCACTCATTTTGAATATGTGACATCGTTAAAGGGAAACAAAAAGTTAGAACAACGGGCTTCCAGACCAGAGATTTTTCTTTTGACTATGATACATTTTAGAACCCATTTTCTACCAAGTTTCCCATCCACAATTCCCATCTCTCATCTCTCACTTTTTCCCTTTGCTTTGTCACAAAAACCCCCTCCCAAGCGTGCCACAAGATTTTCTGTGGGACGCTAGGTTTTTAGCTGGGGATAACACCTTAATACAAAAAGGAACAATTAGATATCCTCGCGTTCATAATAGAAGAGGAGTACAAGAATAACCTCAAGTATGTTGTTTAGCCATTATATCATCATTAAAAGAATGATTCACAAAGCTGTTCTTGCTTCCAGAATCTTGGTCCCAATTGAAAACTACTGCTTCTATTCAAGTGTGAAGTATATGCTGCTACAATATAAAGTTAACAACAAATAAAAATCTGTTAACAACAAAGTTAATCTCATTAAAAAAGGAGCAGCGTAACGGGCGATTAGCGATTTACATGACGGTAAGACAAGGACTGTTATACCAAATCCTCCTCCTGAGATAAGACCTTGGGGTTTGCTTCTTTCAAGGGTACTACTATAGCATCAACCAGGGCTGTCGCGACTTGGGAATGGCAGTTTTGTGACAACCGTTGCGCAGTAGGAAATTTCAAGTAAGATCTGTTCGGTGGAAGAAATTTTCTAGATAATTCAGAATATTTTAGGTAATTCACCCCCCCCCCCTAACAATGCTTGCTTTCTTGTTTTCAGTGCGCGACAACCCTGCCATGCCGCCTTATAATAAGTCTAATGTTTCTACTTCTATGTATGTATATTGCTGGGGTAATTGCACTGTTCATTAAAAGTGAAACCACAGACCATACCTCCAATGCTTTGTCTGCTGCTGTTTCTCCAGATACAAGGCTCAGGATGATGTAAATCGATCTTGGTGTAAAGCAAAGTACAAACATGACAATTATTATGATCAGTGTGTTCACAGACTTGCGTAGCCATTTGATTCTGAAGTCAGTCAATGGGTGAATAGAGCGTCCTGGCAATATTCTGCGCCTTGCACGCAATGATAAAAACACATTTATGTGTGAGAAAGTAATGCAGGCCGTGGCGAAAATTCCAATGAGCAATCCCAGTGCCTGAGCTGCCTTCCTGTAGGAACTGTCCAAAAAAGCCGGGATGACAGCTGCTAGGGTTATGATCCAAATCGTAAGAAATATAACCTTGTATATCCTTTTCAGTTTCCAGTTGGGTTTTTTTGTCCCCTTACCAGCAAGCAAGTACCGATCAAAGCTCAGCGCTGCGAGCAAAAGGATTGTGATAGTAAGCAGTATGACAGTGCTTGTTTTGTACAATATATATAGTGGGCAAGAAGGAGTGATGCTTCGAACGACAGCAACTTGATTTGCAACGTATGTAGGTATAGACACACAGCCAGTAAGAAGGTCAGTAAAGGCCATGAACGACACAAGTATTCCAGAAGGTGTGCGGAAATGGCTGTTTGTTGCCATGATGTAAAGCAGAAAGCTGTTAATAATCGTTGCAGTTATGCCAGTTAAAGTCAAAACTAAAATCGCTGCGTAAGATGAGATTACGCTGTGTCTTCCTTGAACTTGCTCTTGTCCTCCGCATAAGCTAGACCAGTGGGAAGTCATGCTGTGATCTGTCGTTGAATTCATAGTATTCTTTTTAACTTAACTTCTTCAGTATATCCTACAAAACTCTCAGATCACTTCGTGGTTGAATATCGTTCTGTCAACCTGTTATGCTTTCGCCGCTAATCACCATGCAGGTGTCGTCTCATGAAAGTCTATCATCGATGACTTATGCTAATTCTAAATACTATGCTGGGTGCCAAAAAGCAGGTGCAAAAGTGACAAGTTTACGTACCTACATGTTCTTGGTTAGCCTTGTTTGCCACGCTTGCTTTTACATGTTCTTGTTTAGCCTTGTACTCTTTGGGGAGGGGGGCTATTACCCGTTTAAATAGCCAGTAAACCACTTGGTTGTTTATGTACATTTGCCAAAAAAGGCGTATGATCGTTATACGTTATTAGAGGCTACTGAAATTCGTGAAATAACAAGAAAATGAATAATTGTTTTTTAATGTGAGCAACTGATCGAGCATGAAACGTGATAGTTGTATTTGTTTGTATCTGTTTGTATTTTGCATCCGAAGGTAGTTTTTAAGACACTGAAGTGCTATGCTTATCGAGCAGTGTCCTGGTTCTTCCTCTCGATGTGACCATACTTGTTTGACGTCATCCTTCTATTTGCGTCCTTCTTATTTGCATTTACAGATCAAAAACAGTTAGAAGTCGTAAGATTTTTGACAAACACAGTCTCAGATGACATTTCACGAAATTAGCTTAACTGAAATGTTCCGACGGAGAACATAAAAATGTAGCCATTATCCTTAGACGTGTTTTTCTACTTTGCAACTTGTTGTTCCTCTAGTGGAGATATTTAAAAGATGCTGCAGCGGAGTGTTCACAATTACGACCATTTTGAACCCCCTCTATTGTGTGTCAATTTTTTCGAGTAATATCTAACACTCATGTGCTATGACTTGGAAGTTTAACTTGCTAAAAGTACTAGGCAAAATCCTACAAATAGTTTGGACACGTTTCTTGTGAAATATCGGTTTTCGTGCGGTATTTTCCTGACCATCTACCTAAATTCCAAGAAGAAGCCTAGAGTTTCTTGTATCCGTTACTCTAAAGAGTTCGCTGGAAACAATCCAATTCAAAAACATTCTATAGTATCAAGAAATGATATGAAATTCTTTTAAAAGCCTTAATAAATATGAAAGAGTCTAGAAGGAGCCATTGATTGATAATGACTATTGGCAGACAAGGGAGACGAACGAAGCTTAAGTTATACCCTAAGGTACAGGATATTTACTGTAATTATCAAAGTTAATAAAGCTTGTATTGCATACTTTCATTTTCTTGATTAAAACTTTCAGTTTTGATTTAAGATACATTTTTTTAGAGAAATTGATGTCAGTTTCTAACAACACTCCCTGTGGTTCTCCCAAGATCCTGTCAGCCTTTGTCCTCGGGTCACCTCTCCCAACTAGAATGTTTTAGTGTCACATGTGAACACTCCCTTACAGGAATGGTGCCCGGTATTCTTATAACGACATTTTTTAAAATGTTTTCGAAGCCAAATAGCTGTAAATATTGTCGATGTGTCTCTTCCCTTTAATGAAAGTCATTTTTTATTCCCAGATAAATGCTGAGAGGGGCATCGATGAGATCTTCACTGATGTTTGCGTTGCCATGGAAACACTTAAATAATCCTGGAATATTACTGACAATAATCTGAACAGAATAATCGATGGCATGCTACTTGCTCTACTCGGATGTAAATAGAATTTATATTTTTAACGGTATCAAGCGTCACCTTTTTGAATGCTTACATCATTTAAGTTTCGACATATTTATGACCCTACTTTTTCTGTATGCTATTTGAAACAATTATGCTATCATGTAAAGCACATCTTTTATCTGATCATCTGACCAAACATCCTTCCGAGGTTTCCTCAGCATACATGTCTCTACCGTCTATTGCTATAATCAAATGCTATACCCAGGGGCGAGCAAGTCTATTGTTTTGATAAGATGACGTCACAATTCCCATTGCTTTAGAACAAAGACGATTGTTCTCCAAAATATTGGGGGCGACCGCCCCCTCCCCTCGCCCCCCAGGTGTCCGCCACTGGTGATACCCACGCTATGGTCAACTTAGTGTTACCGTTTTCCCACTAATAAACGCTTAGTATCAAAGAAAGTCCAATTCTAAGATAAATTCCTCCCCAAAAAACTTCTCTCTTTCTAATAACACCTATTTGTCAAAAAGACCTGCCTTTAATAAATGCCGAGTCTCAAGTATATGCCATCCTCAAACTAAAGTCCTATTTCAAATAAATGCTTCACTTTAATTTACTCTACCTGTAATTCATCTTTAGTTTAAACAAACACCTTTCTGTTATCAATATATATATACCCAATATCAACTAAATGACTCTCTCTAATTAACGCCTAATCTCAAATAAGCGTCTTCCTCTTGTAGACGCCTAGTTTCAAATAAACGCCTAGTCTGAAATAAACAATCCTCTTTTTTAAACGTCGTCAATATCGGAGTGGCACTTTTTGGAAAATCATGAAAGGATGAAGGATCAAGAAGAATAATGTACTAAAACACAATACGTTATTAAAGGCTCTTGCGCAACCGGCACGCTTTGCGACAATAATTCAAAAGACCAGGCCTAATATTGTACTGCATGAAAATACAAAACACATTCAATTTCTCAAGACAACGTCCGCTAAGCATGCCGGTTGACCAAAAGCCTTTAAATTCATTCCTAGCTCAACTCAAATTTCATGTCGAATTACAAGAGTTTCATGCTTATTTCTGGATCTTATCTCATGAAGAGTAATGGATTTCTTTGATTTCTTAAATGGATGTCATTCCCGCAGTAAATAATACGTTCTTTTTGTTTGCGTTTCCGAGATCTTTCGGCTTGAGGAAATTTCCATCATCTGTCCAATCCTACCAACGTTGTGTTTTAACCATAGGTTTAAACCTAGATCTTAACATGACCGAAGAACTTATTAATCCTGTCTGTTAACTATGAATAGCGTTTTGGTCGGTTTCCTGAGCATCTATTCGATCACCATGTATTAGTCTTCCAGTCTTAGGGACTCCACAAAATTTAACCATGTTCCACAAAGTACCAACAGTGCAATCACAAAGAGCATTCAAATACTTAAAAGTTCAATTGAAAGTAGCTTTGAACTTTGAAAATTTCAAAATGTATTGGGGTAGTTAGACATTGGAGTAAAGCGAAACAAGTTGGCGTGGCAAGTGGCGCTAATTTTAAACAGGAAGTAGCACAAATTTCTTAACAAGAAGTGAAACATTATCTTAATAGAAAGGGAAAAGAGTTTGAAAACAGGACCTAGGGGAACCATCCCATTCAGCAGAAAGTTCAACGAATTTCTTAACCGAAAGTTAATCAAAATCGAAACTAACAAATTCCTTAATTGAAAATTAAAAAATTCCAAAGCTGTGAATAAAAGAAATTCCTAAACTAGAAAGGAAACACTGCCTTAACTGAAAATGGAAAAAATACGCAAATGAAAATGAAATAAACTCTTACACTTGAAATAAAACAAACCCTTTCATCTGAAAGTTCAACAAAATCATACACCGGAAGTGAAATGATTCCTTAACTGAAAATGGAAAAATTCGAAAACTGGAAGTGAAACCACTCCTTAAATGTGTTTAACAAATTTGTAAACCGGAAAAGAAAAAATTTCTTAATTGAAAATGAAACAAACTTCTGATTTGGAAATGAAACGAATTTCTGAACAGGAATTGAACAAATTCATAAACTGGAAATGTGAAAAATTCCTAAATTTTAGTGGAACAAATTATTGAACTGAAAGTGAAATAGATTCCTTAACAGTAATTGAAGCTAACCATTAAACGGGAATGAAACTGATTTCCGAAAGTGGGAAGTGATAGGACTCCCAAACAGCTACCACCTGTGAGCATTTCTTTTGGTAGAAGGAGGTTTGATACCTTATTGGAGACAATCGCACCATATCCATTTCTCGGAGTAAATTTTTAGTTATAAAGGAATTTCAATAAATGAAAAGCCATTTCAATAAAATAATTTAATCAAGGAATAAGTTTACAAAATCTTACAGTATACAAGGCGAGGGTATCAGCCCAATGTCCGTCCTAAATTCATCAATATTTTGCTCAAAGTGTTTTTCAAAGTAAACATTCAGCAGCAATTTTGACCTGTATCCAGCATACAGTGCCCATGGAATGATGTTTCGTTGCAAAATTGCTCTTTCACTGAAAATAGAAAATTTTGAGAACAGAAAGTGAAACAGTTATGACCTCGCTCAAATAAAATATTAACATCATATTTTAAGAGTCTCCATAGTACAGGAGGGTGCTCTTATCGGCTTGATTGAGAACTTTTTGAGAAGTTGAAATATGTAAACAAATTGAAATTATGTTATATCCAAACAGAAACGAATATAAAAGGACAAATTTATAAAATAGATAAAAATACCAATGGTTTTTTAAGGCTATCAATTTTCATTCAGATATCAGATTGCACTGAAAACTACTCTCGGATATCAGATTGCACTAAATACTATTCTCAGATATCAGATTGCACTAAATATCATTCTCAGATATCAAGTTGCACTAATTATTATTCTCAGATATCAGATTGCACTAAATACTATTCTCAGATATCAGATTGCACTAAATATCATTCTCAGATATCAGATTGCACTAAAAACTATTCTCAGATATCAGATTGCACTAAAGATTATTCTCAGATATCAGATTCCACTAAATACTATTCTCGGATATCAGATTGCACTAAATATCATTCTCAGATATCAGATTGCACTAAATACTATTCTCAGATATCAGATTGCACTAAATACTATTCTCAGATATCAGATTGCACTAAAGATTATTCTCAGATATCAGATTGCACTAAATATCATTCTCAGATATCAGATTCCACTAAATACTATTCTCAGATATCAGATTGCACTAAATATTATTCTCGGATATCAGATTGCACTAAATACTATTCTCAGATATCAGATTGCACTAAATACTATTCTCAGATATCAGATTGCACTAAATATTATTCTCGGATATCAGATTGCACTAAATACTATTCTCAGATATCAGATTTCACTAAATATCATTCTCAGATAACAAGCTGCACTAAATATTATTCTCGGATATCAGATTGCACTAAATACTATTCTCAGATATCAGATTGCACTAAATATTATTCTCGGATATCAGATTGCACTAAATACTATTCTCAGATATCAGATTTCACTAAATATCATTCTCAGATAACAAGCTGCACTAAATATTATTCTCAGATATCAGATTGCACTAAAGATTATTCTCAGATATCAGATTGCACTAAATATTATTCTCAGATATCACATTGCACTAAATATTATTCTCAGATATCACATTGCACTAAATATCATTCTCAGATATCAAGCTGCACTAAATATTATTCTCGGATATCAGATTGCACTAAAGATTATTCTCAGATATCAGATTGCACTAAATATTATTCTCAGATATCACATTGCACTAAATATTATACTCAGGTATCACATTGCACTAAATATTATTCTCAGATATCAGATTGCACTAAATATTATTCTCAGATATCACATTGCACTAAATATTATTCTCAGATATCACATTGCACTAAATATTATTCTCTTCTGTCTTCAGCTTATTCCTCAGGGCAACCGATAACTAAAGTATAATCTGACATAATCATTTCAAAAACAATACTACCACTGAAGCATAATTTAATTGGTCGTAATTCGTCGGCGATCCTCCATAATGGTCAAGGGATGGACACTGCCGGCCAGTGATCTGTTTGGCTAAAACTATTTCTGGGCGTTGTGATTTACGACTAAATAAAAATACGTTATTGGACCATGTTACCATATTACTAATTGTCACCATAATGATTTAGCTATTTTAGATTGGCTCGGTGATAGCTGCAAACTTGTTGAAGCAAACCATTAACAGAAAGAGACATAAAAATTAATACTTCAATTTTACTTCTACTTCTATTTTTATTAACACATTTAATCAAGGCTATGGTACAAATAATTAATATTTTACAATCTTTTGGTGGTACAAAACTTGTAAGTGGCTTTGAAAAAAAAACACATTTAATAAACTAAAGCTTTTCGTCTGACACTCTTCAGAGTTTAAAACGTCAGAACATAGATCGAAAACTACACGCTAGGAAATATATCCACCCAGTTGTGGATCGAAATAGGCCAATCAGAAACACGAGCACATGAGTGCCGCTTGCCTATTGAGAATGTTACCAATGGAGTCCTAAGGTGAAAACGAACTCCTTTTGTCTACACAGTAGCGGATTTTCGTGCTTATGTAGATAGATTCCAAAACTGCTAGGTGGAACGACGATCGGGCTTTACCAATAATCCGAAACATGTCGCCATTATAGTTTTTTGCACAATCTGGGTTTTCTAGTAAATGCTGCCCGATAGCAGAATCGCAGGTTTTAGTTGTAATTTTAGATTTGCAAGACCGAGGTGGCTGTTCTCTTTGGGGATGGGTTTTGTTTCTAATATTAGACGGAACATGTTGTTTTATTCTATCCTCCAATCTTTAAGTATTGCGTCCTACGTAGCCAGAATCACACTGGCACGTAAATTCATATACAACGGAACTATTTTTGTGTGGCAGGAACGCAGTCCTTTTGAGTGGAAGGGCTTTTTTCGTACTATAAACAACACGTGGGTTGACCGCAAAGAGACAATTTGTAATGGCCGGTTTTATTTGGCTTTCAAAACGTAGGGAACTGTCACCGATCCAGGGTAGTTTTAGATAGACCGGGCACTTTTGAGGACCAAATTTTACGTCAGCCGAGAAATTTCCAATCTTCTCCTTAGTGTAAACTGAAATAACATCCTCTGGATAGCCGTTCTCCAGAAAGATCTTAGTTAGTTTTTCAAGTTCCGAGTCGAGTTTAGACTTGGAACAAATCATCAGTGCCCTATGTGAAAGCGTTTTGATGAGGCTGATTTTTCTTTGTTTTGGGCAAAACGAATTCCATCGAGTGTATAACCCCGAAAATGTGGGTTTACGGTATACACTAGTGAGAAATCCAGTGTCAGATTTTTCAACCAAACATCTAGAAATGACAAGGAGTTATTTTCTTCCTTTTCAAATGTAAAATGTAGGGCTGTGTGAAGGCCATTAAGGCGTTTTAAGAAAGTATCACACTCAGCCTCTGTTTTGAAAATGGTATATGTGTCATCCACATACCGAAAATAAACACCTGGCTTTTGGTCGCAGTCAAATGAACGCTCTTCATGAAAGCCGACAAAGAAATTGGCCAATGCAGGTCCCAGAGGGCTACCCATAGCGACACCATCCTTTTGTTGGTACATTTCATTGTTAAAGCTGAATTCAACTAAACGTGTTGCAGTTTCCATCAGTTCAATGAATACTTCCTCTGGGAATGGTGGGCTATTAAGCTCGCTCTGGTACAAAGCGTCGGCACATATTTTGATGGTCTCATTCAAAGGAACATTTGTGAAAAAACTGCTAATGTCAAAAGAACACATGAAAGATGTTTCGTTTTCGATGCTCAAGTTTTGCATGAACTCAGCGAACGTAAAAGAGTCCTTGATACAATGTTTTGAATTTTTTTGAAGAACAGGGTCCAAAACTTCAGAAAGCCACTTAGCCAGTTCGTGTTGTGCTGAGCCAATCACAGACAAAATGGGTCTAAGTGGGACATGTCGGCTTGTGTATTTTAGGGAGGCCATACATTTGTGGACGTTGTGAACCCGTGGGTCTTAAACTATCATAAACTTCGTTGGTCAACACTTTTGAGTTAACCAGCTCCAAAAGTCGTTTTTGAAGTTTCCTTTAAATTCTAATAAATGTTACTAAATGTTTGCTTTCTTCAAAGCCAATTAATATTTTATAAAAACATTAAATTATCAATTTGCTATAGAAACAATGACAATTTATTGATGAATGGCTAATTGATCAATTAAGCATCAAAATGCACCAACCTTTGGCAAATGAAACTATTTATTCAATTTAACCTAGGTCTTTTGGCGCAAAATTCACACTTTTTAGAGGATACTTATCACGTTAATGCTTAATTTCCCTTAGATTGTAATACCCAAGTTGGAAACGAGGCATTTAATCAAAACAGAAAGCAAATTAACTTGGAGTCAATATTGCCGCGATAGTAGCAATTGCCGTGTTAACTTGTATATCTGTGCAATTAAAATTATAATATTGCATTACCAGCATTTGATATTAGCATTTCTCCGACACAAAAAGGTTTCGGAGTTTTGAAATCTGATTTCATTTTCCATCCATTTGTAATTTAACTACACATCAATCAAACGTTTAAAAAGCTTTTAACGACTTTCGGAGTAAATAAGAAGATGTTACCTGCTTGAAAGTCTCACTGGTGCGAAAATCGCGGCTAATGCACACATTGGAAGACCAAAGTGGACCATTTCAAACCATTTGACTGCTATTTCATTCTGAACACTGTAATTCAAAAAATAAGGTCTGTAGCACCAGTGGAGTCGAAACGTTTATACATTTATTTAACCGCAATGTCGTAACTAACATCTTTAATGTAATTTCAAAGTAATTCGTGGATTTTCTTTATTGAATTCTGCTTGACAATGTAACTTCATGCATGTTTGTCAAATACTAGATTGTCCATTAAAATTCCAAAAAAGGAAACATTATATCTGCAATAAAGACAACTTTAGCAACACTTTAAAAAATACTACACCCATTGACCCTGGGTATTCACGAAGTCTTAACTACTGAAAACCAATCCAGACAGCGACTTCAACAAATCAGGAAAAATTGCCAATGATACATCTTAATGCGAAGAGCTAGCAAGAATTTGGGTTGAAACCACCATTTGGAACAAATGCAAGGTATTATTGATATTTAGTAGCAAAATTTATACATACGATACACTAGGAAATCCAGTCAACAAATGAGTGAAATCGTGTATCTGTCTGTATCTGAGCATAACATATGCTAGTTCCTCGTGGTCCAAAAATCGAACCTGAATGGAAAATTGCAACATAGAGGACCATGGAGATATTTTCACTTTCTAACTTTCTAGTTTCTAAGTTTCTAACATACTAGTTCCTCGTGGTCCACAAATCGAACCTGAATGGAAAATTGCAACATAGAGGACCATGGAGATATTTTCACTTTCTAACTTTCTAGTTTCTAAGTTTCTAACATACTAGTTCCTCGTGGTCCACAAATCGAACCTGAATGAAAAAATCGCAACATAGAGGACCATGGAGATATTTTCACTTTCTAACTTTCTAGTTTCTAAGTTTCTAACATATGCTAGTTCCTCGTGGTCCACAAATCGAACCTGAATGGAAAATTGCAACATAGAGGACCATGGAGATATTTTCACTTTCTAACTTTCTAGTTTCTAAGTTTCTAACATACTAGTTCCTCGTGGTCCACAAATCGAGCCTGAATGGAAAATTGCAACATAGAGGACCATGGAGATATTTTCACTTTCTAACTTTCTAGTTTCTAAGTTTCTAACATACTAGTTCCTCGTGGTCCACAAATCGAACCTGAATGGAAAATTGCAACATAGAGGACCATGGAGATATTTTCACTTTCTAACTTTCTAGTTTCTAAGTTTCTAACATACTAGTTCCTCGTGGTCCACAAATCGAACCTGAATGGAAAATTGCAACATAGAGGACCATGGAGATATTTTCACTTTCTAACTTTCTAGTTTCTAAGTTTCTAACATACTAGTTCCTCGTGGTCCACAAATCGAACCTGAATGGAAAATTGCAACATAGAGGACCATGGAGATATTTTCACTTTCTAACTTTCTAGTTTCTAAGTTTCTAACATATGCTAGTTCCTCGTGGTCCACAAATCGAACCTGAATGGAAAATTGCAACATAAAGAATGATGGAAATTTGTTCACTTCCTAAGTTTCTTCACAATCAGGGATCATCTCTTTTAAAGAAATCATAAAATGTTCGTTTATCTAAAATCAGCTATAAAACTTAAACATGTAATGATGAAAGATCTAAAAATCATATCACAATGAATTGAGTTTGAAGGGAGAAACAAGAAGAGTCTACAGCAAGAGGGTTTACATCAAGAAGGATAAAGGTGCTTCAATATTTCCTCTTGACATGGAAAAAACTACAAAAACCTACTGGCACTTAAAATGCCTACTGAAACAGATTTATGCAAATTTAAACTTGCTGGGTATAGCTAGAAATGTTAAATGATACAAATCCATAGCTAGGAGACTCACAGGATCTCTTGTATCTGCACTGATATTCTAAAGGGAAAAATGTCACAATGAGTATATGATTTCTTGTAGGTGATTAACAAGAACAGCTGCCTGATGATGGAGTTAAGCATGAAACCCAACACTGACCCATCTTGTACCATGCAAAAAAGTTTGTCCAGCTCTGTCTATAGGGAATTTCATATTACATATAAAAGACAGGTAAACATGTATCTTCAGTAAAATTACACAAGAAAAAATACATCATTTACAATATTTTTAGAATAAATTACATAGTTCACCACAAACTTGAGCAAATAAAGCTCACTATAACAAAAGCTAAAAAAGATTTGTCAACAAGATGAAAACATGTATCTTAAAGGTAACCAACAAAATTTCGTAAAGAAAGGTGTCAAAAATTCAAATTTAAACAAAAAATATAGGTATTTAAATATGACGTGCATTCTTTTTCTAATAAAACCTGAACAAATAAACTTGGGTATCAATTCCCTTTGTAACATGATTCATAGGTTAATGTAGATATAACATATTCTTATTAGAAAATGAAGCTCAAGTAGCAAACACTGGAGGCTAGGTTAATTTGGGGGAAAATGTTATCTGCAAATTTTGTCTCTATCAGATTCATATTAGTAAAATATTTACATCATTTTTCATCTTTCCCATACCATTGAAATTTGCATATTGATAACTTGAAAGAACTAACTTACACATCCATCCATGAATTTTGTGTATTCTTTTCCAAATGTCCCATTGGGTAATGATCTGAGGTATTCCATGTTAATAGATGTTGAATTCACAAGAGGTCTTTCCCTAATGTTAATAGCAACTGTTGAAATTTTCAACTATGTTTATTTAAAACCAGCAAAATGAGAAATAGCTTTATGTTTATGGTTGAGAGTGAGAACACTAAAACTTTCTCAAAAAGTTTCCTAAATCTAATATAATTTTGCAAATATTGCCTGAAAAACATTAAACATCAGATGTTTCTAAAGGCACCTAAAAGCATTGCGAAATTACAAGGAACCTTTGTAAAAAATATTATGATATATTGTTATTTCCAAGTCTTACATAGTTTGCCCTCTCCAACCTTTATATAGTGAAAATGTAGTTATCCAAGACTTGATCACATAAAAAAAAATTGCTGCACTACAGTCAAATAAAACTTTGAACAAATTGCATTTCAGATTGTAGATTGTAGCTCAGACAAGACCTTTCTAACACCATCAAAACATCTATTCATTGGTATATTTATTTTAACAAAAAACAGTGGGTCGGATTGCAATAAGCATTAAAACCCTATAAACTGTTAACCACTTAAAGCAAATATTTTTTTCTAATTTCTTTTTGTTTCTCCAAGTCAGTCTATCTAGCTTTCTAAACAAGACTTTGTCTTGGACAAGGGAATGCCAAAATTTTTCTTTGAACCTAGTACTGTTTATGATACAAAAGATCTAAGGGTCATAAGGATGTTGAACAAGAAGATGGATTCAGTTCTAGCTAATTTTATAAGAGGTTCACGTGCACACAGGTCAATCACTGTGGAGATGCAGCACCCCTTTTATGAACAAGTCACTCTGCAAATTCAACAAAATTAGTACAGTCAACAAAACCTAAAGTAATAATAGATACAGAGAACTAATCCAAAACAATGCAGTGGACATAAAGGAACTGGATTATTTTTGTGAAAATACTTTTGAAAATGCCAGGTGATCATAGCTATGCAGTTATAATCAAAACAACACCTACACTGTGTCCACCAAATACCCACTATTTGGCAAAATCTATACCTTGCAACCCTTCTGTTTAGGAAGGCAACAAATGACAACCAGGATTTAAGCTAGAGTGATTGCTCAATTTGTACTCTCAGAACACGAAGGGCAGCAAGATCAGTTATGGGCAATGAGATCAGATGAAAACTGCTCCGATGGCTCCTGGCAATTAATACTTCCTTCTCTAAATCAAAGTAATTTTCATGAAATGTGTTTTTTATATTCATCAACTATCAACATTTAATGTCTTAATGTTTTGTTTGCCATTTAATCATTTTTCAAAAATAAATAGTAAGTTGTTTGAGCAGGTGAAAGAACTCATGAAGTGTTTTGTACACATCGCTGTCTACTGCCATATAGTATATTGTCACCAAATTGACAAACCTTAAAATTTGCTGTCCAACTGAATCGCAAATCATTTGTTGATGAAGATTTCTAAGAGCTGAATGACCAGTTGTTTCTCCCAGAACTGCAATCATGTCTGTATAATGGAATTAATTCAACATATTGTATTACTGTTTGACAGATAACATTCGGTATGTATAATAATGTGAATAAGATCAGCTAAAATGAACTGATATTTAAAAATAGGATATTCTGTAAAAGGCAGAGACTTTTGAAAAATAGAACTTTTTTAAATTCATTATAAGAAATAATTCAAATTTTGTCAATTTTTGTTACATAAGCCAAGGGGAAGGCTGTTCATTAGATTAGGCAGATTTGTGTGGTGAGATCAGTGACAATGGTTTGAATTTCATGATCAGCAAATATGATTATTAAATGGCAGTGTTATCTAATCCTATTTCAATAAGTATATAAAATAATTGGTAAGTGTAAATTTATTTCATACCTGAACGTGTTGGTTCTTTAAGGCCCATAAGTGCAGATCCAACTGCAAGAGCACAGCGCTGAAGCAGAGTGGTCGGTTCATGGCCGGCATAAAGCACCTCACTTGAGACTGAACCAAGTTGATCACTTCCTGAATTGAAACATCTTTTTATATGTTGCACTGAAAAATGAATTAAAAATTACATTTACTAAACGAAAAAAACAGTCTGAATTAATGTCATTACAGCTATCAAAATCAAGGATGTAGTGGTGGGGGAAGGGGGGCTCAGGGTGGCACAGCCCTTCTGTAAAAATTTTGTGGGGGGCTCAGCCCCCCAGACCTCATTAATTTGCACGAGTGTGCGAGCAGTGCTTGCAGGCACAGAAGTTCAATCTCAGGAATTTCTGCAGGCACATTTCTGAAACGATTTTCATTTACCTTTATTGTATTTCAGCCATGCTTTCTTTAAACAACCTTCTTGGTATTGTAATTGAATGATGAAAAATAATATAAAAGGTAGTAGTTGCATGTCTTTTTACCAAAATGACAGAAGGTCCTTACTCTAAAGGTGCCATTTGATTCTTGAAATCAAGTTGGATATTTGTCTCTTTTCCTCTATTATCTCTTAGTGGAAGAGATCCCTCGTAATTATTGTATCACCTTTTTCTCAGAGTATTGTGCTATGACTTGTAAAATTCATTTTAGCATAGTTGTCTGAAGAAAGCACACTCATTTAAGTTAAAAGTCTTCAAGCTTTTGAATCTGATCGCTATCGATTTCTGACATTTTTGAGCAAACTTTCATGGTACACCTCCAAATAATTCATCAAAAACAAAATTTTCGACAATTTGTGACAACACAAACAAGATTCTATTTCTTCAATTTTTGGAGCGAAACCATTTTCCAAAGTATCTGACTATAAATTGCTCCCTGTTTTATTTGGAGGCACTTAAAAACTACTTGGAGGAGTAAGTATTTCCAAGTTGGCCTTAATGAAATCTTACAGGTTCCTGCAAAGAAAAACCTTTTCTGCTGTAAATATATTACAGGTACTCCTATCATCATAGCTCAATTTTCATGTTTTAGCAGTGGTCAATAGTGCTGAAAAATGAGATGAAACAAAGGAAACATCTGCATCTTTCATTTTCATTACCATGCCTTGATAAATTTCTCATTATTTTCCAACCTACATACTATATGGTCATCTTAAAACTTTAATTTAACTTGTTTTAGCTATTTGAATTTTGGTTTGCTATAAAAAGTTTGCAGCGGTGCGGCCATTTTGTGGGGGTGGTGCATAAATACTTTTGCTCACCTAGTGTAATAAACTCAAAAACTCAACAACAACAAATTCAGCAGATCATTTGATTACAGGTTTTGTCTTACTATATAAAGTTGTTGATAGTCGTTAACTACAATAATTGCTAACTACAAAATAGCTAAGGTAAAACAATGTAAACAAAGTTAAATCAGCCGATGGACACATGAAAAACACTCAAGAAAGAGCTATCAAAACCATGTGCCCAGTTGACGCGAGTTGACAATTTTACAAATTGATTTTGGTTTGAAAATTCAACAGTAATAATCAGCAAAGGCTGATTGAACAAATACAAAAGAAGAACACAAATAAAGAATAAAGGTAAACATAACAAAAGTAAAGGGTTTCAAAACCTACTAATTTACTAATCAAGCTCATATGTTTTCTAAGAGGTATTGCTTGATTCTATTTTTGAATATATTTTATTGTTGGCATTTTTCAAGTCTAATGGCAGTGAATTCCTAAGTTTAATGCCATCAAATGTCAGAAAATTTGTAAAGGTTTGTAAAGTTTGTCAAAGTTTAAGATTTTTAACTGTTTAAACAAGGGCTCACTATGTGCGGTATACGAAGCAAAGTCGATTATTCTTACTGCTTTATACAAGTTACATTTTAATGATTCCATGATTGATTTGTTGGCACATCCCCAATTCAGTATACTATAAAGTGCATGGGATGAATAAATGAGTTGTATAGTGTTCTTAGAGTATTTTTGGGAACAAATTGTCCTAATTTATAAAGAACTCCAATACCTTTTGATATTTTAATGTTTACTTGTTTTATGTGTTGTTTTCAATTTAATTTTTCATCAATTGAAATCCCAAGATATTTTGAATAATTTTCTTGTTTAAGCTGTTCATTGTTTATGCTTACTAGATTTATAGTTTTAGTTACCTTTTTTGGGCTGACAATGAGAAAGTTAGATCTCGAAACATATAATGATAGCTTGTTAGCTAACAACCATTCAGATACTTTTGTCAGTTGAGACTTAACAGTTTGCTCAACGAGATCAAGATTTTTATCAGCGAATAAAATACTGGTATCGTCAGCAAAGAGACAAAAATCTAAATCTTGAGAAGAATTGTAGGAGATATCATTAATATATAGAAAAAATAATAAGGGTCCAAGCACACTTCCCTGCAGGGGCAGATCCAGAGCAAACTTGAAGGAGGGGCAGTTGATAGTGGGGGGGGCACTGAAAAAATTTTAAAAATTGGTGACAAGAGTACGCTGTATATAATAATTTCAGATCCATTTTCGGAATAAATAACATAACTTTGAGGTAATCCTTGACGCAAATTAACCTATTAGTCTCAGAAACCTTTCACCTGACTTTTATTCTTCAAAACGGGCGCACAATTTCTGAAAAAGGGGCGCTAGGCTTGCTTCAACTAGTTGAGGGGGGGCAACTGCCCCTAGTTGCCCCCCCCCCTTAAATCTGCCACTGCTTCCCAGTGGAATACCACATTTTATTTCTTGTTCGTTTGAAGTTATCGTGATTAACAGTGTCAAATGCTTTACTAAAATCAAGAAATATACAGCAAGAGAAAAGGCCCTTTTCAATATTGTTAATTAGCTGAGGCTGAAGCTCTAGGACTGCTAAAGAAGTTGACTTACGTTCTTGAAAACTATTCATTGATTTTTAAGAATTTTACTGAGTAATGGTAGAATCGAAATAGGACGATAATTGCCACATTCAAATTTTGATTTACTTTTATGAATAAGTGTAACTTTAGCAAATTTCAGCTTATCTGGAAAGACACCCTCCAAAAATGAAATTGTAATAAGAAAAAGCTTAACAAAGGAACTTTATTTGAAAAAAAACAAACTTTGTTCTGATTATGATAGAATAAAAAATAGTTGATTATTTTATCTTTGGTGACATGTAAAGCCTGATAAGGGGTATTTGATATATGAAATAATTGCGATTTTTTGGAAGAAAAATATAAATATTTTAGGTCTTTTAGCTTTGAAACATGAAATAATTTTGATTCCCAGAATGAAATATCAAAATAGCGAAATAACGGAGTGTTTTATTAAATTCTTTGTGAGGATTATTAATTTGATTGCAGAAGCCACAGAAAACAGCGAGTATTGAGCTATTTAGATATTTGTCAAACTCAAAACTCTGAGAAATGACGACAAAAACAATTTTTCTTTCCCTAAACTTGGAGTAGTAATGGCCTTCATGACCAGCGAGACGTATTTGAAATTGGAGGGGCCAAAATATTAAGAATAGGATTGTGAAAGTTTTAAGGCCATCCTCATGGTTAGCGGCAAGAGAAATTATGAAAATAAAATTTCTAGGGATGCCAGAAGCTGAAACATCCAAGCAGTGGCATCGTGGCTGGGAGGGCAGAGGGGCCGTGGCGAAAAATTATTGATTTGTCAAAAAATTCGCAAACTCTAGCTGTGGCTAATTTTCAAACTTCCAGCAACATAAATTACTTGGACTATGGTATATTCTTACCGTTATTTCGATGGGCAAGTCACTTTTTTACAGAAAATACTAGATTTCTAGGATTACCAATTTCTACCATAGAGTGATTTGCTGCTCCTATTTTGTCAGCTAAAATCAGAGCTTGCAAGGGCCAATTTGGTTATCAAAATTGGTCTATATTGGTCATGAATTAAGTCTTTATTTGATATTGAGGACTGGGACAGTGCCAATTTTGTGGCTGTAACCAGTTTTTTTAAAATTTTGTCCAAGATTTGAAAATTTTTGCAGTTATGTTGCGTAAGGTAAAACAAGGAAGAAGTTGATCAAAACCATCGCTTTCCTCCGTGGATATTCAATTTAAGATAAGATTTTATCATTGAAAGTTGCTTCAAAGAATGCAACTTCCAGCGAATTTGAAGCATTAGATGATAAAAAGTAGTAGCTTCATTCTCCCCTTGTCTCTATCTACGAGTGTCAGGGCCGTTCACAGTAGCTATAAAGAAACAGAGACAAAAGGTAAGAGCACATTTTAAGAATATTTCCAGCTAAGGCAAAGGCTTAATTTTCTCTTGCTGGCCCCCTCTAGAATCCTTTCGCCACGACGCCCCTGCATCTAAGATAGATAGCGGCGTAACGTACGCTGTGTACCTTTAAACACAAAACTAAGGGCCCCAAAAAATTTCTCAGAATTCGAGACAATTCTCAGAAAACTGGTATTTGGATAAAAGCATATGTTTCTAAATAGCATTCACAACATCATTAAAATGAGTGAAAGAAGTATAATAATGATGTAAGATATGGATGTCGATTAGGATTCTTATTTATTCATACCTATGTCCGTTATAAAATTTTGTATTTAGTTTACGAAGATATAATAGATATTTAAAATCTAATTGATTTTCTCAATGAAACAGTTTGAAATTGTTTACAGTCTGTAAAGGTCGAGGGCAAAGTAGTGGTCTACATTTCTCAACGAAACACTTTTCAGTCAGGGTCTATATCCTATCATTTTCAGATATCGAACTGCCATCTTTTTCAGGTATCGAACTTCCACTTGCTGCACAGTTCCATGCTATTATACCTAACTACATCTAAGATATCAAATCCACGTTGTTAGAGGAGTCTTGGGGCAAAATACCCCAGTCTAATAATAGCACATGGGGGTAATTTTCATTTGGGGTCTCTATCCTAGTATTTTCAGCGTATCAAACTGTTCTTTATTGCAAAGTTTCAGACTGTTGAACCAAAGTAAGATTTAAATACGATACTACTGTAAAAAAAGTCTACGGCAAAGTTCCCTAATCTAAAAATAGAACAAGGGGCATTTTAAGTTGGGATCTATATCCTTTCATTTTTAGTGGGTCAAACTGCCCCTTGCTGCAAAGTTTCATGTTATTGAACTTACTTACAGCAGAGATATCGTCATATCGCTGCTAGAGTCTTGGGGCAAAGTACCCCAGTCTAAAAAAACCTGAAGCGGGCGATTTTCAGTTGGGTTCCATATCCTATTTTTTCAGCTTATCAAACTGCCCCTCTTTGTGAAACTTGATGCTGATATCACAATTTGCACAATTGTTTGACTAACAGCCCAGACTACTCTCCCTATGGTGGTAATTTTGTTGTGGAAAAGATGAGAGGAAGATAGGAATTATAAGTAGAAGAAGCTGATATTTACTCTAAATATTTCCTGAGGATGCCAGTCAATTAAAAGCTGTTACAAATTGACCAAATAGATTATCAAAGCACTGGGATACAGTAAAACACACAGGTAAGAGCCTAGGGATTTAAGAACCTTCTGGCAGAAATTTGCTTTTTTAATACTCTAAAATATAAGAACCTGTTTAGCCAAACAATGAACATATTCTTATATGTGGGGTTTAACCATTAAATTCATAGACTTTCTTACCAAATGCCAAAAAGGGGACAATAAATTGAATTAACTAAAAACTCAAGTAAAATAAGTTAAAAAAACTTGAAATGCACAATGTTAAATTTGAACTGTTGTTGAAAAACAATTATTGCTACTATTTTATATACCTAATATTAACTATAGTCTTAATTTTTGATGGGCTTTTGGCAACATTGGTACACTAATAATTATTTATAATGAAAAACAGACCAGATTTAATGTTATTTTCTGATAATCAAAAACAATATATACTCTGTAGAAATTAAGAACCTAACTAAGAACCTATTTAGCCTAAACTGTCAACAAGTACCCCCATAATACAAGAACCTGTCTTACACGCGGGTTTTTACTGTATATAGAAGTGAACTAAGCCAAAGTAGAGAGAGTATCTTTTAAGTGTTTTCAGACCCCCACCAAGCTATTCATAGATAGAGCGAGTACTCGAGTAGCAAGCATATACTTCAGTTTAGTTGGTATCAAAGAATTAATAAATCCAATTCCTTAATTGGAAGCAGGATGGGCCTTTTGATAATTTTGAAATACTTTATTTGTTAACTTTAAAATATAAAATAATGACAAGATTTCGTTATGAAAATGAAATATGGTCAACCCTCCTCTTGTAAGGGCCTCACATTTGGGCTTATGGACTGGTCATTTGCATCCTATGTGTGCCTAGAACAATTAAATTTACTCCATTTTTTTCCTAACCAATCCATGGCATGTCTCGCCCGTAGTCCCTGCGGTCTGTGTCATATGGTGAACGTGTGGGTATGGAGGGCGCGGGGGAACCCCCGGGGGTATATGCAAAACAACAGACCCACAAGGAGCAGCTGTGGATGAATTAAAAAAAAAAGTAAAATAGCACCATTACCTGTGTTCAGCTTTCTTATGGCTGGGTTACGAACTGTGACATGCATCACTTCGTTATAAATTTGACAACTTTAAACCAATACAAATATACAGCATGTCAAATTTTGGCCACCATTGACCTCGTAATGACGTAACTGAAAACGAAACTGAGGCAGCGTTGTAAAATCAGTTCCACCTAGCTAACAAGAGAATAATTCTCATTTTTATCTTTTTCTATTATGTTTTACATGCTCACACCGTTGAATGTGATCTTGTTGCTGTCCGTAAATAGATGTCCCGTAGCAGTTTTTTGCTTAGGGCACTAGATGCCTCTGTTACGCCAAAGGATATAAAATGTGATGAGTCTCTATCACTAAATCGAGCATAGATTGCTTCCAAAACTTTATCCATTACATTGTAGAATCGATTGAAATTGCATTCCTTTTGCTGTTGGCCTCAATGAAATTGTAGAGAACTTGAACAACACCAAGTCCATTTCTATTGACTCACTTTTTGCAAGATTCACTTAATGTCCAAGGCAGTGGACATAGATGCTCAGCAGCGAACAGTCCTGATGCCTCTGTTACTGTTACGCTGTTTGCAATGTTGTTCCAGAAATCAATTGACACTGGCTCAGTACCAAAGGAGTGGCAATGTGCAAACATTGTTGCAATTTTCAAAAAGGGGCTAAAAACGGAACCAGCTAACTATAGGCCTGTATCATCAACATGTGTCACGTGCAAAGTTCTTGAGCACATTATTTACAAGCAAATCATGGACCATCTTGAGGGTAGTCATATCCTTGTTCCTTTTCAGCATGGATTCAGGAAAAGGCACAGCTGTGAAACACAACTTGTTAGCTCCATAGAAGATCTCGCAAGGCATCTTGATAAAAGGGATCAACTAGACCTTCTGATACTTGACTTCAGCAAGGCCTTTGACAAAGTAGAACATCAAAGACTGCTATATAAATTAAAGTTCTATGGGATCAACGGCAAGATAAACAAATGGATCGAAAACTGGTTGGTAACACGAGAACAAAGAGTAGTTATAGACGGTATCTGCTCAAAAGCAGTACATGTCCAGTCAGGCGTTCCACAGGGAACAGTCCTTGGACCACTGATGTTTCTCATCTTCATAAATGACATAGGAGAAAAGATAGGTGATGATACCACAATCAAACTTTTTGCTGATGACTGTTTAGTGTACAGAAAAATTTCAACACCATCAGATGGAAAAACTTTACAGAAGGACATTGATAATCTCCTTGCTTGGTCAAATGACTGGAAGATGGATTTCAATGCAGACAAGTGCAAAGTTCTTAGAATAACAAACAAGAAAAGTCCTGTAGCTACTATATACAGCATGTTAGGAGAAGAACTTTAAGGTAGTTGTGCACCATCCGTACCTAGGAATAGAATTAGATTCAAATCTGAGCTGGAACAGCCATGTAAACAACATCACAAAGAAAGCTACAAATGTCCTCAATCTTGTTCGAAGAAATCTTTACAGCTGTCCAGAAAAGACAAAGGCGAAAGCATACACTACAATAGTAAGATCAATTTTAGAGTATGCATCTACAGTATGGGATCCTCATCAAGCAAATCATATAAAGAAAATTGAGGCAATACAAAGGAGAGCTGCGAGATTTGTAAGGAGAGATTATGATCGACACTCTAGTGTCTCTGATATGTTAAAAGAACTCAAATGGCCAACCCTTTAAGAAAGACGCTATGTTGCAAGGTCATGTCTCTTCCATAAGGCAGTAAATGATAATATTGCTGTTAACATTCCATCCTACATAATGGCACCAATACAGCTTCAAGGAAGAAGTCAGCGGCAGTTTATCAATATTGGCGCTAATACCAACACATATTTGTATTCATTTTTCCCAAGAACTATCAGATGTTGGAACATGTTACCAATCGAATACAGGCAACTTAAAGAAGAGACATTTAAGAGGAAGCTTCAGAAAGAAATTGAATTGAAGAACATAAACGTTATTAATCCAAGGACGCACAGTGTTCACAGACAGGTCAAAGGATTGCCTTTAACTGTATTTTAGATTCAATTTCCTTTCTATTTTAACTTGTAACTTTAATCATTAATTTTTACCTGCATTAATTCGTAGATGCCACTGACCATTCCATTACCATAATACCCTCTCAATGTCCCCTTTAATTTTCAGTCCCTTTTTTATTTGGTCTTGACGACAAACAAAATTACAGTTTCTCATTTGACATGTATATGCTCAATCAATCTAATCATTGATCAGTGGCATCTTCTAGCACATTTTATCCATTAAACTTCATAATTTTCATTATTTCTTGCACTCTGAGCATTATACCGATACTCGGTCCTGCTCAGTATCGATGTAGATGTAGATGTAGATGCAGTCCTCCTTCCGCTTTGTCAAGCCCTTTTACCGCTAATTTTAGACTGTGAAAGCATTTGACAACAGATTTCTACATACGCTTTTAAGCCCAATTTGTACAATTGCTGAAGACTGAGTTTTGTCAAATTTTGCACAAACTTCCTTTCGGACACCATTCAGTGCAAAACTGAAACAAACTGGCATTTGTTGAAGCCACTGTCCTCTCTGCCCCCATCTGCCCCCTCTGCCCCCTCTGCCCTGCCCCCTCTGCCCCATCTTGGCAGCCCTGGGTATTGGTTGAAATTCTGCTGTATCCTAGAGGTATTGCCTTTGTATCACATTCGCAATCAAAAACCTTTTCAGCATCAGCACAGTAGGACTGTTTTATTACAAAGAGAGGTGATAAGAGAAATGATTGAATAACTAATATTCTCTTCTTGTTTTCTTTGAATTTTCTTACTCTACAGAATTTCATAGCCTGAGATCAGGCTAAGAATTTCATATCAAGCTCCGCAATTTTGAATTCCAGCTTCAAGAAACTAGCCCAAATCCAGTTTAGAATAAGCTCTCTATCAACATATCTTAGCTTAAAGGGAGAGACACGCCCTTTTTGTCGGCAGAAATCATTTCTGTACCCCTCCGAAAATATTTTTTTGGCTTTGTCCCTATATTCGCAGGCTCAGCGGAGCATGGGGGCTAGGATGCTTTAGCCTCCCCCCCCTCCCCCTCCCCACACACACACTTTTGCAAAAAATGCCAAATATTAAGTAATAGACTATCAGTAAAGCCTATTTTTATACGGTTTTAATTCCCCCACTTTTTCGGAAATCCCCCCCCCCCCTTTTCTCAACTTTCTGCGGTGCCTGATACAACCAATGAGGTAAAAACCTTATTGGATACAACATGCTTATTCTGCCTCGTTCCCAGATTAACCTCTTGTTATCCCACCTAGCATCTCTTCGGCTCCTCTTTCCGTTGAAGGTGAAAACTGGTAACTTTTCAGGTGAGGATTTCATGTAGGATCTTTTACGAATCGCCTTAATCGCTACACAGCCAGTTAAAATACTGTGCTGAAATTCAAAATAAGCAACTTTTTTATATCCACCTTGCATTATTTTCTCTTATTTACGCATTTCCATAGACATACACTATTAAGACAATAACATTTAGGGTTGTAGATCCCCATTTTGAACAATGTTCCGCCAGATGAAGGTTTTTAAATATTATAAAATCCACGAGCCACTTGTGAGAAAAGTTTTTATGTTCTTGAATGACTCATAGAAATATATCAAAGTCAAATCGATTTTCGACAGGACTTTGCTGTCGTTCCATCATTGTTTTGTGAAATAGAGGCACCAGTTTTGATTTAAGCTTGATTTAATATCTGTGCAAATTGAATTTTTGAATTATTTTGCAAATTGTTTCTACAGATTTCCTCCATTGCTAAAGGGGAAAAGTCAGACTAAAGAAATGGCCGAAGAAGCTGAGAACGAGCTTTTGGATTACGAAGAGGCGAGTGACAATGAGGCACCAAATGAATCCACGAATGCAATTGAGCAAGCCAAAAAAGAAGTCAAAGGAACCTACGTCAGTATCCACAGTTCAGGATTCAGAGATTTTCTGTTGAAGCCAGAACTTCTGAGGGCCATTGTTGACTGCGGTTTTGAACATCCATCTGAAGGTTGGGGAACTTTCCTTCTTTTGCATTTTCTTTGTGTTGACATGCTATTTTATAAAACTGCTTTCTAACAAATCGGCAGTTTAGTTAAGTTAGGCCCTTTTGGTGTTTTGGCTCTTATTTTTGTTTATCTTTCCTCAAATAGTTGATCCTAACTTGAAACAGGTAACACTTGAAATTTCAACACAGCCATTTTGAAATTCTTCAACTATATATTTAAAATTTACGTTACTTTTAAATTCAATTTTTTTTCCTTTATTCAATCTTTGTGTTGTAACTTTTATTTGCTACAGGCTTTATAATGGATTTTATGTCCAAAGCCCAGACCAAGACATATTGAAATATTGTTTTTTGTCAAGTTTTACAGTAATAAGCTTCAATTTAATAGCAAAGGGTAGGTGTGAAAAATAGATGCTCAGAGCTGCAAATAATCAAGTGCAAGTATGATTCTTAACCTAGTTATAAAGTTTGATAAATAACCAAGCATAAATCAAACTAATTCTACCATGAACTTAAAGATAGAATCATCCTAGGCCTGCGAATAACATGCTTTCCATAGAGAATGCAGCCTGCTTTTTATAGGATTAATATTTATACATACAAGTTTTATAAATGTTGTAGGATTTCACTGAATACTTTTACTTTTTATTTCAGTTCAGCATGAGTGTATTCCACAAGCAATTCTTGGAATGGATATTGTATCCCAGGCAAAAAGTGGAATGGGCAAAACAGCTGTCTTTGTTCTTGCAACTTTGCAGCAAATTGAACCTGTTGACAATCAAGTGCTGGTTTTGGTCCTTTGTCATACAAGAGAACTTGCTTTTCAGATAAGCAGAGAGTATGAGCGTTTTTCAAAGTACATGTCTACGATCAAAGTTGGGGTTTTCTTTGGTGGAATAAGCATAAAGAAGGATGAACAAGTTCTGAAAACAAACTGCCCCCATATTGTAGTTGGAACACCTGGTAGGATCTTGGCATTGGCAAAAGACAGAGTTCTGAATCTCAAGCATATAAAGCATTTTATCCTTGATGAATGTGACAAGATGCTTGAAGCGTTGGGTATGTTTTGATACTGTCAAGCTAGATATAAAAAGCCTTACTGATTTGAAAGGGTTTTCTTAGAGTCTATTTACTATATATATATCATTTTTAAGCATGTTATGTATATAGAATGTGATTTTAAATGATTTAGATGATTGTTAGGATGTTGATTATTATATAGTTTTTTTCTGAGTGATTTTGTGATAGCAAATTAATATTATCCATTACAATATGCAATAGTCTGTAATGTTGTTTTATTTTTGTAGATATGCGGAGAGATGTTCAGGAAATTTTCAAGATGACACCACATGAAAAACAAGTGATGATGTTCAGTGCAACACTCAGCAAAGAGATCAGGCCTGTCTGCAAGAAATTCATGCAGGATGTAATTATGAAAGCAGTTCTTTTATTTGGATTTTACCTTCACTTTGATATTGGTCATTGCAGAGTTTGGGCAGCAACCTGGCTTTCAATGATCATCTTCTCTTTGCTGGAATTATGCTTTGTGCCATACAGCCATCATCATATATTTACTGTAGTTCCATATTCATAAAATAGATCCCATATTCTGTCAATTCACCTAAGAGTCAGTTTGCTTGTCCACCACCAACTGGCATTTTGTTGGAGTCTTTCCCTGTTGTTCGTTCTTCTTGCATACATGCACTCTATCCAACCCATTAAATTGAAAGCAACCAGAACCTTGAAAATTGCAGGGTCGGTTCTAGTCTGTTCTCACACATATTCCTGTGCAGCTATTTATTCTGAACTTGTCACTGTCATTCTTTCCCATCCTCAATTATCACAAGTCACCAATACTTTCACTTTAGTACACTTATCAAAGCATCCATGCCCACACTTCCATGAACAAAAAAACCATGACTTGATCCTCATTGTGCCACGAACATTTCATATTTTTGATTGAATATCTTCAACTCCTACTTCACCTAGAGTGGATAATTCAGTTACCACCAGTCCACTTTTTCATGCAATATCAGCAGCTACCCTTCATTTCACCCTCAATCATTTGAAAGGGAAGTTGTTTCTTTGTTGGAATGGTGACACTTCAGTGGCAGTGGTCACATCAACATGCTTCTTGGAGCATTTTGTAAAGATGTTCTTAGTTATCAAGGATGTTTGTAAATATCATCAAGTAACTGCTGGTGGCAAGGCAAGAAGATTTCAACAATGCCAACAGAGTCAGCGGCTTGTACAAACTCAGGTTGCATCTTACCAAATTACATTGTACTGACCTGTGTGTATGCATTTTGCAACATTTTGCCAATTTCTTGTAATTTGTACCTGCAAGTCGCTTTGTACACTAACATACATAGTATATCTAAAATTTGATCACAAAGACTTTGTTTCTAGCTTGCAAGCTTGCAAACTTAGGTTCAGAAACTTGAATTTTACATGTGTTTTACATTGAAACTGCATAAAAGATTTTGTTCTGTTTACAGGCATGTGGCCTTGTTTCATATTATGCACCAAATAGTCATTTTTGCCCTCTCTTAGTTTTTCAGCTCAATTCAACAAGCATTTTTCTCTAAATAGCCAATGGAGGTATACATTGATGATGAGACCAAGCTAACCTTGCATGGACTGAGACAACATTATTGTAAACTGAGGGATAATGAGAAAAACAGAAAGCTCTTTGATCTTCTTGATGCTCTAGAGTTCAATCAGGTATAGATACATGTCAGCATTGCATACCTTTCATACTACCTTATTTTTGAAAAATCAGTTTTCTTATACCCAATAGGATCCATATTTCAACAGATTTATTTGCAGTGTTATTCTTTTATGTTTCTGAAGGCCCCTTGGTTTGATGAAATTTCCTTGGGCACTTTTCTTAATGAATAAAATTGTAGTCTTATAAAATTGATAATTCATTATATTATATATATATTTTATGATTTAAATTTATAAAACCACACATCTTTGACTAAAAATAAATCAAATCTCTTTTTAGGTGATAATATTTGTTAAATCAGTTCAGCGGTGTATGGCTCTATCTGGGTTACTGACAGAACAGAACTTCCCTGCCATTTGTATTCACAGAGCAATGCCACAGGAAGAAAGGTAAATACCAACTTCAAGCTAAAGTAGGGTCTTTGTAATATAAAAATTGGCCGTGTGTGGTGTTTCACATGTTTTGAATACTTTGCGTTGTGATGTGGATCACTTTTTTATCTGTTATTTCTCATTCCTGTTGGCAAGAACTACTATAGAGTACTGCTTTCAAGAAGACCTTCTGTGTTATAAACTTAACAGAAAACAAGGAAATTGACGGAAAAACTGTTTTTGTTCTTCTTTGAAGATGTTAAATTTATATTAGCTAATAAATTTTCTAGCAAGTAATTGTAGAATCTTTTTGTGATCATATTTAAAGATATCTCAGTTGAAAAAATATCAGTTGCTCTCAGAAATTACCATTTTGTCGAGTAATTACCATGCAGCATCACTGACTTCAGTATCATCATTAATGTAGCAGATATCATAGCGGATATTCTTAAAAAATATATTACCATTTGATCTGTCCTTTCACAATAATATGGAATTCAGCAAACAATCAAATGAGAAGGAATGGGTAGAGAAATGACACAAAGATTGAAATTAACACACTTTCTTTGAACTCAAAAGCAAGTTTTCTCAGCTCCTAACCCTAAAGATCATTCGATAACAGTGTAAAATAATAAGACAGCAGTGCAGTCATCATCTCTTCTTACTCAGAGCTTTCTTTGGTTTCCTCCTCCTTCTCTAGCTTTGGTTGCTTCGACCAAAGTCTTACAATAATTACGCTCTTTCCCCAATGTCACCAGCTCAACTTTGTTTCTTTTCACCATGATCACTGAAGAACAGAATAATCAAGCGAACAGTGAAGATGTTGGGCGATATTGTCGTAACTACTTTGTGATGCCGTTGTTAAATCTCGTAAGGAAATACTTTAACAACACCTTGGAAAATGACAGAACTGCCTTTGAAATTGGCAACTTTGATTTGCCACTGCTTTTAAAACCTTCAAAACATAAGCAATTTTTAAGAAGTTTTGTGGCAAATCCTTTGTTTTGCACGTGCAATGATTTGCATGCCTTGGACAATCTGAGGGGATCGCGCGTCTATATTACAAGACTGAAGTAGTTGTTTATTTTGTTCATTATGCATTTATATCTTTATTTGATTTTTCAAATTTTTTGTTGTCAGCCAGCTGTTGTTATTTGTTACCTCGGTGAGGTAATGAAATGAATGAAGGCTGCAGAATGAAATGCCAAATAACTCCATGAAATGAGCAAACTGTTATTAGGACAACCCTGGAGGTTTAACTGTAGTGAAGGCAGTTGTTTCTTTTATCTTTAGCTTATTAGTCCTGGTTAAGGCCATTGAACAATAATATATATATTATTTTTTTGCCATATAAGTGTATAAATATTTATACGAAAATGACTGTTTTACTGGCCTGCCTTATAGTGCTTGATGTCCTATAGGCAGTTCTGTACAAGCTTTGGTATATAGAACAGGATGGTTCTTAGTTGCAACTCTGAGTTTCATGTTTAATGCCTATATTTCTGTTGCCTGATGGTCACATTAAGGTTGAAACATGGAGTTACAAAGAAATTTCTGCAAGAATTTCAACTTTTGTTTTCATCAGTTATCAATGTAAACAAGTCATTGAAAAAGCAAAAACATTTAGGGAAAGTTTCCACGCTTATATGCACTATCTTTTTTTGAGTTATTAGCATTATTGACAGTGATATAAATTATATTTGTTGACAATATATACGCTGGAGACAAACTTGAAAGACCAGCCACAAAAATTTGATGTTGGCTAGAATCATTGGCTCTTAATTAATTATCCTTGTTTATGAATCTTTCGTAATATTTTACAGACTGTCTCGATACAAGCAATTCAAAGATTTCCAAAAAAGAATTTTGGTAGCAACTAACCTTTTTGGCAGAGGGATGGACATTGAAAGAGTGAACATTGTCATTAACTACGATATGCCAGAAGATTCAGATACATACCTACACAGGGTAACCCAGATTTTCTTTGCTGTTTTTTTTTGCATTTTGTTGATTTTTTCTATAATTCAATCTGAACCAATCTGAATGTTGGTCCAGTATGTGATCAAATTCACTTTCTATTCAGAGTGAGAATTTTGCAACACACAAGGCTGTTTCAGTATATATATAATTTGTTTTTATCTGTTGAGTTTGAGAAGTTGCTTTGAGAAAGTCTTGAATATCATTAAAAGCCAGACAGTTTTTGTTATTACTTGAACAACAATCTTTTGATTTTTATTGTAACATTTGTTATCGACAGGTATATTACCATCATTCCAATGTCAATTAATGGGTGGTTATTTTGTAAAAACATTGATAATATTGTTGCCATTCCATGTAATTTATTGTATCCATCTGCTCAGGTTGCAAGAGCTGGTCGTTTTGGAACGAAAGGTTTGGCAATCTCTTTCGTGTCTGAAGAGAATGATGCTAAAGTTCTCAATGATGTGCAAGATCGATTTGAAGTAAATGTCAGCCAGCTGCCAGCTGAAATTGACATGGCAACGTACAGTAAGTGATGCCAACATTTCCCCTCCTCATTTTTTGATAAAAAACTGGTCTTCTGATGTATTTATGGTATTGTTCCTTGTAGTTCATGCCACAGAACCATTGTTATGAGCATGTTTTAAAATTTTTTCATCATCTGTAAAATAGTTTGCTACTTTTTATGATAAATACTGTTAGTTATTTATATAAAATATATCCATTTACTGTTGATCAGAAGGAGAATGCTTGAGAGAAGTAAAATATGAAGAATAGTTCTTATCTTCCAAGCATTTTTGGAGAGTCACTTCAAAGTTATATGAAATGGAGTTATATATATGAAATGATGGCCCTGAATCATGCCCCTTTGTTTGTATAAATTGTATTTGATGCACAGCCATGTTGTGTAGTCTATTCTAATCTATTATATATACTATCTTTCATTTATTCTGTGAATTTCTTTTATACATGTTTAAATATATTTCTTCTATTGTAAGTTACTTTTTTTTCTTTTTAGTTGAGGGGTATGAAGCACAAAGATAATTGACCAGTCACTTGAATGCATGGACACTTTTGACTTAAAGATTTTATCTGTTGTACACTGTATTAAAGATGTATTTTGTAAGCTTTTTAATTTTTTCTTTAACATACAACTTAGTAATTTTCTTTTACGGAGTTTCTATAATTTCGGAATAACTGGGTTGCTTGCTTAAAGCTGATTGCTCACTGCTAATCATTTTGTTGTATAGTTGGGTAAAAATGATCAAGAATTGTTTGTATGTTAGAGTTTTTTCATGAATTTGCCGAGAACAAAAGTTATAAGAAGCAGTTCCTGTTAGAAACATCAGAAAAGTCTCTAAATCGAATAGATATGTAGCCTGCGTGCAGACTTTACTTTCCATTGCAAATGAGTGCCAGGATTTAGCTTGAACAATGCTGGAGTACATTCTGCATTTATGCTATTTTTTGCCTTTGATTGTGGTGTTGATTAAATTCTTATCACCTTTAATGGAAAATTGTATAGCCGTGGATGTCTCTTGGATTGCTTTTTGCGTTTTGCATGCACTCTAAATATCAATGGTGCGGTGGCGGTCAATAAATACCTTTACATCCATCTATTTGGCTAAATGAAAATGTGCTTGGGATTGTAGACTGTATTTTTCTTCATCTTAGTCATTAAGTGCAAATAATCGACCATAAAGCAAAACAAGAAACCTTTGTAACAGAGGAAAATTGATACTGTAAAGTTTGGTGAAGCATGTTACTTGGCACTATTTAGTTTAAACCGAAGATCAACCAAAGATCGTTTGATGGGATGGAATTAAGATTTGTCAAACGTTTGCGAGGTTGTCAGCTGCGGCTTTACCACTGCTTTGAGAAAAGCGATGCTTTAACTTCTGATATGATTTGGCCGAAGTGTACAGGAAAAGAAGTGGGATTTGAAGCGAGTAGATAAACATTACTGAAGCTTCTTTTTCAGCGGTTACATTTTCGGCATTAATTTCAGGATTGCAAGAATGTATTGAAAGGTCGATTACGAAAATGAAGTAAAGTAATGTATTATTAGAATAGTGAAATTGAAACTGGTGATCACAAGGTAAAATTGAAGCTGCCACAATCGTATTGCAAACAGATAAAGTCGTCTTTACTAGACACCAGAACATGTACAGATCTCTGTCTATATTGCAAAGCGCATTTCTACATTAATCTGAGTTCTATAACTTTATCTATAAGACAGAAATTTCTTGAATTGAAGGAGCATACCAATTGGCCCTAAGTTGACTTTTTCATAAAATCATCTTTTGTAAATGGATGAAACATCTGAAAGTTTCAATTCGTTTGTTTCGGCTGTTCTAGCTATTTTTGATAGGATTGTTTGAAGATTTTGAAATGGATGACGCAAAATGTCTAGTGCGGTCGTTAAGGTGATGAACCGGGAAAATATAGTAGAAAAGCAAAACGTACATCGTTTTACATAAAAATTTTTCCTCTAAAACATATCTAAAATCGCCTAAAATCCAATTTGGAGAAAACATTTTACGGGAATTTTAAAAACATGAGATTTTTGACCATCTGCACAATATTGTGCAAGCAGATAGACATTTACCAAAATACCGAGGGACTATGTAAAATATAAATTGCTTGCAGCAATTCAAGATATAGATTCTGAATTTTGAAGCTAAATAAGTCTCACTGCTAACCCGCCAAAATTATTGAAAATTCTTAATTATAAATGAGAGTATTAATTTTTGAAAAATTTCATAGAAAGATAAATTCTGTCTTTTAAGGTCGTCTGGTATTTGCAGTTGTTTGCCTAGTATGAAATGTGAGAAGAAGTTGTCGCGATATATCGTGAGTCTTGAATATCATAAATAGCCAGACAGTTTTTTGTTATTACTTGAACAATAAGCTTCTGCTGCCACAAGACCAATGCGTCCTTGAAGGCGTGGTTATACATTTGCAGTACACGAATCTGCTCTAATGGCGCATTCATAGCTTATCTTGTATTGGCATCGTTGTGACACAGTTTGTCTAGCGTCGCTGCTAGGCGGAACGGGACAAAAGTTATCTCGGGTCCCCAATTTGGCCACGCTTTTTTACAACGCCCTTTTTTCGTTCCTGGAAACGCCCTTGCTCTAAAATTGAAGGCTAAATTGGCCTTTATACGTTACTCTGTAGCGTGGTTAAAATTGTCATCTTTTCTAAAACCTTCTCGCGAACCTCCGGCCTGGGGTTGTTTATATGAAATAGGTATGAATGGGGTGCTTCAAATCCAGACCAAAAATTAGCTACGTGGCAATTGAAAGCAAGTCCCACCGACATACTTTATTCGAACTGTTGCCCATTAATTTTCAATTCCTTTACGGTAACAATTTATGAGCTTTCTGAAGGCTAAAGCATCGATAACATTACGAAAGTCAATTTATTTAGCTACATCATTTCCACTACCTCAGCACAGCTAGGTCATTCAGTTAGCTATCATTCCCTGTCATCTTGACGGACCCATTTTGCTAGCCTGAGTTTTCAAGACTGTCGAAAAGACGCTTTAACTTGAACAAAACAGAATTAATCTCAAATACTTTGATATTCAATTCCAGGCATTTTGGTGTCTTTACCTGGTACTCGAGGGGGGGGGGTACCTTAAGGGGGGAATCATAACATGTTTGATGGTATGAGGACATGCCGTTATTTAGGGGTACCTTTTTTCTGAAAAGTGCGGAATTATCGGAATCAGTTTTTGAAATATGTGCGGAACTATGGGTACCATTGTAAGAAACATGCAGAATTATGCGGACCATTACATTTTGGGAAAATATTGCAAAATTATTATGAGGGAATTTTAGCATTAACAAAATGAATAACCAGTTTGAAATAAAACTATGAAATAGGTGTTATATTGTTTAATGATTTTTATGTGAATTTTGTTTGCTTTGCAGAATTTTGTTTATAGTTTTCATCATGTTTGCGGAATTATGGGTCACATTTTTCAGACATTTGCGGAATTATGGTTCCAAATTTTAAACGAAAATGGCACGTCCCCGTCAAAAATCAGGCTTAGTTTACCCTCCGAGGCCTGGATGATGCATTATCGTTCTATAATCATTTTTAGCAGCATTGCCACAATAGAAACAATATTTTTCACTTGAAGTCAGAAAACTCCATCGCTTTTATTTTATCAAGTCTTCCGTGTCTGTCATGGTGCTTTATGAGGCTTAGGACACTTTCTTCATAACGTTCACTGCATTTTAGCTTTCAAAATCTAGCTTGTATTTCACACAGTTTTAATGCACCGAATTGTTTAGCGATTCTGCCATATTTCACCCAGAGATAAATTAAGATGGGTTAATGAGAAAACATTCCTTTGTATACCTTAGTGCAACAACTTTTACTGGGTGCTCTAGAAAGACAATGAAGAAAATTCCTTTTTTGGGCAAAAATTATGCACTCATAATTTGCATAAACATGAATAAGACCATAGTTACCTTCTTTTGTATCATCGCATCTTAAAAATGGAGTTTATTATGGCTATGAAATTTATCATGAACATCAACCATGGTTATGTTTAGCGCATACCAAAGGTATTTGTTGGATTGTTTATTCTCAACCAAGCTAATTCCGCAGTTTTTAAAATCTATAAAAATTATGGAGAAATCAATATCCTTATTTATACCAGTTTCAATAAACAAGCCGTTTATTTATGCCAATTATCAGGAAAAAAAGTTTAGTACATACCATGTGTATTTGTTGAATTGTTTATTCTCTTTATGTACCCTCAAATATTGATAAATGTCCCTCGCTTGTGATGGGTTAACGAATTTTTTATTTGGGCATTTAAAAACTGCTTGTCGATAATAAAATTCCCCACAATGTTTTTTAGGAAAATCAGAAAAAACTGACTACTTTCCTTTATTGGTCCTTTAATTTGTTTTTCAGGGCTAGAGTAGGAGAGATTTTCCTTGCATTAATCTACAAATTTGAAAGAAAAACAGATTTCTTGCTTTTCTGAACAGATGCCCTTTGTTGTGCTTCAAGTATTGAATTATTGATTGTGGCCTCGTTTATCACGAAAACCTCAAAAAAATTTTCCCCATGGTTGTTTTAGGCGATTTTGAGTATATTATAAAGAGGAAACAATTCTGCACTGAGTGGTAGAAAATTTCCTTTTGTACCATTTTTTCCTGGTTGACCTTGATTTTAACTATCCACGACGTCACTTGTCGGAATGCTTATATTCTTTGCTGCTCTGAAGTTGCAAGAGGCCTTGCTGTTGCGATGAGCCCCAAGCATGACCATCTCCCCATTCCATGATGTGGAAGAAAAACATCTTTCTGAGATACCCCGAAATTGGCTTATATCTGACAACTGAATAGATATGCTACGTATTTTATTCATAAGCATTTTCATCAGCAGTGGCAATGAAGCTTGATTTCCCAGCTGGAGTCCCATATAAAGCCTCGGGAAATAGGGCCTTCCATGTGGATATCCAGGAACTCACACTATCATTCATTAGCCATTCATTACTTTTAGATGCGGTTGCTGGCAATAAGCCCTTCTACCTTGACGAGTCATGCTGATAGAAATATTTCTTTTTTAGCGTACAAACAAACCAGTTCTCTTTCTACCGTATTGATCTTTTCAGCATCGAATACGTCATATCTCTTCTCAACTAGTTGGTCTTAAATGGGTTCGTGGGCAAAAATGTATACTGAAGAAATACAATATTGGGAAAGGAAGCTTGTTCAACTGCTATTCCTAATGTGATAATGCAGTGACGTTTTGGATGCCCGCATAAATGAATTAGTGGAAGCCAAGCATCAGTGAAATGGGCCTAACGATATATCAGAATGGAGAATCCTATGTCATTGAGTTTCCTAACATTCCGTTGGGCTGCACCCATAGATGCAAGTGGATACAATGCATTAGAAAGAGAGAGAGGAACAGCAAAAAGGGTTAAAACGGGTAACAATTTTTCATTGCATTTATTTCATTGCTCGATTAAGTTTCAAACCGGATTGTCACATTTGCAGTATGCTGACGGACATCTTCCAATGGCACAATTCTGCCTGCACCACCTGTTCATATTGACGCTACCAGCCCATGCACCTACGGCTCTACAGTCCTGTCTTTCTTGCGTTGGCTTGTCAGTCACGATCACTGGAGGCTTTTTCGTCACACTGGGTTCCGGGACCGGTGCTCCTTTTGGCACAATCTTCACATCAGCACAGTTAATGAAGTGCTCCTGCTTACCTTTGCCGACACCGCAGCCTGTGCTATCGCAGTCCCAGTTATTACCAGCACTGTACCACCACTGCATTACACATTGATCGCAGATGAGGCCGCTTGGTAGCTTCAGTTTGATTTTGAAGACTTCATCCCCCGACCCTTGTGGGATTTGATATCTCGTCCCACCACCAACAAGCTCCAGCAATTGACCAACCAGTCTACCTCTGTTGTCACCACTTACAGCTTTGCCTGTTAACTTTGCGATTCTAAACTCAAACCAACCTTGGTGATTCGATGTAAGATCAACAGCTACATCAATTTGTTGTCCTTCTTGATAAACTTCTCCTATGATGCCATTTGCATACTTTCCGGGGTACTCGTGCTTTTTGACTCCTGCAGGGTCTCCACAGACGCCGCACTTTCCCTTGTTTTTTTGCCAGTGCACGCTGAATCCTCCACAATTCAATTCGTTGTCATTGTAATTGGGAGGGTTCTTAAAGCCAAACCTCCACATAGCATTCCTCGATGGAGGATCAATTAGACGACCATGCCCTGAGGTTTCATGGATGAAAATGACAAGTACAGCAAAAAGTATGGAAGCAGCCATGTTTGTCTTCTTTGGCGAATGCAACCTTGAATGGATCCTAACTGGTATACTGCATTCGCATAAATAACATAGCTTGCCCCTTAAGCCACGCTAAAACACTTACAGATAGTGGCTAATTCATAAGTGCTCTTTTTGAAATGCTAAATTACACGCTGACTGGCTAAACATTTGTTTGTGTAATAACGATCTGTTTTGTTCAGCAGGACAAGTGGAAAACCTTACTCTACAGATTGCTATGGCTTCTCTTGCTCTCAATACTGCAGTTCGTAAATGTTTTTAGCAAGATTTCCTTTGTCAAAGACATGCAGTTACTTTGGCTATAATCACTTAACTCAGTTTCCTGACAGAAACAAGGTTTTCCTTTCGATAAAACATCCGTTCACTGCTGATCATCAAAAGTCCTCAATCTAAAATACAGGATATTTTTTGATGATTATACATGAAAACAAAATAGAAATTCTACAATATTAGAGGCATTGAGTCATGAAAAAGTGGTTTGGGTATTCCCAAAGTGCCAAAATCCGCTAAGTCACGATTTTTATGACTGCGATGCTATTGGTTGACCTTAAACTGGTCACACGAATTCATCTCGTACTGATTAACAAAAGTTTCCATCAATAGCAAGTTGTCAACCTATTCCTAAGAACTTATACAGACTTTTAAAACATTTTAATGCATTTTGAAATCTAGGTATAAATACATCCATTAGAAAAGCCTCCGAATCTTTTCCATCCATATTTTCTTCTTATTAATGGAATTTTATTTTAAGTTATTGTCAAATGTTTCAGACAAAAGATAGGATTGTTGAAATGGAAATATTTTTGGTCACAAAAGTAAATGATAAAATTTGAAGCTAAACCAAAGGAAGTCGATGGGCGTAACTGGATCTGAGATGATAGTTAAAACTTGATTTTAACCATCTTGCACGCAGTTCATTCGAGGGTCTCTTTTGTCATGCTTACTGGGGGGGGGGGACAAATGTCCCTCTAGTGACATTTCACTATTTTCAAAAAGGACTATTTTTCTTCTTTGAAAAGAACAAATGTTATCGAATTATCCAATGTCTCGTTATGCACTCCATTCCACAATAGCAATTGGTTTTCAAATTTTTCCATCAAAATTTCCCATCTAAAACATTCTATGGAAATAAAGTAATCTCTGTCCCATCGATTCTCACCATTTTATTCCCCGTCAACCCCGAATCTACAACTTAAACCTTATTTTCGCTAGTACGAACATTTCATTTTCGAGAGCATAATATCGTCAAGTAAATCCCCATTGCTTTAAAAGGTACGTCCAACTGTATTGCAATAACGTGCACTAAAAATAATCTTAGCTTCTTCCTTGTTATCTTTGAATAGATTCTAGATAAAGCCTTAGACGAACTTCCTCCATCCAAGTACTGCATTAGAACGGATGTGAACCTCTTGACATAAATGTCACATGCATTTGGAGACAATACAAATATCGACAATTATCTATGTTTGCAACTGTAAAAACCCTCCCAAACAACTTTCTGCTGGAAAATTTCCTACCATAAAAATTGAATATATGACCCTAAATGTTGAAATTGATGAAATTCTAGTTATGGAACTCCCAAAACGTTAAAAAACTGGAGAACTCAAGGTTTTAGTAAGAATCAACCATCTTGATTCTTATTAAAAACTGAGTTTTTTAGATCTTTCTATCCATAATGGCAGCGATGGAACACACTTGGTTGCAATATTGGAGATTGGCCATTTCAACCCCGAATTTTGGAAAATAATTGTCTATTCTGGCCCCTCTCAAAACATAAAAAGGTTGAAGAAACTTTTTGATGTCAGGGCAAACCGGATTCACATTCAGGACACAGACGCATTGGGTAGACGCCATTAAGGGCCCTGGGTCTGAGTGATTGTAGTTGTTGCCATTGGAGTCTTCTGATATGTTTATTCACTTTGTGATCAGTGGCCTAAATCGGACGTTGGTTGCCTGCTCATTCTAAATCTTCATTAAAAATGCCGCCTAAAAAGAAAAAGGGGAAGAAGAGCGGAAAAAGAAAGAAAAGTGGTAAGAAGAGTGCGAAGGGAGTCATACCACCAATGACAGAAATAATATCGGAGTTAACAAAGGAGTTTTATTTGATACAAATTCGGGACTTGGAGTCAAGACTTGTCAGGTATCAGAGGAAATGTGACGAACTGGAGCTTCAAAATGTTGAGTTTAAAGAAAATTTTGATCAACATGCTACGGATAAGAAAGAAATTGTATCTTTCCTGAAAAAGCAGTTAGAGCAAAGAGCAGATGAGATTGCAGATTTGCAAGAAAGATTGATAGGGTTACAACAAGCAAAAGACACGGAGAAAGACCATTACGAAGTGCAGCTTGCGACTTTGAGAACTGAGATGCAGGAGATTAAAGATCAATTAACGTCAGAGAATATGGTCCTAGGGGGAAAACTTGCATCTTTAGAAGAATTTAGGGTGCAAAAAGAAGAACTTCTTGCAAAATTTGCTAAATTACAGGAACAGCTTGTCGAGCAAGAAGATTCTCACAAAGATCAAATTTATAATCTTGAAAAAAAAGCTGTTGTAGATAAAGACAGGTAAGCAAATTTTCATCTATCAATACAAATGTAAAGTACAAAAAAGTTAGCCTACCCAAAACTGTATAATTCACATCTGTTATTTTTTATAAATACACATTCACTTTTCCTGAGAGAGATATACACAAAAATCAGATTGCTAATTGATGAAAGGATTTTGGGAATGCTGACAAAAAATATGATATTAGGTCCCCTGGTTTGCAGAGTATGGTGGGTTTTGACAATATTTTGGGGACACCACAGTCCCTACTTCAGGTGCAGGTGTGCAAAAATCATCACAAAATGCCAGGTGCACCATCACTGTTACCTTTTGCAGGTAATTATTTATTCTCCGTTCTGTGTTGAGGTCTTCGATTTTGGATCTTGCTATCTACAAAACTTTCTCAAAAATGATCTTCAGATTTGAAATCTTCATCTTAAAATTAGTCTAGGCTGAAAACTTAGTGTCGTTTGGACCGTTCAGTCGTGGGTTACATCAATTTGAATGTTTAGATATTTCTATAGATTTGACAGGAATTCACCGCTGTAGGAAAGGCTAAATTTTGAAAATGGGTTAATTCAGCTGTCTGATGGGCCCAACAACATGAAATTTTCAGAAATAGAGTATTTTTCACATGAAGATTCCAATTCTATGATCCATTTTTGGCAAATGTGAAGATAAAAAATTGCCCGAAACAGAGAATAATATCTAGGTTTTTGTTGTAACCTCTGCACTACCATGACTGCATCTTGGGTGCACCATCCACATGCTTTTCATACTAGCCTCTGTGCAGCTCCAAGGTTTGTAGTTCAATCCTCTGTAGAAAGTTATCATTCTGCTATTTTTTCAATATAGCAAGGGGGTCTGAAAATAGATTGAAGTGCCCTTTCAGGCAACTCATTTCATATTTAAATCTAAATGCTTTTTCTCAATAGTTATCTAGTTGTTAACATTTATAAGTTGTATCTGCAACATTACAAATTGATCTGAAATATTATAACTTGCCTGTTGAATAATGTCACAATGAATCATGTAAATTTCCCTTCCCCCCTTATTGAAATGGTATACAGGATTGCAATTTTGTGATTTTCCTTTTTTGCACATTTTGAGGTTAATACGTAGAGCATTGAGTTTTTGTATGTGTCTTTAATAATTGTAACCAAGTTGGTATAAAGTTTAAGCTAGAATCTCATCATTTTACAGACTGAAAAAGGAAATGATTGTAAGGGTAAATACAGTTGCTTCTGAATTTCGGAAGGTATCAAATAAGCAGATGGCTGAGACAACAAAAAGAACTCTGAGAGAAAATGTTGCCATAAATGCACAGCTGAGCAAAATGTCAGACAAAACAATGGAGCTTATTCAAGAAAATGATGAACTTCGAGAAAAGGAAAAGGAAGAAAGACTACAGACAGATATCCTGGAACATAAAGAAAAAGAGTTGATACTGAAAAATGCTAGCAATTTAAGGGTAAGCTCTACTTGTGGTTTTTATCTATATAAAAAGGGATAGCAGTATTGCAGTATTTTATGTGCTTTATTTTTAATCTATTTTGTTGCCGATCTTTGGAATTGTGAATTTCCTTTGTGCAATCTTTGAACTATTGTAAGATCTGTGGAATATGTTCCTTGGTGAAGATTTATGTAAATCGAGAAACCTGATCCAAAATAGCTTGGTGTCAAAGCTGAATGATGCAGTTTCCTTTTTTATGGCCTAAACCTGGCTCACAAGGTCTATTTTTAGCGAAAGAAATCTCAAAAACATTACAAAAAAAGCTTTATTTCTGTTCTGTCTTATCTTATCGATGATCCTGTTTTGCCAAGAAAGAGGAAAACGCTAAATTTACAACTATCAATTAATATTTTTGATAATTGTAGAGGAATGTTTTAATAGGGCAAATCATGCTCCTTTCATTTATCACTCTTCTCCATCTTAATTTGGCTCCTGAACTTGTATAAAAAATTTGATTACTGACTGCGCTAAAACTGTTATTCTAAGACTTTTCCTAATTCATCTCAATATGGGACATACTGCGTGAGCTTCAAAAAGGCGCCTCAGATTTTTCCTTTGATCTAAAAAAAATTTAGATGCAGTTCCTGGCAATCCCTAAAATACAATTTTCCTCAATTGTTCTTCCTCAAGCGAAAAATTCCTAGTTCTTCCACAATCTAAACATTTCACCAGCTCTGTGAGGTTGTTGACTGTGTGACTGCAATATTTGGTCTTGCCTAAAGCAAGTCGATCTACTTTTAAGGCACCTGCTGAAGAATACTGCTTTGATTTGTCTTTTTAATCAATGTTCTTGCTGTTGTTGTTGTGTTATTAAATTGATTCATCTATTACTTTTATATTGATTTATGACTAGTTTTTATATAATAGAACTCGAATTATATCAAAATAAAAAACAAAATTAGGTGAATCAAGGGTAGCATCACTTTTGTGCTGATAAAGCCCTCTATGCTGGGAGAAAATGTTAGCAACCATTGGTTTGCTTGTGCTCATTGTTGTCTGTGCAAGGCGTGTTGTGGTGTTCAGGGGCGGACTGGCTATTTTTTTTGGTCCGGGCAAATTTTGATCAAACCGGCCCACAATAATAGCAAATAAAAAACTCCTCGGAAAATGCAAGTAAATGTTGGTCTGTAAGGAAAACACCCAGTAATTTTGTGCACGGATGAATGCTGGTTAACAGAACATGGTTAACAGAACATGTTAAATATGTCATTTGCTGACTAAATAGTAAATAAACAAAAATTTTAACTCATTGGTTTGACTTTGTTTCTAAATACAGTAACTTATTTCTTGAAAATGTGATCGTTCTGGACGAGGGGTAGTTCACTCTTGCAAAAAGTGCCCGAGATTTTCACAAAATCAAAATGATTTCCAGGGATTTTCTTATAAAACAATAGGATTTCCACCAAAGGTTGTACGTGATTTGCTCCTCGGTTCTGGATGTCATCTAACAGGTATTTTTCTAAGAACATTAACATAAAGGACTCCAGGTTTGGCTGCGAAAAATTACTACGTAATCTGTTCTTTATATATTTTAAGTGGAAAAGCTTCTATCACACTCCACTTGTAACAAATAACTTTCTAATCCTTCGGAAAACCACAATGATTTTCAGCAACCCAAAAATTTCAATTTGTCAATTTCTGACCCCAATAAGAAAACATGGGCACCCCTGTTGAAATGTTATCGTGTAACACCATACCATACTGTTGGGCAGGGAGTGCATTTGACTTATGATAGTATAGGCCTAATAAACTTACAAAAACTTGTATGAGTTTATTGAAAGGAGCAAGAGCAAGACCCTGCTGTTTTTTGTTACGTTTGTAGCTTTTGCTTGATAAAAAAAGCTTTGTATCGTAGCTGAATCCTTTTTCAAGTCTCGCAGCTTTTCCTCTCGAAATTTCTGTGCATCACCTTTGGTTGAAGTCTTCTTGCTATTTTACGTATGTCCTCTCCATTGCTTCACATCACAGAGCAAATCGCTTAGTGAACTCTATTTTTGGACTTAATACATTTAGCAATAGCTTGTGCTTAGGCAAAAACATGACCAGCTTCAAGCAAAAGCTAAGTAAAAAGACATCAAGGCAGGTTAAAATCTTATGTATCGCATTGAAACAGGGGTGTTACAGTATTGTATGTCGCCAAAAAGGAAATACCGTCAAGAGAAAATATAACAAGATGGCAATAATATGTTTCCTGAAGGAGTGTGTTTGGGCTGCGGTGACCATAATGAATTCATAATTTGATGGTTTTGGAGTACTTGCATGTATATTTATTCTTTCCCACAAAGTCTCTGAAAATTCAAGGCAAACAGATCAAGGCGTGGGTAAACTTTTTTGCCTCGCATTCACTTTTTAAGCTAATTTATTTTTTTGCACTTTTATCAGCCGGCCCTTTAACCGACCGGCCCTTCGGGCGTTCGCCCGAATAGCCCGACCAGCCAGTCCGCCCCTGGTGGTGTTCCTAATTTTTTAAAGTTTTTCGCAACTTTTACTCAGTATCTACGTTGCTACAATTAAAATTAAATTATCTCATGCGTCAACTAGGTCATTCGAATGCTGACTGAAAAGGCAAAGAAACAAGAGACTCTTTTGAAGGATTACCGTGCAACTGAGGCAGAGTTCAAGAAACTCAGAGAGGAATTCAAGGAAGTCAAGGGAAATCTGACGCTTGTCCAGAATGAGTGCCAGGAGGAAAAAGCGAATAAGAATAAGTTGCAATCGATACTTGAAAAGCAGGAGCTGAGTTATGAGCAGTTGCTAAGAGACCATGACAAGTTATCTGCAGCTTTATCAGTCTGTGCTCAGACCATAAAAGCATCTTTGGAGGTATGACATTTTTTCCTTAAAATTATATTCTCAAAGCTTAAGGCTCATTCTGAACGAAAAATTTCTGAAAATTCCACCTGTGTCGCCAAATTAAAACCCTCCACTCTTATGCCAAATTCCATCTATATTTCAGCATCAACAAAACTCATCAGAAGGCCTTGCCAAACGAGAAGCAACACTCAGAAGACTGGTTGAAATTTTAAATCTCGCTGCAGAGGAGGGCTGTGGTATATCATTTGACGAAGTACCAATGACTGCAAATAACAAAGATGCTTTTGTATTTGAAAAAAGAAGTTTACCTAAAATGGTTAGAGGGAAACCAAGGTAAGGGGAACTGCAGCATCGTTTTATAATGTTTGTTTCATGTCACCGATTCTATGTGCAACGGATTAGGTCATTTGATATTTGGTTCTTTCCGTGAATGCGAGCATTGATTAAGTGGGATCCACAATTTTTAGCATGCATAAATGTTCTATAATGTCTCTTCAACCATTTCTCAATTTGATTCGTTTGAAATATTTCTAGAAATCTCGCAGTTCTAACGCTTTTCCTGTGCTAGCGAAGGTGCTAATGAATTTTAGAATGGCCTGCTAATGTTTTTCTAGGAGAAGCTGCGGATCGATTCAGGCAGCCAGCGACGATTCTTGCATAGATAAATAAACTAAAAAAACAACTTGTGAGAAACTGGAGAAAAACTTCAGATTTAGTAAATAGTATAATCAATGCCAAATATTAGAGATTCTTAATACAGTTTTAATACTTTTTGCCTAGACATATCAATAAATGCTTTCGATCCCCTGTGCTAGTTTCCCACCGAATAATAATCACGCTTTAATGTTTCCATTAGCAACGCAACTCATTATCGTATTGGCGATCTTGGAATTGTTCCTCCACCACAGCCAACGAGTCGAAATGATCGATACAGTATAGAGTCTTTATTGCAAAAGGAGGTAATATTATTACATTGTTTTTCACTTACTGCTTTAAATTCAGCATCCTGATACATGAATACAAACATACATACCTATTTTATATTAAACAGTTTTATCTATGGCAGTTGTGACGTGGACCTGTAATCTAAAACGTTTAAACGGAAACAAGTTAAATGAATTAAAAAAATAAGTAATATTTGTGTTTGTAGCTAAGAAGATTAAAATTGTAAGCTATTTACCTAAACGCACGTATTTGTAGGTTACTAACAGTGAAGTTGCTGATGGATCACTACTTAAATTATTTTGAAGATAGCACAGAAAAGCGGAAACACTCCGCTGGACAAAGATTTAGGACAATGTTTCTTTACAGGATGCCGGATAACTTTCGATCTGGATAAAAAGTTATACGGATAGGCTTTCCATTTTATACGAGCTCTGGGTTATCCGTATCAAAATTGATTCGGTTAGCCGTAAGCTAGACGATCTCAAAGTTATCCGGCATCGTGTAATCGTGCGTTAATGGTTTATAGTTAAGCGATTCGCATATATACATATTCCCTTTTTTAAATCGATTGTTTCTCTTCCTTCTCCATTTTCGCTTTCTTCTTCAGTTGCCTTTAACCAAAGTCTTTATCCTTGATATTTCACTTTAGATCCTTGATATATTCTTTCAAATTATGGTACGGGGGTATATCATACTTACTGTAGCTATTAGATCTAATATATTTCATTCCTTCTTATAGAGTTGGACAATGAAAATATTATCTCAACTTAGCTCAAATGATCCAAGACCTGGGCTTTTTAATAACTCATTAATATCAGTCTTAAATGCATTGCCTTATTCGGAAATCAGGAGGTGATATTGGATTATGAAAGTCATCTTAGAATAGGAAAGTGCTATCCCTATTTTCTGACGTAATATTAGGCTTAATTTTCCATAGACAGTGTAAACCACAATTACAATTACAACATCACAATTACGGATTATTTACTGTAAAGAGAAACAATAAGTAACTGCTTCAAACTGTCAATCATATTCAGTGTTTTTCTATAGAATTTTCAAACTTCCTGTTCGAATAGCATGTCATGGTCTTTCCTGTTAATCTTTTAGCTTACGTTCGTGTATTCTTTTTCAGAAAAAGCCATGCTATAGAGCCGATCAATCGCAGAAGAAACTCGCATCGATACCAGCAATGCCTCTCCCAAAAATCAAAACAACAACCAAATTGCCTGCTTTGTAGATAGACGTTTTTATTGTGATGTAAATTGAATGTGTGGTACCTAGACAAGTTTTACTTTTTTATGATATAAAGTATGATATTATTACGGAATGGTTCTATCAAAGCTGATATTACTGTTGATTATCTTTAGCAATTAATCAGACATAGTTGCTTAAGTAAAGTGCGATGACGAAATTAGCCGCACATATAAGGATCTCCTTCTTTGTGCAAATTGTAATTGCGCTTAATTCGAATGTTTTTCTCTATGCTACTTCAGAATATTCGTGTTACTGAAGAGGTCAGTGCGCTTTTCTCAATAAGTTCTAAATAAGGTATATTAAAATGGGTGTTTCGTTCTAAATTTTGTGAAATATACTTGACGTGAGAAAACACTTCAGTATAATATTTGCAACTTTTCTCGAAAACAATGCATATTTGGATTGCGTTCTATAGATTTTCAAGAACACCTACGGTGATAATTTGTTTTGTGCTGTTAAAAGTGTTTGACCAGCTTTTGAATAGCGTTATAAAGAGGCAGAACTCCTTCCAAATATTTTTCAACAGTCACAAATACGCGGGTAGGATACGGAGTTGCAAAAATGATTCTGGCAACAATCGTGCTTTTTCAGCTAGTTGGCCACATTGCTGGCCATGGTATGATGATGGAACCAGTGGCTAGAAACTCGATGTGGAGGAAGAGGTTTCCGAATCCAACAAATTACAATGACAATGAGCAGAATTGCGGCGGGTTCAGCACTCAGTGGTCGAAAAATGAAGGCAAATGCGGAATTTGTGGTGATCCGTATCACGTAACAAACCAGCCTCATAATGACGGTGGCAAATATTCCAATGGTCTTATCGCACGAGAATACCAGAAAGGGCAGATGATTGATATCGAGGTTAAATTGACATCTAACCATCAAGGGTGGTTTGAGTTCAGGATTGGCCAGTATGACAACACAAAAATTCAGGGAGATGCGATTGGCAGACTCAAGGGACATTTATTGCAGCTGTCTACAGGAGTGACAAGGTATAGATTGCCACGTGGCTCAGGCAGTGGTGTCTTTAAAATCCGAGCAAAGCTACCTGAAAACCTGGTCTGCCAGAGATGTGTTATCCAGTGGTGGTACAGTGCTGGAAATAACTGGGGATGTGACAATGATGGATGCGGTGTAGGCCATGGCAAGCAAGAACACTTTGTCAACTGTGCTGATGTTAAGATCACTGTATAAAAATAAAAGTAAAATATTTTCAATCAGATATCTTTATTGCCATTCGGGTGATGATTTATGCGTATCTATCCTATTTTATTTGTTATTATGATACGATCGTAAGGATAATGGGTCATTATATTTTATCTTATTCTATTTGTTAATATGATAAGGTTGATAGTTGTACGAATTTTCTGCATCTGATATTCAGACCTACTAGCTGAATCTAGGGTGTGGGGTTATGCCGTCTGTTCCACTTTGAATTTGAAGATGCGGTCCCTGCGTGCCAAGCCAATGTGCGAAATGCTAAACACGTGAATTTACGAGACACGGCACGTATCTTGGATACCAGAATCACTCTTGTTCCATACCGGTCTTGTGCTTGCGTGTTTCTGATTGGCCTATTTCGATCCACAACTAGGTATATATTTTCCATCGTGTTCTTTCGGAACCTTATTCTGACGTTTTATGCTCCGAGGAGTGTCAGACGAAAAAGCTTTAAGTATGTCGTAAAATGTTTCCTTTTTTCAAAGCCATTTACAGATGAGTCTGCTACCCAGGGTACTGAGCACAGGGCCAATAAAAATTAGTATCGTTAAAATCTTTCGCGCATCTCTTTAATGTTACTAAAACTTAAAAGGATGTTCTTGCAAAATTTTCAATCAGAGCGTTGTTAGATTTCAAACTTCACAGAAGAGACTCGTTTCATGCTTGCATGTTCTTTTCATTCAATTCTTGCTACTTGGTTACCGTAGCTTATGAATATTAGGCATACAATTTAAGTTGTGGCAATTTTGCATGTGTTGCATCCAAGGTACTTATGCCCTGATCAAAATTGCCAGAGAAATGCAGCAAAACTAGGTCGCAATAAGTAAATGAAAAGGTGAAAGGACAATATAACGAGAAGAGATCTTGTGATACGAGAATATGTAACCATTATAGAAATTAAAAAAACAAATCTTTCGTCCTGGCAAACATTATCGGGTTGTTTCTGCTTGCTTTTTACACTTTCGTCATCTCAGCAAAATTACAGTGTGCCTTTCTTATGGCACAGACTTTTAATCGAAAGCAATAAATGTCAAGCAAACTTGTCGAACTTGCTATATTTGTTTGTCTTAGGACCGTGTTTACCTTGATTGCGTGAGCAAGTTCTCTGCTAATAAAGTTTTCCAGCCAACTTCGGATAAAAAAATAGATTGCTAAGGCCATAAAACAACAATGCCATTTAGACAGCTATCAATATCACAGTGTGTCAGCTTAGGGGTGCCGTCCTAAAAAGTTAGAAAGGTGGGCTGTGCTGTAGGCAATTTCAAGAGACCACACCCATGGCCCTACCCAATATACTTGCATTTGTGTTAAAGATTGATTAGAGAAACTGCTCCTTCATGATAAATCTATAGTACAATAGAGGATTGTCTACACAGAATTCGCCCAACCACATATGAGCTCACTATTAAGCCCCCCCCCCAAACTCCCTATGAATTTTAGCAAGGGGCGGCTAACCACCCCTCCATGGCAACACTAGCTCTTTACGATATGAAATCTGTACTTGTTATACGCGTTGAATTCACTGAATCGCGTTGAATTATGTTACCGTTGCATTGGCCTCGATACCAATAAAACTATGCACAATTTTTGAATTTTCGCGCTGAAAAATACACGCATGCGTATAATGTGAAAATTCATCGTCAATGGCGGATTACTGGAAGTGTTGAGAGGTAAAAGAATAATGTTTTACGCTACATAGTCTATGAAAAGAGATAAGTGATGCTTATTAAATCTTGCTTCAAGCTAAATTCAATCTTTTATAATGATGTCTTAATTGACTTTGTATATTTATTTTGATCTAGGCCGACCCGACAGGCCACATTATATGGATTTCTTGGATGATTTTGAAAATAACAAATCAATTTGGAATCTTTGTGTGTAGTCAAATATTTTTTATAGATCGACTTTTTGCGTCACGGATCTTCAATGAAAGAGGGCCTAATTCCACGATAATAATTGATATACATATATTGCACATTGTCACTTCGCCAGCTGTTTTTATTTGTATGTATTGTGCATTAAAATGGCAAATAACATGGCCAAGTTATATTTTAATTAGCAACTTCACCGGGAGCTCACATCTTGACTGAAGTACCAAAAACAATTCCAAAAACTTTACAGTGCATCTCTAATTTAAAACTGTTCATAAAACATATTAGACTGTTCATAATTTGAAGACTTAACAAGTTCCACCCTGGCATTCCTTTGAAATGGATAGTGAAGTCTGTACACAGACTATGTACTTTGTTGATAATTTGTAGTTGAATTTCGCTAATAATAAATTTATTATGTGTTGCAGGGATAAATTTATGTTGTGCTATTTTTTATTGTTTGAATGAAGTATAATTTTCTATGGCTATTCCATTTATAAAATTATGAAGTTGAATGGTAATTAATTGAGTAATAAAGTCAAAGGGATACAAAGAGAAAAATCAGTTTGCATCTGCTTTTACAATTTACTAGGGAAATTCAGCCGACTACCTCTATTTCTGAGTACAATGTTTGGTTCTACAAAATAACATTGGTGATTATGAAGTCTTTTTCCATATGTTTATGATATTGCCAGAAAATAAGCCAGATACTTTCAGCAAGTTCTTTCAATGGTCTCCCACATATGGCTCATGGTTCAAGGGTGGAATCCTTGTGAAGCTCACACTGGACATACGTCAGTTAACAATAGAAAGACAATGGGGAATCATTAGTCTATGCTGGATATCTCTTGTGTAAGCTACATGAATTCAACACTTGCCCGTGGTCTCCCAAAATGGTACTCTGGCAACAGGGGTGGACAATTCCAGTAGAAATTTGGTTGCCAGGCAGTTACCTTTTGTAGCGATAAACAGCCTCTGGCATATAAAAACCAGTTTTCCGGGTGCACAGAAGACTGGATTCAGAGGTGGAAAAAAATTTTTTCTTTCTGGGAACCTAAGAATCTGGCTCAAAACTTTCTGCAAAATTTAGGGGGTAGACAAATAAACTTTCTGTTTGTGCCTATATCTCTTAGTTGATGTATAAAAGTGGGCAAATTTAATTTTAAGAAGTATATATGATACTTCTCTTTTGAATGTTCAATTTGTTTTTATTTTAATGCTTAATTTGTTTTTTTTTCTCAAAGTATTTCTATAGAAGGTTAAATTGAATGCATAAAATTGTCAGGCAATCAACTTCTTAACATAATCAGTATCATTTAACATCAGAGATCTTGACTTTTGTTCCAAAACAGTCATTCTCAACATATTAGATATGCCTTTACTTAATGCATTAATGCACATAAGAAAGAAATCATTCTTAGCTAGAAATTGATTCAATCAATCATCATGATGGAAAATCAAAAGGAAAATCCATGCAATAATCTCCAAACATAGTTTCAGAAGAGAAAGGGGCAAAAGCATTTGAATTGTATGGTGCATTTTATGGAGAAGACTTAGCCTAAACTTTTGACAAGTGAGAAGCAATATGTGGTTAAAATGGAGTCCTAGCATGCAACAGATTAATGTAACCAAGCATATTAACTTATGATCAATGCTGCTCACACCATGGTGCCAGAAATATTTTCTGTGAAAGTAGATTCCAGTACCTATATTAATCTCAGTCTTAATCATGGTTTGTCTTAAAAGCTCAGCTGCTAAAAAAATTCTGATCGTGAGTGGCTGAGATTTCTGTGAGATGGTGAATGTAAATAATGTGCACAAAGAATTTATTTCCAATGGAAAGAGACTAATTCCCACATTCCTTTGGCAGCTCAAATTTAGCTGCTCACAGACAAGTTAAAATAATATTTTCAACTAATTTGACTTAACCTATGTCACCAAATTTTTATATTTACTTTAACACTTCAAAAAATTTCTGTGAAACTTTCTGCCAACATTTTCATCTAGAAACATTTCTGGGAACTACGTTCCCAGGTTCCGATACTTTTTCCACCTCTGACTGGATTGTCCACCCCTGTTGTTACATTATATTCTCCTTAAATTAATAAATTAAAACAATGAATAAGTAAAATATTGTCTGTTTTTTACAGTTATACATAGCCTTACATGTGAGAAAAAGATGTTAATCCAAATACATGCACCTGGCATACATCAATACCCAATTCTTGTATTTTGATAAAGCAAATCTCCAAGGTAAGCACTGATGCTATAATAATTTATAATGTAATATCACTTAGAAGATAATAAAAGCTACTCCAGCACTATTAATGCTCAAAGAATTTATCAGTTCCTATCAATAAAAGAAACCAGTCAATGTATCTTGCTGTTCTAACAAAAAACCAATAAAGATGGCTCAGTTGTTAGAGGCGCTGACTACAGACCCAAGGGTCCGTGGTTCAAGTCTTTGGATTGACCAAACTTTCACCAAGAGTGAGTAGAGTCGCCAGCTCTCTGTAATTCCAGGCATAGGAATCACGAGGTGTGGTCACATTGAGAGGAAGGACCAGGACACTGCTCGATAAGCATAGCTTCTCAGTGTCCTAAAAACTACCTACGGATGCTAGGTAGCAACAAATACAAATACAAAAAGAAAAACGAAGAATCTTTGTTCCTCTTTATAACAGTAACCCCATTGCCTGATCCTTTCATGGTCTTATTTATCATATTTTTTAATGTATAAATCTCTCTCTACATTCATTCATTTAGATTAATTATTTTGTCATTGGAATGGAGTATAAAGGCATTAATGGTTGATAGCAGAATTTTTTTTTCAAAATTCATGTAGCACATATAGTGAAACGCACTTTTATCAAATGTAGCGACTTTTATCAAATGGAAAATTTCTTTGGTTGTCTAACAAATTGAGCTTTTCACACAATTGTCTGTATGTATACTTATAGTAAATTACTAATGGAACTGTTTACTGGTCTGTCATAAAGTGCTTGATGCCTAATAGATAGGGCTATCAACAGAGCAAACACAGGTTTTAGAAATTTCAATGCTTGTAGACCTAATGTTGTTTTTGTGTTTAGCTAACTACTATATTAATATTTCTAATATTTTGCTTTTAGAATGCAAAATGGTTTCAAGAGCAAGCAAATCTTCCAAAAATATTTTGCATGCCATTGCTGCATATGAGATTGGTTTGAAGGAAAAGAGGATGTTAGATACCTTTGCTGAGCAAAAGTTATCTACAGAATGCTCTGATAATTATGTAAGAAACTTAATCAATTTTTATTGATTTTAATGAATCTAACTAAAAACAAGGCCTTGTAAATTTACCATTTGATTATTTACTCATTATTTACAAAATAGGACATATGGTTTGCTATTTAATCTTAATGTTTAAAACTCCAGAATTTAGATCCCACATCAAAATGATATTGTGTAATTAATGTAAGTTATATAGAATCAAAGAGGCTAACGAGTCATTTGCTTTTTTAATTCAGTATATGTCCCTTGCCAGTTCTTATCATGAGCAAGGAAGTTAAAACTCATTATATGTTGAATGATTGTAGCATCGTCTCTGATAGAATCAGTTGATTTCTCAGCTTTAGGCATTTGTCTTGCATTTTTCATTTTGTGGTCTTATGTTGAAACAATCTCATTCTTCTAGCAGTACCAATCTCGCACAAAGTCAGCATTCTTGATAACATTCAGTCCTAATGGGTGAGTTGATCAAACAATGTTTAAAAGCATTCTTTTATAACTAACATGAGTTATTTTTTAACTTGATTGTTTTAAACTATTCAAACATTGTTTGTAATTCTTTACAAAGTACTGAATTGCTGATTCTAGAATTTTTTGGTTCCTTCTAGAATTCATCTCATCTTTAAGATTGTAGAGTTTAATTTTAGGCTGTTGGCCCATCAGGAAACATCTTTTTCAAACAAATTATTTTCTCTGAACATTGTTTTTATGTAGAGATATTAGTTTTTCTTTTAGCTTTTGAATTTTCTTGTAAAATTTTATTACAACATGTCAATATAAGTCTGTTTTTAGCTTGATCGTTTATAATTTTTAATAGGTCAAGAATAGCAGTATCTCATGGTGATCACACAATCAAAATATTTGATGTGCAAACAAATCAATTGATCACATCTTTGAAAGGACATACAAGGTCAGCTTGGAGCATATGTTATCATCCATTCCACAACAATATTATTGCTTCAGGATCCTTAGCTGGTGAAATTAGAGTTTGGGATGTGGATGTGAGTTTTATTTCCTGCCAGCACTGAGCTATTTGCAGTGTTTGTAAATTCATTTGTGTACTATTGGATGGTTGAAGCACAAAAATAACTAGAAGAGAATTTTTCATTTCAAATAATTTTCATTTTCAAATAATTTAGGGAGGGTTTACTGTCCTTGAGCAAATGCTGGTTTATAGGGACCTTTCATTTAATTTACAATATTACACTTAAATCAAATCTAATTCATAAATTTGCCTAAAAGATATACAAAATAATTTTACAGTTTATTTAGACAATTCCTGTTTATTTAATTTAAAGTTTTATATATTTAATCTTAGTTTTGAAGACCTGGAGGGAAGATGCCTATTTAACTAAATGAAAGGGCATTCCATGCCTGTATGGCTCTAAAAGAAAAGCATTTTTGCCCATTTTTTGATACCTTGTATTTTCTACAATTTCTAATGATGGTGTCACAAAACATATATCAAACAGTCAGTTTCAGACAGTCATTGTTAGAAATTCCCAAGTCTAAAGTCGTTTTATGGAGCATCAAACATTGGTCAAAATTTTTTATTACCTCAAACATTGTTCTGTTCACATATCCATTTGATATTTATACCCTCCATGATAATTTGTAAGTATGTTAGTTTGGGTCATATTCTTTATATATATAAAAATTATTTTAACAATTGTATACATGTAGATCAAGAAATGTTCTCCATATTGATTTATTTACTGTAGAGTTATTTTCTTATAGACTGGAGACTGTCAGTCCTTTGAAATTGCTAGAGGCCATGTCATATCATCACTGTCCTTCCATCCATATGAAGACATATTAGCCGTTGCAGTCAGCTATAGACTGTTCTTTTTAAACTGGAAAACTGGCAAAGTAATCCACACCAGTACAACCAGGGGCCTAAAAGAATCTGTGAGGTACGCTCTTTTATTCCATTATCCTCATCTCCTTGAAGCGAAATACTTCCAGGTAGTCATTTAGCCGTTACAGCCCGAGCATACAAATTTGAGCTGAAACCACGCCAATTGGCCTGTCCCAATGTGCAGGCCTTGCCATGAAAGGCGCTCGATCGAGCGCGCGCGCCTAGGGCGCACCCAAAAGAAGCCTTGGAGAGCGATTTATAGAGCCCCTCAAAACGTCAAAACAATATTACCACGAAGCAAAATAATTTCTTGGCCTTTGTCTAATAAACTTGATCAAGCATAAACAATCTTCCCAATAGACCGCAATATTATGATTTGCGTAAGATCACCCCTTGAGAAAAAAATTCAGCAAATTCAACGTTGGGTTTTCGATACCATTTTTAATCTAATAACCCTCTAATAACCACCAAGGTCACAGACCATCAACCCTCATCTCCGGCAGATTTATTTGATTTTCGAGCAAGCGTTAATCTTCTGTTGATGTATTATTTTCTGTTTTTCTTAATAATTTAAATTACCTTTAATTCCATCGCGGGGGCCCCTTGGTTATGATAAACAACACCCTAATCTCAGGAAAAACATTTTGGGCTTTTGGTGCATCAGCCCTTGTCTTGCCTGAGCAATGACGCAATTTTATGGTCGGTGTTTGATTCCAGGGAAAAAACTGCCTCAGTTTTTTACCCCGCCACAAAAAACATGATAATGTTTACACCCATCAAACACTGACTTAGAAAAACCTGTAACTGGAGGAGACTCTTGCCCTAACCTTACTAAGGGAGGAAGTTATTGGTGAAGAGAAGCGGGGAGAGAAAGCAAGAGAAAAGAAGTGTTTGCCAACAACAGCAAACGATTTTTTTTGTATATTTGCCCACGACAGCAAACGCTTTTCATTGTATGTTTGCCAACAACAGCAAACGCTTTTTTGTATATGTTTGCCCACGACAGCAAACGCTTTTCGTTGCATGTTTGCAAACAACAGCAAACGTTTTTATTTTATTTTATATGTTTGCCCACGACAGCAAACGCTTTTCGTTGTATGTTTGCCAACAACAGCAAACGCTTTTTTATATATATATATGTTTGCCCACGACAGCAAACGCTTTTCGTTGTATGTTTGCCAACAACAGCAAACGTTTTTTTTTATATATGTTTGCCCACGACAGCAAACGCTTTTCGTTGTATGTTTGCCAACAACAGCAAACGCTTTTTTTATATGTTTGCCCACGACAGCAAACGCTTTTTGTTGTATGTTTGCCAACAACAGCAAACACTTTTTTTTGTTGCATGTTTGCCAACAACAGCAAACGCTTGTTTTTGCATGTTTGCCAACAACAACAAACGCTTTTTATTTTTCATGCTTGCCAACGACAGCAAACGTTTTGTTTTCTATTTTTGCATGTATGCCAACAACTGCAAACGCTTAATATATTTTTTTTTTGAACTTATAAATTTGCATTCTGCCAACAACGGCAAATGTTTTGTTTTACTTACACGCTTTCCAACAGCTGAAAACGCTTAATGGTTTTTTTATTTTTTATTTTTTTTTATTTTCTTTATTTATGTATATATATTTGCATGTTTGCCAACAACAGCAAACCCTTTTCTTCCGCATGTTTGCCAACAACAGCACAACGCTTTTCTTTGCCTGTTTGCCGACGACAGCAAATGATCTGTTTTATTTTTCATGCTTGCCAACGACAGCAAACGTTTTGTTTTTATTTTACATGTTTGCCATCAACTGCAAACACTTAATATTTGTTTGTTTGTTTGAACCTATAAATTTGCATTCTGCCAACGACAGCAAATGTTTTCTTTTATTTACATGCTTCCCAACAACTGAAAACGCTTAATGGTTTTTCTTTTCTTTTATATATATATTTGCATGTTTGCCAAACAACAGCAAACGTTTTGTTTTGTTTTGCATGCTTGCCAACAACAGTAAACATTTGGTTTGTTTGTTTCTTGTTCACCTTGCCTGTTTGCCAACAAGAGTAAAGGCATAAGTAGACATGTTATGGCGACAACAGCAGACGCTTTTTTATGTATGTATACCTATGTATAGCCCTGGAAAACTATCTCCATATTTTATTTGAATATATAAACCATAGCAAGAAAACATTTTGTATTTACTATGTGAATTTCCATAAACGCAGCACACTATCTCCATATTTCATGTGAATTTGTAAACCATGGCAAAGAAGACTTTGCATTTGCCATTTGAGTTTGCATAAACACAGCAAACTGCCACTATATTTACCATTGCAGTTTGCATGACAGAACATTTGACATGTTTGCATTTAGCAAGAAACATCACCACAGTAAGCTATCTAGGTATTTACCGATTTATATTGCAAACATTGGTTCTGCAGATTCAGCTTATATGTTTTAGATTCTGCAGATTTGTTGCAAAGCCACAGTAAACTATTCTATATATATATTGAGCAAGTTTAGTATTAACAATATAGCACGTTTTACATTGAACCAAGAAGTTCGCTCTCGACAAAAAGGCTTGCCTAAAGTAGCAAAATACAGATTGTTGAAACCAATCAAATGTGCACCAGAACAAAAGGGGGCACACAATGCATTCATAAATTGGCAATAACAACAAACATTTGATGCAATTGCCGATCATGATTGATGAAAACAGAGAGCAAAGTTGCCAGCGCATTTTTTCTAAATTTTTTAGCTCTGCTGCTATACAAATTACATCAAAATACCTGTATTACAAAAAGTTTTGTTTTTTTGTTTGTTTTTTTGTTGTTGTTGAAAATATAGCGTGTAGTTAGTTGGAAGTTTGTTGCCATGGTGACTAGTGACACTTATAATCATGTAATAAGATATCTTCAAAATGCAACAAAAGCTACTATTTCAGCATACGGAAAGTATACGGATTAAAAAGCAAAGTGCAGAGAAATGTCCACGTGCCTCAGATCCACTCTAAGTGTTCCTGCACATTCTTGCAAAAATCCCTAAAAAATCTTTTAATTATTGTAACCAAAAAGGACGTTCGCCGAAACCGAAACCGAAGGGCATGGGCGCAGGAATTTTCTGAACGGGGTCTTATTTTGTCAATAACCACTGGGCACAAGCCGGCTAAAGACGGCCCTGCTTTTTTGGTATCATCTTGCTGTAGGCAATATTTCCATTTTGTTAGGAAGAGTAATCAAAGGAATAGACCAATTGGGGTTATCTAAAAACAGTAAACTGGCAATCAAGATGTTTCAGGGGGCATTGCCGAGACCTCAGTGTTTAAAATGTTATTATGTAACTCGAGCGAAGTTTTGGTGCCAGACTGAGGTGAACACTACCGTGAGGGCCCACTAAACCACAGCCAAGCAAGCAATGTGATATTACCAAAACCATGAAAACAATCCTTAGTCAATTTATTGATTCAATTGATTATTGATTTTTGTTGAAACAAGATCAAACTGATATTCGAACTTTACAGGTGTGTTTGCGAAACTAAAGTATGAAGGTTAGAACACTGGGAGCAATATTGGGATCGCTAAACGTTTACTATGACCATACTGGCAGGTTTGTTAAACCACAGTATGACTGCTTTGAACGGAGGGCGGCAGTGTGGTGCAGCCAAAGCAAGGGCCTGCTGAATTGTGTGCAATGCCGATGGGTGTCACTTAAATGGATCTTGATACTTTTAAAAGGCTAAAACAACTGATCCTAGATGGACCATGTAACGTGTCCAGAAACTTTTGCTGGCATGACTGTACAATTTTATGCTAGTGTTAATTTCCTCCACGTAAATATAAAATAACGGGGCAGTTTGCCACACACCCCTTACGCCAACAATGACACAACAAAGATACTATTCGCTATTGAGGGGATTTTAGAGACGGCGTTTGTTGAATCCCAGATGAATGGAACCAAGGACGCCTGCGCCAGGAGAGCAGCTAGGGCAGTTGCCCCTGACCTCGCGAAATTGAGCATTTTTCTTCGTTTGACTATTGTACGGGCCATTGTTTTGCCCTTTTTTCTCTACGCTTTGCCCCCGTTGCCATCTCTGAGTACAGGCATCCCTGCCTTGGACAAGAACATGACAGGGTAAATTAGTTGAAAGAATAAGAACAAATAACAACAAGCAGGTATTCGTGGTGGATGCGTTTGATTGGGCTGCCAGGCATGTGGCTTTACCGAGAGGCAGTACTGTGGTCTTTGAATACTGCCCCCTTATTTAGTTGTATTTATGGTGGAGATATGAAGCTCCAGGGTTGGTATGATGAAAAGCGGCAGGAAATAGTGGATCGAAAATTAAAAACAAATAACCTACAAACCATGCTAGAGCCAATGTAGAAAAAAAAATGCTGGTACAACCTTTTCTCTGGAGCACGTGATAGAATCGAGATGCAGGGTAACTGAAACTGTAATAGCAGTAGACAGCAGCCACTGAGCGCTTGACCTGAACTGCTATAACTTTCGATAACTCTGCCAAGGCCTAGCAACCAGTACCTGCAACTTTCCAGCCATGCTATGACAACAGTAAGCAACAGTCGAAATCATGACCATGATCAGCGTCCGGCCATTTGACGGTAGGACTATGTCCTTTATTAGCGGGTTCAAAATAAGTTACACTTTCGCAGAATAGTTCACTTCTCTACAGAGAAAACGCGTACAAACAACGCGTGAGTCTTGCTGCAAAATATGACATGACCCTAGCTGCATCACTGTACTTAAACAAATATGCCAGGAAAAGACCACCTAGAAAATACCACAAGGTGATTAGCAAATAGCTAAGGTAACATGATATCCACAGCCTACTAAGGATATACGTGTGGGACCACCCGATTCTAGGAAAGGGGAATCTGCGCACTTTCCCCGCCGGTATTAACTCGAATTAAACGATTAATTCCCATTTGCAAATCAGAGATCACATTTCCGTCCAAATTACCGCATTGCTTTTCAGTTTTCATTTGCTTTCGTGAGTAGTAGATGTTCTAGTGTCTCTTATAGAAAGAATAGCATAAAAAGGGAAACAAAGCTAATGTTCGACTTAAAGCCATGCGTTTTCCTATATTTCTATATTTGTATTAAATTAACATAGTGTTTGCTGCATGTTTTGTTATTTCATATTATGGTGCTTTTTGGTATCACCATTGAATTTCTTATTTAACACTCTTCCAAAGCTTTCGATATGAAGCTCTCGATCTTCCAAAGCTCTTGAAGGATGCTCTCAAGGATATTTTATTTAAAGGTGCGAAATAGAGCGCCTAGAGTTTCTAAGGGGCTCTTTTTATGGAGCACCTTCATTTTGCTTAGAGCAAGGCCTGCATAATGTGAATCCATTACCATGCCATTTTTTGTCCCAGAATGAATCGATAACTTCTGGAAGAGAATATCTCTTCATTCTGATTCTTGCAAGTCCCCTGCTTCCAGCATTTACTATGTAACATGTGCCTTTTAGAAAATCTTGTTATTTATTGGCTTGTCCCATCGATTCTACTTTGAGTCTTTTTCAGTATGTTGATCCTGAAATCATTGACTGAATTTCTGATTGTATGTTTAGTAAAGTTATGAAGCGGAAGGAAATTAGCGAGATTTGATTCTCAACATCCCCATTTTCCATCAAGAGGCAAAACCATCACTTGATCCAATGTTGATATGCCTGATATAAGAGGCAGGGTTTTAGAAATTTCATTTATTTGCACATACACAGGGTTTTTTTCTTATCTTAGTTACAGTGTCAAGGGTTGAAATCTGAAATAATCTACTTTCTTTCAAATGTGTCATTTTTGTTATCGCATGATTCCTTCAACTGATGAAGGCCATTAGCAGATAGTAAACAGTAAAATCTCACTAGCAGATAGTAAACAATTATTTATAATGAGAGTAATAGGATAACGTCCCTGTTTATCTGTCTCCACTTAACCCCTCCCCCTCTGTTTTCTCTTGTTCAGTCCTCCTAGGCTTTTTTCTAACGTCACCAACTGAAATTGCTAACCAATGTAGGCTCTAGGATGCTGACAAACCATGGCCATTCAGCCTCTTTTCCCGGTTCTATAAATTGCGATTCCACCTATATGCTGGCTTTCTACTTTGGATCGGAGAATCAGAAAAATATACAATCTTGCAGTATCAAGGACACTATGTTATCAAATACCATTGCAAATGTACGTGAACTTTCGCCCTTTCAGATATGTCAAGCTTGGCTTGCATTCCGATTGGATTTTAACTGGCATTCTTAACGACCTTGACAAAAAAGAAGTAAGCTATCAATTTGACGTATTTTTCTCTAATATAAAAGCATTGTTTCAGCGAAGATTTAGTTTTACTATTTGTTAAGGTCGTCTTAATGAAAGGAATTTCTTGTTTGCCATTTTTAAAATAAGATCGATATGTGCTGGTTTATTGGTATTTTTGTGTGAAAATATGAAAATATTGAATGGAGTTCAAATGTTAAGTGCTTTATTCATAATAAGCTCATTGGTGCGTCCACTTAAGCCTTTTTTACACGACACCTCTTTAACCTGGATTCAATCTTGGTATTTCAATGCCATTTTTTGCTATATCATTAATGAAAAAGTGACATATATAAAAAAGTAAATGTATATTATTTTACCGAATTATTAAAATATTTAAGCTTCTACACATTTAATTTAATTTCAACCCAGTCAGCAATGCTGGTTTACAAGAGCCCATGCATCTAAAATAACAAAAAAACCTACTTTCTGTTTCAATAAACCTTTAAATAATACAATACATTTCCAACCCCTTCCGATTTTACTTTTTCCTGCCCACGCAATTTTTGATACCTTTTTGCAATATTTTCTTTTCCCTTAACAAGTCCTCCAACCTCTCATGACGCATTTTTTTCACTAGCAACTATTTGGTGATATTCGAATCCAACCGTAAGTAATTTTGTTTTAGATATATACCTTTTATGTTTCTTTATGCGAATCTTAATAAAATATAATTTTACATTGCGAAGAAATCGAGCATGTGAATTGGATGTTTTAAAATCTTCCTCTAGTTCTGAATTCAAAACATTTTTAACATTTTTTTGATATTACCCGGTTAAAATATAGCTTTGTCTGTTTGAAATTTTTTTGGAAATTTATCAGGAGCTCAGAATTAGGCCAAAGAGCTTTGCAAACCGTCAGCTGTCATCGGCTGGAGAATCCCAGAACCTCTTCTGCAGCTACCGCGAACTCGAGGCCTGAGACGTCCACAGCAACTATAAATGTTGAGTCATCTTCAGGAGCGGGTCATTTTCAACGGATTTCGAGTGCATATGCAGAACAGGCTGCTTTTCCTAATAGGAGCAGCAGCTCAAGTGACACAAATACTTCTGCAAATGTGTCCATAACGAACTGTTCGTCCAGTCGGGGGCAGGGGGCTTCAACAACGAATTCAAATCAGAACACTGGTAGCACTTCTGGATCTACGAATCTGGTACGTTTCTCAGAAGAAAGAGATCTCGAATTAACGAATTTTCCAAGGCCACCGGAACAAGGCAGGGTCCCACTCTCAAGGCCGTTTAGATCAGAAGTATGGAGAGTTGATTTAGACGAAGAGAACGCTAGGGTTTCTTCATCGCAATCGTTTAATGCGCAATCAAGAACTGACTCCGGGTTTCCTTCGTTACCGGTTTATAGTTTTATATCGTATCCGGCTGGTACTAGATATGGTTCCAGTTCTTCAAGCTCAATACCTAGTGGTCATGCTGTCGCCACAGCAACTGCAAGGACTCCACGTCATGTGCACACGGCAGTTGTTGTAGCTGGCGGTCTTGCAGAAGAATCTGAAGAGGCTCTAAGGACTGCAATAAATCGCGCTATAGCTGGTGCATTTGCGGGGAATGGCGAAGGAGCAGTAGCGTCGAACATAGCTAATTCTACATACAGGCTGCAGTTGTGGAATCTCGTTGATGCTGGCATTCCATTGCTGACTGAAGGTAGATATAGACGATTCATTGTTGCGTTTTGTTACATTCGCTCGTCAATGATTCTGACATAAACAAGCCTCGGCTGGACTAACTAACAGTATCACTGTCTGATTTTCAATAATTTAGATCTCTTGCCTGATTTTGCCAGGTTAAGTACTACCGGGTTACTTCACATTCAAAAGTTAGGTGATGGGTTGGTTTTATCTGCCAACCAATACCAGTACCTAACAAATATGACCAAAACCTAGACCTACTCCAGGAGCCTCTGTTTTGCTACTACTTCTCTTCATGGACACTACAACATATGTCAGTAAAGTAAGGCAGTAGCGAAACAGAGGCTCATGGAGTAAGTCTAGCAAATACCTTGCTCAAACGCAAGCTTTGACTGCTTAAGCAGACATTGCAGACCGTAAAATATTCCTCGATGCTGATGAATAAATTTTTACTTCCATGAAATCTAATTGATCATCCCCTACATGCTCTTTTTCCTTTTCAGCAAATTGCAATGTCGTTGTCCCGTTTTGTAAGCTTCACAATGATGGCAGCATCGACATCTCGCAAGACGAAACTTTATTAGCAGCTTATGTGCCAAGCACGAGAGGATTTCCTGAAAATGGCAATGTTTGCATATTCTCGTTGCAAAGGGAGACCTTAGGCCACTGTATTTTCAAGAGATCTTACGGTATGACTTAATAGGATCTTGTTGGCCATATTTGATATTCTAGATGTGTTCGGGGTGATTCTTTATATCCCTTTAATTTTAAATTTCTTTTTTCCTTATCTGCTCCTTATCCTACCAACTGTGTAACTGTGTTTGAAGGTTTACATGCGCTCAACCTTGGAAGTGCATCGGTCAATTCCCCTTTCGAATCCAACTATCTTCGCATCGTTTTTATCTTCGCATTCGCATCGCATCGGTTACTCCTGCAGTTACAAAGCCTTCAAAGAAAACTGATATTTAGCCATCTTTCCAAGTTTCAATTGTTTACTACACACTTTCAGTCAATTTGCACTACTTTAGTGTTTCCGTATTATTTAGAGAAACCATCAAATATGAAATGTTTTTCAAGGCTGGGAAGCATTCTATCCATTTGTGCTTAAGATACTGTTCTTCGAGACGGAGATGCTCTAACTGGCGGATGCTATTGGGGGATGCTATGGGAAAAGGAGGCAACGTCCTGATATCTCATTCCTGTCAAGCTATGTCTTATTCCCTTTTGATATTTGTAAATTTGGCTTTTTTAGTTTCTTTGGATTTTGTATGTAGTTGTAGCAAGATTATCCTATAGCTAAGCAGCAACATAATACAAACTCTCTCTTGTGTAGCAGCAAAAATCTAGTCGCTATCAACAGTTTTTTCCGCATCTTAATCCTAGAATGTTTCGTATTAGGGCTTCAGGGGTAGCTTGCATTGCTCGTTCCTTGATTAATCCTTCTTAAATCAAGTTGCCATCACATGTTTAGTGGGTAGTAGCTCGTTAGTATTCTGCATCCTGTATTAAAGTTTCCCAAAGATGTGAAGTTTGGTTGCTCAATGACAGCTTAAAATTTGATCTTCGGAATTCTGTCAATTTTTATCCTCATGCTGTTAGATCTTCTTATGCAAAGTTTCTGATAAAAGAATGACAGTGCTTCGCATCTTGAAAAGCGGCATTCATCAGAAAACACACCAAACAAGAAGCAACGAATTGTTTTTACGCTTACTATTCGAAAGCTATGAAAGTTTTTATGTCATAGAGACGAGGACTCAGACGGAGACAGGGATTTTGACATCCCTTGATATCGTCATAACGTGAACACATCTTTTGTGAACTTTAAAAAATTGTTCACACCATCTGTTTTATGTGTTTTTGGGGAAAGAAAAGATTGGTTAAAGTCTGTTTTTATCTTTTTTCATCGCACGTTTCCTGTCATTTTCATTTGACAAACTTTTCATTTTGTACTGAACGCCGCCCTCTGATAAACGCCGTCCTCTATTGAACGCCGCATCCATAATTATGTATTTCAAGCACTACGAAATTAGGCCGGTTTTGAAAGGATATATTAGCAGAGCATACCGTTTGAGCAAGAGCCTTTAAGTGATTTATTAGTTGCACCTTAAGTTTGGTAATTTGTAGGTTTTTGATCTTGGGAAGCGCAGCTTGATAATGAACAGAATAACCAGCACGGCGAAAAAGAAACATCTTTATGTTTTGACATTAATCATCGCAACCAGCTTTGATCCAAATTCTACAAAATTAGTACGCAGAAATTAATACGACAAAATTAGAACAGCGTAATCAGTACGGCATAATCAGTTATTAAGACGTTTCAACTCTAGCTAGAGTCATATTCAGTAAGTGGTAGAATATAATACAAATTTTGCTAAATTTGTAAAGAGTCATATTTATTTCATTTCATTCATTTTATATTTTTGATACACAAAATTCCCTTCAGCTTACAACTAAATACCAAATAAGAAAATGAAAACCCTAGTTACATTAATATAATTTATTTACAGTTATATATGAAAGGAGTAAGCAATAAGGATTGAAAATCATTTGATCGACTGTAAGTTCGAAAGTAGTGATCATAAGTATATGCATTGCAGGGTTTCATAATAGGTTAAGGACAGGCATTGCAATTTTCGTCAGTTCAAGAATTCTAGCATACCATATGCTGCTTAAAATTTGTCTTGATCATGATTTAAGTTTGGAGTTATAATGAGTCACCACTGTTGGCATATGCTAAAAACATTGGGGCTTGAAAAAATCCTCTTTGCGGCTTTACATTCTTGCTAGAAAGAATAATTGCAGATTATTATCATTATTATAATTTTTCAGTATACCACTATTATTATTATTATTATTATTATTATTATTATTATTATTATTATAAAACAGTACACGAAAAGCTAGGAAATATAGCGACCTTATCAAGGAACTGAGCCCTGCCTATAAACGTGTTACCTTTGTTAACCTTTCTATGAGTGCCCTTGGCATTCTGGGAACCTCATCTACCTCTCTCTCTGACATGCTACACCAACTTAATTTTGACTCAAATCAAACTAAATCCATCTTGATGAAACTCATAAACATTTCTATCCGCTGCACCTACTATATCTTCTGTCGTCGAAACAAACCATGGCTAAGCCCCGAACTAATTGACTTTTAAATATTGTAATGCAGATAAGCCAATTATATGATGCCTGTAAAAGCGAGTCGTATAATTGTAGATTTAAAATGTATTCAATGAAAATGAGATGTTTGAAAAAAATTATTATTATTATTATTATTATTAAATATTATTATTATTATATTTTGTTGCAAAAATAAGGGTTGTTTTATTTTTCTCAGTTTTTCCTTTTACCTTACGATTGCTGTAATTTTTTTCTTGTAAAACCAGGCTAGCCAATTGCAAATTACCTTGTAATAGTGAGATTTGTAATTGTAGTTTAAGTTGAATTGAATATGAAATGTTTCCATTATTATTATTATTATTATTTTCTTAACTTAACAAATCAGCTGATTTTGGGATTCTGTATTAGTTTGGTTGAGCAACTTATGATATTCCGTTTTCTGAATTCTTTACTTTAGTAAACTACTTAGCCAAGCCAATAAATTTCTTCCTTGTCCTCGACATTCAGCGCCTGCACATAAACCTTTTTGTTTTGAGAAAGCTGGAGCACTTTTCTAGGCACCTGTTTACGCTCTTTTGAATTCAACTATTTTCTGGTCAGTCTATTATATTATTTTTTACGATACTAAGCCGAATTTTTATCTAAACATCTCATGTTATCACCACCATTTCACCATTTTAGCCCTTTCGAATTGCTGCAGGATTAACCAACCTAGGTTTTCGTTGGCGTTTGGAGAAATGCTCGAAGCCCATATTCTCAAACATACTTCATTCAATCAAGCATATAGTTAATGCTAATATGGGTAAAGAGTCGTAAAGAAAGTATTCGAGGAAGCTACAATTTTCTTTTGATTGACTTTGCTGACAATAAAACGTTTAGATCTTGCTAATAATATGGTTCATTGTTTTTATACTTCTCGCAGAATACATGTAAAAGGACACTACTCAGTGTTCATTTTCACGAAAATGAGATAAAACTAAGATCTTTCACATTCCTTTCCTGTGCACAATTTCACAAATTTTGATTAATTTATGAAAGGCAAATTATTTTTATCTTGCTCTATACTTTCTGACAAAGTGCAAGCGAAATAACTTTTTGTATTTCTAGGCCCAAATTCAGTATGTCTAAGCTTTTCTCCGTTGAACAACTATCTGCTGGTTGGTTTGGCATCAAGAAGAGTAGCAGCATCTACGAGAAAGGAGGAGGTATTTACATCATTGGCTTTTATCATTTTAGTATTTAGGAGAAGCTTGGCTTGGCGTCAAGAAGAGTAGTAGCACATGCTTGTTACAGAGGCTTTAGGATGGGCGTAGCAATTTAGGTTTTCTGAAAATTAAGGTTTTCTGAAATGTGTATTTTAAAAATTGCGCAACAATGAATGTAAATTTAAGGCGATTTTTTTACCCTGGCAATTTAATTTTTGAGCTTCTCTACCTTCGTCTATATCACTTTAGTAATCAGATGTGTATAAAATCGATGTTTCCTGTCAATGTTTTTACTCATCCTTGCAGGTCTTCCCTCCTATTTTTTTAACGCTTCGGTTAATTCTCATTGAATCTTTTATGTCTGATGTTTCCCTTTTTCCGTCTTCCACATGTTTTGTCCCTTGACAATCTGTAGAATAGTTATAAACGGTATTATTTATGGCTTTATAACTCCAATTTAGCTTGTTGGTCAGATACTCAGACTGCCCACCAATGGAAAGTGTGTTGCCGAGGATGATGAGGTATTTAAAATGCTTCTGATTTTCAATAAAATACAGATCTTTTATGTATCTTATAAGCTTTCAAGGGTTTTCTGACTTACGGGTTACTTCTTATGATTATATTTGCTCCATTGCTTTTTTGACATGCAAGATGGTCAAGAGTCACATTTTTTGTCTCAAATTTTGCAATGACTCTATTTGCATTTTAGCATTTCAACTTTGCTATTCGATGTCACATGCTATGGTGTAAAATATATTTGCCTTTCGTTTTTCAAAAGATATTGAAGCTATTTACATGGAACCTTTAACAGACATTAATTTGTTTTGGAGATATTTTGGCACAGCTAATTTCGTTGTAGGTCGTGCATACCCTAGTTCACCCCAAGAATGACGAATCTGGCCCCATTGTAAGTGTGAACACAGCCAAGTTCCACCCAATTCCTGGTGTTGGCATTATATACGGCACCAACCATGGAGCTGTGAGGCACTGTCGATACGGGTAATCAGTTCATTGATTATGATAATTCATTCATTTGAAGTTGGCAGCCTTAATAGCCTTATTCACGTCAACTTTTTAAATAAACCTACTTTGAAATTCTAAAATCTAATACACATTTACTTGAGTATCTTCAAGACTATGAACAAAAACCTTAACAATGTTTGCAGTTACATTTGCCTGTAGGCCAGTTCATTATGCTACCATCAACTTCTTTTTGTTATCACTCATTTATATGTTTTTAAAAGTCTATATCGAATATATCTTATGGTTCCAATACCACGTATGGCACCAGGCGACCTCGTTGTTTCTGTGTCCTTTTATTCGGCAGAGATATCTTCAAGACAGCTTGAATCAACTTGTTCTTTGTTTTATGTATCTCCATCTCCACGTTAGCAGGTAAACCAAAATGAATGACTATTTGACCAAAATTTTTTCCATTCAATATTGCAGCAGTAGAAGCTTTCATCGCAGTAGAAGTTAAAGTTGATAGTTTCTAGCAAGGGCAACACGAAATCTTTTTCAAAAGATATTTAGAAGATAACTGACCGTTTTGGTTCTTTCTTGCAAGTTCCTCTGCAATACCTTTATCAATAATGATGGTATTATGCAAACGATACAACATAACATACTGGTGTCAAGGCCCTTTGAACAGTGCTCTGAATATAAGAAAAGGATGCGTTTTTTCTATCGAAATGCAGATTGCAGACATTTTAAGTATATTCTGATAGCTCAAAGACAATTATTTTCATTTTAGGGCACAAGTGTCAAAGAAGAAGCTATCATTTACATAAAGATAAGAGGTGGCAGACGAGAAATCTATATTTCTTCAGTTCTTGTCGATATTCTGTATCTAAACAACTACAACCAACAGACGAGACGAGACGATGCTGTTTAGGCTGTACGCTATGTATATCCCATCGTAAGTCAAAGGTTTGACTGACGTAACGAGTGCCACTGGGATACTTTGCTTATTGGTTGCTTTTGCTAGTAGCCCGGCCTAGCGTGTGTTTGAAGCTCCACTTAAACTGCCTTTCCTAAGCTTTGAAGCGATATTGATGGGAATTAATTAATAAATGTTTTGCTTGGCGAAACCCCGTACAGTATTTTTTGGAAAATTGTGCATATAAGGTGCATTTAACACTTATCCGAACATTTGTAGACAATGTAATGAGTATATATTATCAGATATTCTGATAAGATTTTTAGCAATGGTAGAGTTGCTTTTTGGTATATTTCTTGTCACTTAGCATTTTAACTGTTTTGCAGTTAGAGCTGTTCCTAATATTTTTTTTCTTGACAAGGTTCTTATGTCGAAACCTGATCGATCATCTGAGGGTGTTCTGTTAAAACAGAAGCAGCCAATGCTAATCAATGCATTGTGTTTGAACTTGCAACTGAAAATTCCTCCACATGTTTTTTCTAAATTTTGATATGGCTTTATCATAGTATACCATTTTTTTCTGTTTAAGTTGCTTCAGATTATGGTCTATTTTTATAAGCATTGCGAGTTTATAGCATTGTTTATTATTCATCTATAGCGAAATATTTCAACCTCTTTCATACAAACCACATTTGCCCTTACTTTCACATTGGTCTTGATATGCCCCTTGCATTAGCCAGTTTTTGTCATGGCAGGAATCCAAGGTTCTTACTACGATTTCATGCTTTCAAAACAGCTTGCAACAAATAGGTCTAGATTTATCAGTGAAGAAGTCCGTGTACTGTATCGGTGCAAGAAATTTGTGCTTCGAATAAGGTACAAACAAAAGAACTTCTACTGCACGTGTATTTTAGAACTTCTAATGCACGTCAATATCCCTGCAAAATCTTTTGACTGTGAAAATCTTTTCGCGTCCTTATCTTGGAATCTGCTATTCCAAGAAATTATTGGAGAACGAGTGAATGGAAGCCAACCGCGTTTTCTGTTGAAATGACATGTACGTCGTTTTTAATCATTATTGCTTATGCTCCTTGATTGTAAGAGGAAATGGGGGTACTCACTTATTTGAATATTTTCGCTACTTCTCTTTCCCAGCCAGAAAGATATGTAAATATTATTGATGTCATGAAAAAGTTTATTAGTGAGGGAGTTATATAATTAAATAGAGTTAATTGATTTGGACCGCTTTTAAATCAAAATCCGCTTTTAAATCCATACGAAATTTAATGTAACAATATCTTAATGCGTATTTGTCATAACACAATCAGAATATACTGAAGTAATGCATGCTCAACACAAAATGCATATTTTGCCGAAATGTTGTGATTGTGGAAATTGATAGATATGAATTTTACTGTTTACTGATTGTTCAAATAGATGTAGTAATTGATTTAGTTTTTCCTCTGAATTCCCTGAGAACACTTGACACCAGCATTGTTGAACCCCACCTCCGCTACTGTTGCGCTGTATGGGGCTGTTGTGGCATTACTGAAATCTCGAAACTTCAGAAGCTTCGAAATGGAGGTGCTAGAATCATAATGAATAGCAGTTTTGATGTCTCTAGAAAACCCCTGCTTCAGAATCTAGACTGAAAAACAGTCAATGATATGATTAAACACAACAGTAGGACGATAAACAATCTTTCCCCCAATATACGAGCGAATTCACAAAGTGCAGCTTGGCAGCTGCATAATACAAACACTGATAATGGCTTTGGAAAAAGCAAACATTTGAGTAAACTAAAGCTTCTCGTCTGACACTCTTCAGAGTTTTAAACGTCAGAGCATAGATCGAAAGCAAAAGATATCTTCACTGTACGCAGAGCCCAGAGCCGCAAAAATTCAACGGCTGCAAAAAATACACTAAGGGTGTCTTCACTGCAGCAGACGTATCAGAAATTCGAATATCGAACTTCTAATTCGACCGTTATATTTGCTTGTCCATACAGGGAAGTTTATTTTGAATACATTGGCTTCTGCTCGATGGAAAAGAAAGAGAAACCGTGTCCTCCTATCCATTTTGCCTGCAGGAAAGAGTTGTCTAGCTTGCATTTCGAGCGTTTATGGTCTCCTCCGAAGTTATGGACGCCGACATCATTCATTGAGTGTTGCAGATTTACTGCTGATAGCAAATCGTTGCTATTTGGTGACTCGAGTGGGGTATTACGGTGCTACCAGCTAGAGACCAAAGAGGTATCAGAATTTTCTGTTGGAGCAGAAATAATCTGGGCTTTAGATGTCAGTTCTGATGGTGAATATATTTGTTGTTGTGGAAATGACAGATTAGTTAATGTTTGGAGTAGAAGTTCTGCAAAGTGTCTTGCTTCGCATTCTCGCCATAATGACAGCGTTTGGAGCGTAAAATTTACAGTTGACACTAATTACGTCATATCCTGCTCTTCGGATTTAAAAATAATTATTTGGGGTTTCAGAACAAGTCCAGAAGCTTGTCTTGTTTTGGATGGTCATGCGAAGCCTATATCCCACATTGACGTTTCAAGTGATGGAAAAATGTTTGCTAGCTGTTCATATGATCAAACAGTTCGCATTTGGATTGATTTAAACGATATTTCTCGAAAAAATATAAAATGTTGTACCGTTCTCAAAGGTCACAAGAAACGTGTGAATTGCTGTTCCTTCTCGCCGCATAGGAACGATATACTTGCATCTGGGTCAGCGGACTGTGACATCATCTTATGGAGTATTTTAGATGAACGTGTACTTTTCAGATTCAGAGGCCATTGTAACATTGTTTGGTCATGTGCTTTCCTGAGACTGAAGAACGAGCTTCTTGTTTTATCATGTTCCAGTGATCACAGTTTAAGGTATTTATTCAAATTAGTGCTCTCTATTATTTATCGCCAATTTAGGCAAACATAACACAAAAATACATGATACAATGGAATCATGTGATTACGAATTCTGTATAGATCAAGAATTTATTTCATGATATCAGGAAGTTTGTTATACCAAAGGGTATTCAAAGGGACCAGGGCTTTTAGTAGCATGATTTCATAATTTAAACTAATTAATCACAGGAAGAAATGGAATTTGACGTGTATTCTCAAATACAATTTAGATTTTGGGACACATTCACGGGATACGAGCTGGCGACACGGAAAGGTTTTTGCTTTCAAGACGATACGCCCGCCCAGTTACTTTGCTGTCAAGTGTCACGTGACGGAGAGACGATCGCAATAACAACTACGGATGGTTGTGTATACATAGGATCTTTTAAACAAAAGACAAAACTATAATTTATTCTTAACCTAACGATACAGACACTCTGAGATGATATAGAACAGTTGGAAACTGCATTGAACTTATCTTTTACATGCTATTGTCCGTTAGATGCGGAATTTTATGCAGAAGGAAGAAACTTATGGAAATTGTTAAAGTGGATATGAAAATGATTAAAAAGGCGCGATCGATCACCATTGACGCGTATTGCCACTCATTTATCATCTCTTTCTTCTTCTCTTTATCGTAAACATCGTGTGTCAACACCTCTATTTCTTTGTTTATCAGTTTCGCCTGTCTCCGTTCAGCTTTTTCAGCCAATCGTGTTCCAAATATGTTTTCAAACATGTTTATTGTCTCTGTGGGTGACGAAAACAGTGTATCTTCAGACTGCAGTGATGCAGATGTAGTATTGCAAAATGAGCCATTTAGTAATGTGGTATCAGTTTCGTTATTCTCCTTGTCCCTGGAATGAAACAATGGGATTCGCAAATGCTCCTCAAGAGATTTGTCGCTGCTCTTTTTATGTGTCCCATTGGAACTTATTTTGCTACACCTTGAAGCTTCGGATGCCAAACTCCCGTTGACAGTGATGAAATCACTAAACCGCACCGTTTTTCTTCGTTGCGCTGTCCCAAATCTCAAAGGCCTCTTCTTTGAAATTTTTTGTCCGCACAACAGCTTACTCAAATACTCAAAAATTAGCCATCTGAACCATGCTGGCATTGGCTTTGAAAAATTTTGTCGATAGAAATTCGCAAGCACGAACGTTGAAGCGGCTAAGGAGAAGCAAATTTGAATGAAAAGTAGAAAGTAAAACAGGGACAGTAATGGGATGTTTTTAGATGTGGCTGGCAGTTTCTTTCCGGCAATATTAAGATACACTGTCATCGATACCAGTATTGTCACAGATAATATTATTCGTTCGCCACTGTTTGGCGGTAGACAGAACCCCAAAGCAATCAATGACGTAATAGTAGTCACAGGTAGTACCAGAGTGTAGATATAGTACAATGTTTTTCTCCGCAAATGCAGATGATACACCACCTCCGTGAAAGGCTCTTTGCAGCACTCGTATCTTACCATGCGCTTCTCGGCACTGAATTTCACAACTTCCCATTCAGCGTTCTGCGTGAAATGTTGCAAACCCGTTTCTGTTTTAAATGGAATGATTTCCATCTGGTTTATCGACTTTGTCCAGGACCTGAAATCAGATTTGATAAGTTTGATTTGATTTTTTGTCTACAGCCGTTCACAGGTTTGAGAACATAGTTCTAAGAACCTTAATTTGTCATTAGGTCTGTGTTTGTTCGCTTGATATATCTCATGCAATGCTGTAAAGATGTTATAAGGTTCTAAGATTGTTATATAAGATTATTAACGGAAAAAAGAAAGCTAGAGTGGAGATGATGTAGAAAGGAAAGAGGGTAAATTAGATATATGCAGATTAAAATCAGAAACTGGACAAATACTTTAAGATATGCAGATGGCTCGATATTCTGGAAGGGTCCGTGCTACCAATTCTAGACTAGGGAGGGTAGACAGCAAAGGAAAAAATGTTTGCCAATAAAACGTTATCTTTCTGGGAGAAAGAAACTGCTTTATGCTTGCTTGACTTATTCAAGCAAATTATGAAATGTTTTACATGATTAAATCTAAATATCATTGAAAAAGTAATATTATGCTTTTCAAAATGGTTATACTGGACACTGTGGCTTGAAAGAAGCATCCTTTATTTGTTTGCGAGTCTTTTGAAAATAGTGAAAGCTTTTCGTCGGACACACTTCAAAGTACACAACGCCAGAATAATGATGAGACTAAATGCGACGATAATCATAAAGAGACTGAACCAGTTATTCTATGGTATTATTTTTGAATATCGTTTTCCAGTATTAAAACACACGATATCAGCCAACAGTACTTGGAACACCCAGCAATTTTATATCTTTCATTCATTTTCCGAAAAATTATTTCTTCCCCCCAACCCTCCTTCCCCTTGAACAATGTTGATAGTTTAGGCAAATATCATCAGAGAAAGGTACTTGGTAATTCCTTTATCCGTTTTGTAGTAAACCAACGTTTTTTCGTAGGGGAGAGGGTGATGGCTGAATTTGACTTTGTAAACTGATTTCTTTGTCTTTAGACTTTTGTCAGGCATTGTAATATTCTTTCTTCATTTAAGCCCTCGCTATTACCTATAGCCGAAGTATTGGGTCTATCAAGCGTTATTTCGGATAGCGAAAAAAGATCACAGTTGTCTTATCGTACAATTCTATTAGTTGAACCTTTATATAATCTCATGCATAGATACTTCAGATTCTATTGAAAGACCTTCAATCACAAACATTTGTAAGGCCGGTATTCAACTCAACATTACCAGCAAGCAAACGGAAAAATGGAAAGGGTTTCTGTCATCTAAACGACTTATCGAAGCTAGAATATCATCTAAAAAAGAATGAACATATCAAATCTACAGAATATTTAAATAAAAAGAGTTGAAGGGGAAAATAATGATGATATTTGACACTGTATTGTATCAAGGACTCTTTTACGTTCGCTGAGTTCATGCAAAACTTGAACATCGAAAACGAAACATCTTTCATGTGTTCTTTCGACATTAGTAGTCTTTTCACAAATGTTCCTTTGAGTGAGACCATCAAAATATGTGCCGATGCTTTGTACCGAAGCGAGCTTAATAGCCCACCATTCCCAGAGGAAGTATTCATTGAACTGATGGAAACTGCAACACGTTCAGTTGAATTCAGCTTTAACAATGAAATGTACCAACAAAAGGATGGTGTCGCTATGGGTAGCCCTCTGGGACCGGCCTTGGCCAATATCTTTGTTGGCTTTCATGAAGAGCGTTTGTTCGAATACGACCAAAAGCCAGGTGTCTATTTTCGGTATGTGGATGACACATATACCATTTTCAAAACAGAGGCTGAGTGTGATATTTTTCTAAAACACCTAAATAGCCTACACCCAGCCCTCCAGTTTACGTTTGAAAAGGAAGGAAATGATTCCTTGCCATTTTTAGATGTTTTGGTTGAAAAATCTGACACTGGATTTCTCACCAGTGTATACCGTAAACCCACTTTTTTGGGGTTATACACTCGATGGAGTTCGTTTTGCCCAAAACAAAGAAAAATCAGCCTCATCAAAACGCTTACACATAGGGAACTGATGATTTGTTCCAAGTCTAACCTCGACTCGGAACTTGAAAAACTAACTAAGATTTTTCTGGAGAACGGCTATCCAGAAGATGTTATTTCAGTTTACATTAAGGAGAAGATAGGAAATTTCTTGGCTGACGTAAAATTTGGTCCTCAAAAGTGCCCGGTCTATCTAAAACTACCCTGGATCGGTAACAGCTCCCTACGTTTTAAAAGCCAAATAAAACAGGCCATAACAAATTGTTTCTTCGCGGTTAACCCACGTATTGTTTACAGTACAAAAAAGGCCCTTCCGTCCATTCAAAAGGACTGCGTTCCTGCCACAAAAAAAGTTCTGTTGTTTATGAATTTACGTGCCAGTGTGATTCTGGCTACGTAGGACGCACCACCCAAAGATTGGAGGATAGGATAAAACAACACGTTCCATCTAATATTAGAAACAAAACACATCCCCAAAGAGAACAGCCACCTCGGTCTTGCAAATCTAAAATTACAAGAAAACCCAGATTGTGCAAAAAATTATTCAGAACGTCTGCAGAAGGGGGAGTTTCATCTTTTGGTAAGTGACTTACGCTTACATTGTCAGGAATAATTACTTTCGAATGTCGCCAACTACATATGAGGAGCTTTTATCGTTTATTGCACCAAAGACGCCTGTTGCTAGAAACGTCCCATTCCATTGTTTATGTTATAGGTGCGGGATTTTCCCAGCATTGTTTAGGCCTAGTCATAGGTTACTCATTCTTCACCCATGTTGTTGTTTGAACCATTTCGTAGTTTTCTGTCGTTTTGCATACTTTTGATTTAGATATGTTTACATTGCGTAGCACCATTCGGCCTAGCCCTTCCTTTGGGTTCGTGTCAGATGTCTTCAATTGCTGTTCTGATTGGTTTATTCTACATGGCGAAAAAATTCGCAGCGAAAAAGTAGGAATGGTTTCTACTTTTTCGCAGCGAATTATTCGCTGCGAATTTGCCGCGAATTTTCTAATCTCCACTTCTGCGCATATTCTTCGCGCATTCGCGGCGAAAAATTCGCTTCGCACGAAAAAATTCGTCTCGTGTAAATCAGGCTTAAGGACACTCTAATAGGCAAGCGGCACTGATTGGTCAACCTTTACAGTCATGTGCTCGTGTTTCTGATTGGCCTATTTCGATCCACAACTGGTTATATATATTTCTTAGCGTAGAATTTTTGATCTATGTTCTGACGTTTTAAACTCTGAAGAGTGTCAGACGAAAAGCTTTAGTTTACTAAATGTTTGCTTTTTTCAAAGCCATTTACAAGTTTTGTACCACCAAAAGATGATATTTCTGTACGAAAGCCCATAGGGCTCGAGCCATTACCAAAGCGTTTTGGCTGAAAGAATTATGGTAAGCAGAGAGCTTATAAAAGATTGCATTTGTACCCTGTAACAAGACAAGTACTGCATTTTTTTTGGAAATGTGATAAACCCATTCCCAGATCAGGTACCCTCTTCTTCCTCTACCCAACCCATTTGGCACGCCCTTCCCATAGCCACACCCAACCCCGCCAACTCCTACTTTATGCTGTTATACACAGGTGATACTTTTAACCCTTCCCATTTCTCCCAGCCCTTTATTCCCAAAGCCACGCCGTACCATGTTTATCCTCTTCACCCACTCAATTTAAATGCCTCCATACACTCTACAGTCCTACTTTAGTAAGCACTCTGTGTCGATTGCTACTTTTTGTTGATCTTTATAATATATATATTTTTTATTTGTATTTCCTGACCTTTGCAACCGTGATCCTGGACGCAGGATTGCGAGGGGCGCCTACGAGAAATGGACATACCGAATTAAAGCCCTGAAATCTCCCTCGTGGGTTTGTGGCTGATGAGTTGCTTTTTTATCATTTTCTGCCCACTTACAAGCTAATTGCTTAAAACATACAAGGGCATACACAACCACCCCCCATCGGAGTTTGAGGCTGTAACCAGGTGGTAGTGACTACTCCTTATCTCCTTTTTTCTCATTTTTCTATTTTGGATTTTATACTTTTTTTCACATATTGGTTTTTTAGTTTTTACCTTCTATGCCTATAAAAATATTAGTAAGATCTACTCATGCAAACTAAGTACCCACAGTCACTCTAAAATTGAAGCGATGATTGACTAACGAGAACATACTCTTTGATAAACAAAATCAATTGCGTCAAAATACCACACCCTAAAATTGAAATACCGTAGGACACGCCCTATTTTGTCGGCAAATTTGTGACTGGCACCCCCCTAAGTGAAAGTGATTAGCGACGGCCCTGGCGATAGGTAGGGAGACAAGTACAATGTATAGGCCTACGAGGTGCACAGCTTTCAAATCTTGTGTAAAGGTGGATTTCCTCTTCACGGTATGGACCGGAAACGGTATACGGTACCAGCATGCGCAGAACATATTTTGACATTCAAAAACGGTACGCTTACCGTACCGCTTTCCATTTTAGAAAGTTGAAATCAAGGCAACTTTTTTCCACGGAATTCGTACCGTTTGAACATACTGTGAAGTGGAAATCCACCTTAAGCAATTCCTGTTAAGAGGGTTTCCCAGGCATGCTGTTTTCATGTTATTCTGCTTTTTACGTATGCATTATCTAATTAGCTGTAACTAAGGTTTATAATGCACTCTAATATTGGCTTTTTGCACTTGCACTTGCTTTTAAATTGTTAGCGTTTTTGGAGGAGAAAAGATTTTCCTCCCTTTTGTATGCACTTAATTATATTTGCTTATAGTTTAGAATTTGGGAGCAGAGTCGCGCAACAAGGTTGAAGAGTAGTTCGGTTTTTTCAATGGAGTGCTTTGAGAGCACAGATTGCGAATTTAGTTAAAGAGTGCCAATTTTAGCGAGTGAGATATTGATCGTAACGGAATTGAAAGTTTTTGTAACCATTTCGCATTGCATCGGATTTGTATAAAGAATTATATATATAACCAGTTTTGCTGTTCCAAATTTTGTTTATTATCTTTGTCGAGCTCAGCGCCGAAAGGGCAAATTGCTGCCTTTTCGCACAATTCCCGCAGGCCGCTCTTCAGTTCAGCATTCAAGGCTTCAAAAATAAATAAATAGGAGAACAAGCAGCGGGGCATGTGAAGTGCAGAATTTCAATAGCTTGATAATTCTTTTGTAAATTATTTGAAAAAAGTAGTTGGACGATTAATGCAAATAAAGCACTGTAAAGGTAGGTTTGCATGGTGGGCGAGGGTCTCTTTGGTTCATGGATAAAGAAATCTTGTAAGGTAAATAAA